TGCAAGGAAGCAGCATTTAAATTTGCTGACTATGTCAGAAAATCTCACCAGTCTGGATTGCAAAGAAGAGGTAATGGTTACTAACATTAAATAACTAAATGGCTTGTTTATCGGTTGTATGTTATGGAATTCTTTGTGGCGTTGTCCTCTAAATGTAGTGCATCGGCACATGTTTTCCAGCTGCTTTTTGTTTGTTTTTTTTTTAATATTATCCCTGACTAGTGTGGCACTCTGCTAAGTGAAATGTAGGCCTATTGACCGGAAAGTAGATAGGTCAATGCAGTTTCAGGAAGATACTATGTTTAGAATACTCGTAAAAGTAAGTCGATATACATTCTGCAGCTGTAGCATGGTTACTCCCACACACAGACCAGCGCATGGTTTACGTACACAATATCCCGGATACATGTACAGGCTTTTGTGTAGATATGATATATGTGAACAGGTTAGACTACATAGCTATAGAAGAAGTCAGACTGAAACAAAAAAAAAAAAAAAAAGCTTGTTTCTCAAGTTCATCAACAAAATCCTCAGGACTCGTCTGTTCCAGAGGAAAGCAAAACATATAAAGCAAGTTTCAATTTTGTGTTTAAAAAATCCCTTCTGATCCCCAAAGGCAGTTGGATGCTTCCTGGATCTTCATTCTGTAATGTTATTAAAGAAAAAAAAAAAACGCTGGGCACTGACTGGTTGCACTGACTGGTTGCAGCACTGACTGGTTGCACTGACTGGTTGCACTGACTGGTTGCACTGACTGGTTGCACTGGTGGGTGGGCACAGGTGGGTGGGCACAGTGGGTGGCACTGGTGGGCAGAGGTGGGTGGGCACTGCTGGGCACAGGTGTGGTGGCACTGCTGGGCACAGGTAGGTGGCACTTCTTGGCACAGGTGTGTGACACTGCAGAGTGGCACAGGTGGGTGCACTGCTGGGCACAGGTGGGTGGAGCTAGTGGGCGCACTGCTGGGCACAGGTGGGCGGAACTTGCGGGTGGCACTGCTGGGCACTGATCATCAGGGCACTGATCATCAGTGCCCTGATGATCGGTGCCGATCCCCGCTCTGACAGCTGCCGGTTCTCGGCAGTACTTTCCTCACGATCTGACAGCGTGAGGAAAGTGCAGCCGAGAACCGACACTTGCATTTCCCTCTGATCAGCGTGTCATTGGACACCGCTGATCAGGTGGTAAAAGGCCGCTGTGATTGGCCTTTTACCACATCACGTGATCAGCTGTGTCCGTAGGACACAGCGATCACGGAGATCGCCCCCTGGGGCGCGCAGGAGAGCGCGTTCTGGGGGGACGTCATATGACGTTCACCCAGAACTGGCCGGCCACAGTGCAGCCATCATTCGGCTATCTGCGGTCGGCAACTAGTTAAAGGCAAATATGCTGTCCACTTTGCAAGGGCATATCCTCCTAGGGGAGCTTCACCTTGTTCACTAAGCTCCCATCATCCAGTAATGTGCAACAAAAATATGTTGTGTTTTGTATTTCTCTTGCACAGGCTACATTTTGCAAAATGAATTGTCACCATATTCAGTAAGCTATGGGAAAATTCCCTTGCAAAATGAACAGCCTATTTGCCTTTAGTCAATTAACTCCTTAGCTTCCTGAAGGGCTGTGTGTTATAAACCATTGCCATTTGTTTTGTGAAACACTGGTTTTCACTTTTCTTTAAAAGATAAGTTCATCTTTCATTACATGTTACATATTTACCCATATTCAGGGTGTACCCTGTTATGAATAGACTGGTCCCTCCTCCCCCACTTTGATATCTAGTGGAGGAGCTTCTCCAGCTAGCTGTCAAAATGTAAAAAAAAAAATGGATGCATGGGGCTCCACCCACCCGGCCATGTGACTCATTCACACTCCTCCATGAATGAGAAACTACAAGTCCCTTTGCGGCTGTCAGCTTGTAGTTCCCAATGAACTACAGCACTGAGGTAGTTTATTGATTTTTTTTTTCTTATCAGTTATCCGTTTTTCCCACAGCTATCTCCTCCTCCCCACAGCTATCTCCTCCTCCCCACAGCTATCTCCTCCTCCCCACAGCTATCTCCTCCTCCTCCCCACAGCTATCTCCTCCTGTGCCACCATCCCCCCTCCTAGATTGTAAGCTCCAAAGAGCAGGGCCCTCAATAAGCTCCCCCTCATGTTTTGCATTGTATTGGTATTGTTCTGTCACATGTTCTGTCCCTCTTTGTAATGTACAGCGCTGAGCGAACTATTGGAGCTTTATAAATACTGTATAATAATAATCAGTATATCTGCTTGCCCTTACAAGCAGATATACTGACAGGTCTGCAGGACACCTGCATGGCACCAGCGATCTACTGAGTTTGGGGTGGAGGAACTTGACTGTCCTGCACAGAGTCCTGACCTCAACCCCATAGAACACCTTTGGGATGAATTAGAGCGGAGACTGCGAGCCAGGCCTCCTCCCCCGACATCAGTGCCTGACCTGACAAATGTGCTTCTGGAAGAATGGTCCAACCTTCCCATAGACACCCTCCTAAACCTTGTGGACGGCCTTCCCAGAAGAGTTGAAGCTGTTATAGCTGCAAAGGGCGGGGCCAACTCAATATTGAACCCTACGGAGTAAGACTGGGAGGCCATTAAAGGTCATGTGTGGGGAAAGGGCGGGGCCAACTCAATATTGAACCCTACGGACTAAGACTGGGGGGCCATTAAAGTTCATGTGCATCTCAGTACGTTTGGCAATATTGTGTGTGTGCATATATGTATGTATATATATATATATATGTGTGTATATATATATATATATATATATATATATATATATATATATATATATATGTGTGTATGATATGTGTGTGTGTGTGTGTGTGTGTGTGTGTATATATTTTTTTTTTAATGGGAAAATAATTATTTGTTGCCCTAGAGATTTTGTAGGTTTGCCCACTTACAAAGAAATGAAATGACATCTCCTCGGCGCCAAGTCCCAAATTCCATAACCTTCAAACTGCCTGCTTACCTTCAAAGCAGCTGCTTACAACACTTGGAGTAGTGACCACAAAAAGAACAAAAAAAGAAGCCAGCAAAAGCGCTCAAAGGCATATTGAAAAAAGTGACAAAGTCTGGATGTTATCCAAACATGTTGTAAAGGAATTATACCGCCATAAGCCCAGGTGGTTAATGAACCGAACGTTGCTTTGCCAGAGAGCAGGAGATAATGAAAATATTTCAAGAGCAACAAAAAGATGGTGGAGCTGTGATATCAGGAGAGGGGGAGAGCTGTGGATGATGGTGTGTAGAGCCTGCCTGGTTTCCTTGATAGTCATATCAGGCTGTGGATGAACAATTTGCAGAACCTGTCTTCTTTGGATTCAGTGAAATGATTTGGTCTGGTGGACAGCCTTACAGAGCCCGTTTTTGCCCTTTACAAAATTAGGCAAATAAGTCTGAGTGATGTAACATTCCAAGGACCATTGGATATTATGGTGGCGGGACACACTCCTTTACCTATCCTACTATAAAAAAAAAAATGTAAGATATGACTAAAACTTCAGCTCTGCTGTAAATGGACTGCAAGAGCCAGATACCAAGTCAAATTCAGGAGGGTTTCCACTTACTCTGGGGACTCCTAGCAGCCCATATTGTTTGCAGTCCAACCCAGCTCTAAATGGCTGGCTTCCTGTTTCCTCCAGGACAAGAATAGGTCACTTTTGATGTGCAGTGGCGCCCAGGGCCTGAGTAATCTCCACTGCAGGGAGAAGGAAATTCATCGGCTCTCGGTCACTGTGTTCTTCAACTGGACGGTCTCCTAATGAGCGGCAGGATGTTCCATCATAGCCACAGAGCCTGGTAATTCGGTACCGCTCACATTGAGCACCAATTGTTGATGGTTTTTATAATTGTGTGATACTTTACAATAAACTCACAAAGGAAATGCATGGGCTGATGGCGGAGGAATTCATATTCAATATGTTGGCATAACACCCGGACTTGGTCACTTTTTCAAAATATGCCTTTTGAGTGCTGTTGCTGTCTTGTTAACTTTCTATCATAGGTGTATTTTCAATGGTAGATACAGAATATCAACCAAAAATCCAGAAAAAAACACACAATACAAATTGAGTTGCACTTCATTGAGTAAAAGAAGTATTTGATCCCCAAGAAAAACATGACTTACGTACTTGGTTGAAAAACCCACACAGAGGTAAGATGTTTCTTGTAGTTGGTTACCAGGTTTGCACACATCTCAGGAGGGATTTTGGTCCACTCTTCTTTACAGATCTTCTCTAAATCCTTAAGGTTTCTTGGCTGTCACTTGGCAACTTGAAATTTCAGTTCCCTTCATAAATTTTCTGTAGGATTAAGGTGTGGAGAGTGGCTAGGCCACTCCAGGACCTTTTAATGTGCTTCTTCGTAAGCCACGGCTTTGTTGCCTTGGCAGTATGTTTTGGGTCATTGTCATGCTGGAAGACCCATCTATGACCAATTTTCAATGCCCTGGCTGAGGGAAGAAGGTTCTCATCCAAGTTTTTACAATACGTGGCCCCTCATGTGGTCCCTCAATGTGGTGAATTGGGCCTGTACCTTTAGTAGAGAAACAGTGCCCCAAAACATAATGATTCCACCTCCATGCTTGACTGTAGGGATGGTGTTCTTAGGAAATAGTCAGCATTTTTCTTCCTCCAAAGATGGCAAATCAATTTAATGCCAAAGAGCTCAATTTTGGTCTCATCTGACCACAGCACTTTCTCCCAATCCTTCTCTGAATCATTTAGCTGGATGTTCACAAGAATGACTGACTGCTGTGGGCTGGGAATCACCATGGCCGGGATAGTCTCTGATGGACGTACGGCCATCTTTGAAATGTTTACGCCATTAAAATGTCTTACTGCAGCTGAACATCTCATCACTGTACTGTACTGTGTGTGTGTGTATATTTATTTTTACTACTTTCACAAATGGATCATTTGATATGATCATATATAGTTACACAATCTGATTCATGTATTCACTTTCATTCTCACAGATTCCTCTTCACAAATTGGCATGGGACAAATGAAAATGAATCATCGGTCTATAGGTATTACCCTAAGAAGCAGAGGGACAATTACGATGGCAAGGTTCAAGATGGAACCCCAATTCTCGATGCCAGCTCACTGGATTATATATTTGCACAGGTAAAGCCCATTGCAGTGCAGGGAAAAACCTGTTAAAGCCTAATTGAAAGCAGCAGTTGTGTAGCTTCATATATAATGGAGAAGAGAGAGGGGAGCGGGGATACCAGGTAGATGAAACCAACATTCACGTAACAGGTATTTTTAGAAATATTGACAATTTAAAGGGATTTATACACCTATGAAGAGCAGCACAATCACTTGCTAGTGACCCAAGTTACAAAAAACAAGGTTTTAGTAACGTTTCACTCGATATGTACAATTAAAACAGACATTTCCCACATTTTAATAAAATTTACTGCATACTGATATAAAATGATGCAACACTAAAAAAAAAAAAAAAAAAAAAAAAAAAAAAAAAAAACAAAATTCTACATATTGTTGTATGGCACATGTGAGACTTTTTTTTTTTTTTTTTTTTTGTTTGGGTAGAGTAGGGAATAGTTAACACCCCCTGTCATTGGTTTGACATAACCAGAAGTGGATAGAAAAGTGGTAGAATGATCTCCATGTATAATACATAAGGGGGGATATGATCTCCATGTATAATACATAAGTGGGGGGGGATATGATCTCCATGTATAATACATAAGGGGGGATATGATCTCCATGTATAATACATACGGGGGGATATGATCTCCATGTATAATACACAAGGGGGGATATGATCTCCATGTATAATACATAAGGGGGGATATGATCTCCATGTATAATACACAAGGGGGGAATATGATCTCCATGTATAATACACAAGGGGGGGATATGATCTCCATGTATAATACACAAGGGGGGGATATGATCTCCATGTATAATACACAAGGGGGGGATATGATCTCCATGTATAATACACAAGGGGGGGGGATATGATCTCCATGTATAATACATAAGGGGGGGGGATATGATCTCCATGTATAATACATAAGGGGGGGATATGGTCTCCATGTATAATACATAAGGGGGATATGATCTCCATGTATAATACACAAGGGGGGATATGATCTCCATGTATAATACACAAGGGGGGATATGATCTCCATGTATAATACACAAGGGGGGGGATATGATCTCCATGTATAAATACATAAGGGGGGGGGATATGATCTCCATGTATAATACATAAGGGGGGGATATGATCTCCATGTATAATACATAAGGGGTTTATGATCACCATGTATAATACATAAGGGGGGGATATGATCTCCATGTATAATACAGAAGGGGGGATATGATCTCCATGTATAATACATAAGGGGGGGATATGATCTCCATGTATAATACATAAGGGGGGTTTGATCTCCATGTATAATACATAAGGGGGGATATGATCTCCATGTATAATACATAAGGGGGGAATGATCTCCATGTATAATACATAAGGGGGGATATGATCTCCATGTATAATACATAAGGGGGGATATGATCTCCATGTATAATACATAAGGGGGGATATGATCTCCATAATAATAAAAGGGGGGGATATGATCTCCATGTATAATACATAAGGGGGGGATATGATCTCCATGTATACATACATAAGGGGGGGTATGATCTCCATGTATAATACATAAGGGGGGGTATGATCTCCATGTATAATACATAAGGGGGGATATGATCTCCATGTATAATACATAAGGGGGGATATGATCTCCATGTATAATACATCAGTGGTTCATATAGTGAACTCGGTGTAGTTATTCACCCTGAGGTCATCACAGAGGACAAGGGGGCGCTCTTTACGTCTGGAAGAAAAGAGATTTAATCTCTAAATACAGAAATTTTTTTTCTTTACAGTAAAAGCTGTGAAAATGTGGAATAGACTCCCTCAAGAGTTGGTTCTGGCCAGCTCAGTAGATTGTTGTAGAAAAAAGTCCTGGATTCTTTCTTAGATACACAGAATATAACTGGATACTAACATTTATAGGTAAAGTTGATCCAGGGAATATCCGACTGCCTCTAGGGGGAAGGAATTTTTTCCCCTGCAGGAGCAAATTGGATCATGCTTTGCTGGTTTTTTTTGCCTTCCTCTGGATCAACTGTGGGTGTAGGATTATAACTTTTTTTTTTTTTTTTTTTTTTTACAGTTGAACTAGATGGACTTGTCTTTTTTTTTTTTTTTTTTTTTTTGAGCCAGACTAACTATGTAACTAAGTAAGATACTAAGACAGAAACTGAAAAGGGAATGGTTTACTTTAAGCAAGAGACTAAGACTGGAAAAGAAAACTGAAAAGGGAATGACTGACCAAAAATAGTAAGCAAAGGGATGAGAAGAATTTGGCAGGTTCCCTAGACTTACTTAGTGTCTGTAGAATAATGGGACTTCAAAAACTCTTGCTGTGCTTTGTACGAATTACTTTACTTTTGCCTTCATTAGGGACAGTATGAACTGGTGAAGTGCTTGGCTCCAGTCCGGGACCCCAAAAATGACCAAGAGGTGCATGAAATAGAAAACGAATGTTTAGGGATGGCAGTGCTGGCGATCTCTCACTACGCCATCAAGAGGAACATGCAGCTTCCAGAGCTCCCCAAGGACATAAGGTCAGTCATGGCTTTAGATCAGCCTGTCTCCTAAACTATTTGTTTCTGGGATGATACACATGGATTAATGGAAATACTGTGTCCTCTAAGGACTACTCCTGCAGGTCCCAGGGTTACTGGGGGAAAAAAAGCATGCTCAAATGGAATGCGCGCCAGGCCAAAGGATAGAAGTCTAGATTTACTTATTGGTTTGTAAAAAAGCAGCTAAAGAGTTTCTGGGGGAGAAACTCCCCCTTCCTCAAGGCTTCAGTTTAAATGGGAACTTTTAATAAACTCAAAATAGAGCTTTCCTGTGTGAATCTGTGTAGGGAAGCTAATTGCTGGATCAGTATCGTTACTGGCCAGCAGTCTCTGCGTGATCTGATAACCTGCTGGGGTGCCCACTGGAAGGTAGCCTTGTCTGCTGTGAGTAGCCTAACGTGAGTCAGCGGGCTCTTCAGATGTTTTTGCCCTCTCACTACCTTGTGAAGACTCACATCAAAGTCCCACCTTCCTGGTGAGGAAGCCAGTGGAAAATTGGAGAATGCAAAGGTGCAGCAGTTGCCCTTGTGCAGAATTCTCACTATGGTTTTCAGTTCATGAAAGATTAGATTTTTCCTGAAAGAACCCTAGACTGACTCTTGTCATTGTTCGCTCTACTGATATGAATGGTACAGCGTCCATTAAAGAAAATCGCTTGATTCCCCCCTCAACACAATCAGTGTTGATAGGGGGAATCCCTCCTGCAGAGCTTCTCCCGACGTGAGGTTTCACATCGCATGTAAAAATCTGACATGCTGCTGGCACCCAAGTTGATCGATGGATCGACTTGGGTACAATTAGCCTGCCTATAGATGGGCCGAATCTTGGCCGGTCCCAGCCGAGATTCAAACCATCTGTCAGGGATCACCGCGGCGCTGGTCCCGGCGCAGGCGCAGTATGCCGTCTCATGTGGGGATGTGGGAGCTAGGTCCTGGCTAGCCGCGGCGACGGAGTTCACGCATGCGCACTGGCGTTCGCGGGTGCGTGCCGGGCAGCAATGAGGGCGCAGGGCGCGGTATTTAAATCCCCCCTGTGCTGTCACTGGTTGCCGTATGGTCTTTCTGATATCCCTGTTCCTGAGCCTGTGTAGTTGTGAGTATTGCTGACCCGGATTGCCTGACCTTGCTGATTTCTCCTGTCCTGACCCCTGGTTTGCCTGACCTTGCTCCTGGATGCCCCTTTGTAGATCTGACCTCTTGTTACTGACCTGGCGGTGTGACCCGACCATTCTCTGCCCACTGCTTTGTACCGCACCGACCCCACGGCTACCGACTCGGCTTGTCTGACTTTGCACTTGCTCATCCATCCATCCCGCCGGGATCTCCTGGCCTCCTCCCGTCAGGCTCTCACCCTGCAGGAACCTCTGGCGGGCTCCTCTACCACTGGTGGGTGTACCCAGTAGCCGCGACCTGGTCTCGGGACGCTCCAAGTCCATCCCCACTATCAGGGGCCCTGGTGAACAAGTGACCCGGGACTTAGACTCCGCGCTCTGGGGAAACCTGACCAGTAGATTGCTAGGGTGCCCCCAGGTGGTCCCTTACACCATCTATGTATGAGCTTAAGGCTCTTTTAAAATGATCTGTACTAAGCACCCTCTTTTGTTAACTTTGCAGCTACAAGAGGTATATCCCTGAAACTTTAAACCGAACCATCAAACAAAGAAATATCCTTACTCGGATTCGGATAAATAACGTCTTCAAGAATTTCTTGAAAGAATTCAACAATAAAACAATCTGTGACAGCAGTGTGTCCCCGCATGACCTGAAAGTGAAGTACATGTCCACACTGGAGACACTGACCAAAAATTATGGGGCCGAGATATTCGAGGCACAGCACTTAAAGATTTCCTCGGAGAATGAACAGAACGGGTTTCAAACCAGTGGCGTGTTTGAAGTTATGGTGACCGGAAATGATGGCATCCAGTGGAGGGTGAAACCAGCTGTAAGTATTGACAAGAAAGCTATTCATAGATAACATACTCTAAAGGTCAACCAACTTCCTTCTGCTGTGATGGGGAAGTAAATGATTCTATAAGGCACCGGGAGTAATAGAGCGTGATAAAGAATATTGCTGGTATCATGAATAGTGGGGATTGAGCTGTGTGTGCTGGAGTGCAGATTGCACTAGGGCCATGGATGGTGGGGGGTGAGCTGTATGTGCTATAGTACAAATCTGATTGGTGACATGAATACTGGGGAGCGAGCTGTGTGTGCTGGAGTGCAGATTGCACTAGGGCCATGGATGGTGGGGTGTGAGCTGTGTGTGCTGGAGTGCAAATCTCATTGGTGACATGAATACTGGGGGGCGAGCTGTGTGTGCTGGAGTGCAGATTGCACTAGGGACATGAATACTGGGGGGCGAGCTGTGTGTGCTGGAGTGCAAATTTCATTGGTGACATGAATACTGGGGGGCGAGCTGTGTGTGCTGGAGTGCAGATTGCACTAGGGCCATGGATGGTGGGGTGTGAGCTGTGTGTGCTGGAGTGCAAATCTCATTGGTGACATGAATACTGGGGGGCGAGCTGTGTGTGCTGGAGTGCAGATTGCACTAGGGACATGAATACTGGGGGGCGAGCTGTGTGTGCTGGAGTGCAAATTTCATTGGTGACATGAATACTGGGGGGCGAGCTGTGTGTGCTGGAGTGCAAATCTCATTGGTGACATGAATACTGGGGGGCGAGCTGTGTGTGCTGGAGTGCAAATCTCATTGGTGACATGAATATTATTATTTTATTATTATTTTACAGTATTTATATAGCGCCAAAAAGTTTGCTCAGTGCTGTACAATATAGCGGGGGACAGTACATGAGACAATACAGTAACAAGACAATATATGAGAGGTTCGAGGGCCCTGCTCTTTCAAGCTTACAATCTACGTGAGTGACTGGGGGGAGTGAGCTGTGTGTGCTGTAGTACAAATCTCACTGGTGACATGAATACTGGGGAGGCGAGCTGTGTGTGCTGGAGTGCAGATTGCACTAGGGCCATGGATGGTGGGGTGTGAGCTGTATGTGCTATAGTACAAATCTGATTGGTGACATGAATACTGGGGAGCGAGCTGTGTGTGCTGGAGTGCATATCTCACTGGTGACATGAATACTGGGGTGCGAGCTGTGTGTGCTGGAGTGCAGATTGCACTAGGGCCATGGATGGTGGGGTGTGAGCTGTATGTGCTATAGTACAAATCTGATTGGTGACATGAATACTGGGGAGCGAGCTGTGTGTGCTGGAGTGCAAATCTCACTGGTGACATAAATACTGGGGAGCGAGCTGTGTGTGCTGGAGTGCAGATTGCACTAGGGCCATGGATGGTGGGGTGTGAGCTGTGTGTGCTGGAGTGCAAATCTCATTGGTGACATGAATACTGGGGAGCGAGCTGTGTGTGCTGGAGTGCAAATCTCATTGGTGACATGAATATTATTATTTTATTATTATTTTACAGTATTTATATAGCGCCAAAAAGTTTGCTCAGTGCTGTACAATATAGCGGGGGACAGTACATGAGACAATACAGTAACAAGACAATATATGAGAGGTTCGAGGGCTCTGCTCTTTCGAGCTTACAATCTACGTGAGTGACTGGGGGAGTGAGCTGTGTGTGCTGTAGTACAAATCTCACTGGTGACATGAATACTGGGGGAGGCGAGCTGTGTGTGCTGGAGTACAAATATCACTAGGGACATGGATGGTGGGGAGCGTGCTGTGTGTACTGAAGTGCAGATCACACTAGGGACATGGATGGTGGGGATTGAGCTGTGTGTCCTGGGGTGCAGATCACACTAGGGACGTGTTTGGTGGGAAGCGAGCTGTGTGTGCTGGAGTGCAAATCTCACTGGTGACATGAATACCGGGGAGCGAGCTGTGTGCGCAATAGTACAGATCTCACTGGTGACATCCATAGAGATTTAGCTGTGCGCACTAGTGCAGATCTTACTGTTTAAACGGATACTGGGGTGTGAGCTGTGTGTACTGGAGTTTAGATCTTACTGGTGACATGAATACCGGGGGGGGGGGGGGGGGGGGGGGGGGGAGAGCTGTGTGTACTGGAGTTCAGATCTCACTGGTGACATGAATACTGGGGGGTGAGCTGTGTGTACTGGAGTTCAGATCTCACTGGTGACATGAATACCAGGGGGGGGGGGGGGGGGGGGGGGGGGGGGTGTGTGCCGTGTGTACTGGAGTTCAGAACTTACTGGTGACATGAATACTGGTGGGGTGAGCTGTGTGTATTGGAGTTCAGATCTCACTGGTGACATGAATATGGGGGGGGGGGGGGTGAGCTGTGTGTACTGGAGTTCAGATCTCACTGGTGACATGAATACCAGGGGGGGGGGGTGAGCTATGTGTACTGGAGTTCAGATCTCACTGGTGACATGAATATTGCAGTGACTGCAGAGCGAGCAGTGCGGGCTGGATTGCAGGTCGCACTGGAAGCATGTGTACTGTGGTGAGTGTTCTGGAGTGCAGATCTCTTTGGTGACATGGATATTGGGAGGTGAGCTGCTTGTCGTACAGCAAAGATTTTACTGGTGAAATAGATATTGGAGAGCGTGCTGGAGTGCAGTGAAAACCATTTTCAGTTTAATGCGAAATCCTGTTAGAAATTGTTCTTCCTTTGTTTCACGTTGCACCGTTGTTTTCAAGCTTAGCGGGTTTGCCGCATCTTTAATAAAAAGCCCATAAAGTGAATATTTCTCAGGATAGACCAAGACCTCGGAGAGACGAGCTTTCATTCCCTGACCGTGGAAAAACCTGACTTTTGCAATGTTTACATGCCGTTTGATTTATCTTTCCTGCAGCCGTGTGACCGTAGAGAAAGAAAAGAAAACAAAAAGGAAAAGGAATGAAAACAAAAATAAAAAGAGGGATGCGAAAGCCAACGCCAAAGATCTGTGGAGCTCTTTTTCTTACTTTCCGGAGATCACCCACATTGTAGCGAAAGATGACACTGTCTATATACACAACCAGGACAATAAGTGCATGGTAAGGATCGCAGGACTGTGAGGGACCATATATCAGGGCCTGGTTCAGAGGTGCAAAGTTATCGCCTTCCTGAAAGACTCAGTCAAATGTCATGCAAATCGCATTTAACAATCTCTATATATCTCATGTATATCTAAATGACACAAAACATTTGCCTATAATCTGCCTATATACACCTGCCGGACTACCCCTGGAACAACCACTTTTGTACCATTCAGAACTCCACCCTGTTCCAGACCTTCCCCCATCTCTCTACACCAGGCCATACATGTGACCGTTTCCACTTGGGTATTGTAAATGCCATCGGAAGTGATCTTCCAAAACTGAGAAATCGATCACCCAAGACTTTGATGACTACCCAGATTTTGTTGGTTCTTAACCATTTCAATACCGGGCAATTTTACACCTTCCTGCCCAGGCCATTTTTCAGGTTTCAGCGCTCTCACACTTTGAATGACAATTGCGCGGTCATACAACATTGTACCCAAACTAAAATTTTATTATTTTCTTCACACAGCTAGAGCTTTCTTTTGGTGGTATTTAATCACCGCTGGGGTTTTTATTTTTTGCTAAATTAACAAAAAAAAAAAGACCAAAAATTTTGAAAAAAAAAAACACGTTTTTTCTTTGTTTCTGTTATAAAAGTTTACAAATAAATAATTGTTCTTCATAAATTTAGGCCGAGATGTATTCTGCTACATGTCTTTGGTGAAAATAACCCAAATTAGGATGTATTATTTAGTTTGTAGGAAAGTTATAGAGTTCACAAACTATGGTATAGATCTGAATATTGATCAATCCTGAAGTACTGACAGCCAATCTAATTTCTTGAGGTCCAAGAATGTCAGAACAGTACAGATATCCCCCAAATGTCAGAACAGTACAGATATCCCCCAAATGACCCCTTTTTGCAGAGTAGACAGTCCGACGTACTTCATAAGAGGAATGGCGAGTTTTTTGAAGTTGTGTTTTTTTTGTCATAATTTTTCAGAAAATAAAAAAATGAAATTATTTTCACTATTTTTTTTTTTACATACTGTCACCAGTGCAGTACAGCGTCATCATATAACTGGCATGGCGGTGAACAGGGACACTGACTGGTGACAGTATGAAAAAAAATATATATATATTTTTTTTAATTTTTTTTAATTTTTTTATTTTTAATTTTTTATTACATTTTTTTAAAAAAAATTTTAAGATTTTTCTTTCATATTTTACTATGACCAAAGTAGTACAATGTTACTATAGTAACATTGTACTACTTTGGGGAAGTGATCAGTATTTTTTTTTTTTTGTGCTTATTGTGATTTGGTCACAGCTAATCACATGACATGTGCATGTGACCTGCTGTTACCATTCACAGCTAGGCACTAGTATACAGTGGATGGCATGAATGAAGCCATCCATTGTATACAACTGTCATGTGACCTGCTGTGATTGGTCACAGCAGGTCACATGGTACCGGCAACAGGGACCGGTACTCAGATCTGTCATCGGCCGTGTCCTAGGTACGTCTAACGCGTTTAGAGGACACAACCTCTTCCTCAGTGCCCTTGTGTCCTCGAAACGCGTTAGACAGTTGGTCATCCAGGGTTCCATCGTATGGACTCAGATGTTGTTTGGATCATACATCTTGTTCAGTTTGACATGCCTGTGTTATTATGTCCATTGTGAGTATACCTTTTTTTGTTTCTTCAATAAATTATTTTAAACGATAATGCACTAGGTCGGTGCGCCCTTTTTCTGTTTCTCCATTTGTATCCAGTGTATTCGGACCACCCCGGTCTGTTGAGGGCAGCAAGCAGTGCATATTCCAGAAAATTCCAGAACATTCCTATTGGGTCTACTGAGTCCTTTCCTAGCGCAGGAGTAAAGTGTTTGTTGTGTTGGATAGCAGGAGATACCTGAGCGACTGAATAGGAAAAAGGAGGTGCAGCAGACTGATGAGCCCATCTCTCTGTCAAAGGCTGGGACAAGACCTGTAAGCAGGGCCGTGGATAAGGGGGTACCACTGGTCGTCCTGTATGGGGCCCAGACTAGCAGGGGGGCCCCAGGCAGATGGGTGAATTGGATGTGGGCTGGGAGGGTGATCGACACATGCAGGGACCTGATCCCCCTGTATGGCTGTCTTTGCAGCACATCCCGGTGCACCATACATGCCCCCCCCACCCCTGCAATGCTGCACGCTTCTCTCTCCTTCCCAGCTGCAAACACACTATAGGATCCTTAGGCTGAATAGTAGGGGAAGGGTCCGTAAATATGTCACATTTACCAGCCCCTTCCTTTCCTGAATGAACACAATGAGTTATCGCTACTGATCACTCACTGTGTTCATTCATAATGGAAGCATAGTAAACTGTGTTTAGTTGGGGGCCCTCACATGTCGGCTGTACGGGGCCCCGTGGTTTCTAACAGCAGTCCTGCTGTAAGTGTTACTTTTGTTGAGAAAAAAAAACATTCTCCTCTGGGTGATCTATGTACATTGCAGGGATTTTAACAAACTTTGTTGCAAATTCCTACCTTTTGTTATTTGAAGAAGTAGATTCTGTGTCCATGTGCAGAGTGAATCTGTATGGGAGTGACTGATTAATTATCAATCAGCTGCTGCACCTGCAGGGCTCTGAGGAGAATTGCAGGGTCTGCATCCCTTTTAGATGTATTTTCCCATAGGGCGTATTTTACCAGAAACTACATTTTTGTTAGACGATTCCAAAAATCTGACTTGTTCTTAGTTCAGATTTCTGGGAAAATCAGCCAATCACACAAGCAGGAAATGACATTTTCAGGGGGTGTTTTGTACTCACTCTGTGTACAGAACACCTCCAAGTAGCCATATTGCATTCTACAGAAAATGACAGCGCTGCAGAATTAAAAGGAAAGGTAATATTTAATACCATTAAATTGCATTATAAACTGTCGCAATTGTGCGCGCAATATTTTTTTTTTTTTTTTTTTGCTAATTTTTTTTCCATGAAAGTGGAGTTGCCTTTTTTTCAGCATTTTCAGTTGTTTTTGGTTTATCAAAAAAAAAAAAAAAAAAAAAAAACCAGAGGTGATTAAATACCACCAAAAGAAAGCTCTATTTGTGCAAAAAAAAATTATAAAAATGTCATATGGGTGCAGTGTTGCATGACCGCGCAATTGTTGTTCAAAGTGCGACAGTGCTGAAAGCTGAAAATTGGCCTGGGCAGGAAGGGGGTGAACGTGCCCGGTAGGCAAGGGGTTAAAGTGGGTCTAAAGTCAAACGTTTTTACCTTTTTATTGCAGTCTCTGCATTAAGGTAAAAAAACTCCCAACTACTTGTATGTCCCCCTCCCCCATCCACATCCACTTACTTGCCTCCTCTCACGATCCTGCACTGTCCCGGTGCAGCACCGCTCTCTCTCCCCTTTTCCTAGTCTCACAGAAGACACCGGCAGCGGTGGGAGCCATAGGGTCTTGCTGCTGCCAGTCACATTCTGTAAGGAGGGAACAAGGACACCCGTAGGAAAGGAGGAGCAGAGAGCACCAGCGGGGGACTCCAGAGGGGGAGGCAATAGCATTGCATAAAGCGGGTAAGCATAACATCTTTATTTTCATTTTAAAACCATTACATTTACAATCACTTTAACCACCTCCCACCCGCCCTATAGTACAATGACGGGCGCAAGGTGGTTCTCTCGTTCTGATAGGACGTCATATGATGTCCTACCATTCTCACTGCGCATGCGTGGCTCGGAGTGCGCAGCGCGGCGATCGCCAGTGTGCTGTGTCCCTTGGACACAGCGGATCACGTAAAGAGCTGAAGATGTCGGCTCGGTCATGTGATCAGCTGTGTCCAATCACAGCTGCATCACATGTAAACACGGAAATGCCGGTTATCGGCATTTTCTCCTCTCGAGCTGTCACGCTGACAGAGGAGAGGAGAGCCGGTAATCGGCTTTTCTCAGAGGGGACATGTACACTGATCATCAGGGCACTGCTGATCAGTGTGCCCTGATGATCAGTGGGGCCCAAAAGTGCCACCTGTTAGTGCCCATCAGTGCCATGTGCCAGTGCCCATCAGTGCCACATATCAGTGCATACCAGTGCACATCAATGCCACATATTAGTGCCCATCTGAGCTGCCTTTCAGTGTCACCCATCAGTGCCAGTCAGTGCTGCCAAGCAGTGCCACCTATTAGTGCGCATCAGTGCCAGTCAGTGCTGCCTATCAGTGCCAGTCAGTGCCGCCTATGAGTGTCCTATATCAGTGTCATGTATCAGTGCTGCCTCTCAGTGCCCATCAGTGATGCCTGTCAATGCCCATCAGTGCAACCTACCAGCGCCTCCTCATCAGTGCCACCTATCAGTGCCCATCACTGCAGCCTCATTAGCGCACATCAGTGAAGGAGAAAAAAAATCACTTATTTACAAAATTGTATAACAAAAACTAAGAAAAAACTCTTTTTTTTTTTTTTCAAAATTTTCAGTGGTTTTTTGTTTGTTTAAAAAAAAAATAAACCCCCCGAGGTGATTAAATACCACCAAAGCTCTGTCACAAAAAAATGATAAAAATTTCATATAGGTACAGTGTTGCATGACCGCGCAATTGTCGTTCAAAGTGTGACAGTGCTGAAAGCTGGAAATTGGCCTGGGCAGGAAGGGGGTGTACGTGCCCGGTAGGCAGGAAGGGGGTAGAAGTGCCCGGCAGGCAGGAAGGGGGTGTAAGTGCCCGGCAGGCAGGAAGGGGGTATAAGTGCCCTGTAGGCAGGAAGGGGGTATAAGTGCCCTGTAGGCAGGAAGGGGGTATAAGTGCCCTGTAGGCAGGAAGGGGGTAGAAGTGCCCGGTAGGCAGGAAAGGGGGTAGAAGTGCCCGGTAGGCAGGAAAGGGGGTAGAAGTGCCCGGTAGGCAGGAAAGGGGGTAGAAGTGCCCGGTAGGCAGGAAAGGGGGTATAAGTGCCCTGTAGGCAGGAAAGGGGGTAGAAGTGCCCGGTAGGCAGGAAAGGGGGTAGAAGTGCCCGGTAGGCAGGAAAGGGGGTAGAAGTGCCCGGTAGGCAGGAAAGGGGGTATAAGTGCCCGGTAGGCAAGAAAGGGGGTAGAAGTGCCCGGTAGGCAGGAAAGGGGGTAGAAGTGCCCGGTAGGCAGGAAGGGGGTATAAGTGCCCGGTAGGCAGGAAAGGGGGTATAAGTGCCCGGTAGGCAAGAAAGGGGGTAGAAGTGCCCGGTAGGCAGGAAAGGGGGTAGAAGTGCCCGGTAGGCAGGAAGGGGGTATAAGTGCCCGGTAGGCAGGAAAGGGGGTATAAGTGCCCTGTAGGCAGGAAAGGGGGTAGAAGTGCCCTGTAGGCAGGAAGGGGGTATAAGTGCCCGGTAGGCTAGTGGTTAAATACAGCAGAGAAAAATCAGGATTCCCTCACTACCAATTCTTCCTGTACCTCTCAGAACTGGATGGAGAGAATTTTGTGTTTTTTTTTTTTTTGTTTTTTTTTAATAAACATGTTCGACTTACCTGCTCTGTGTAATGTTTTTGTACAAATCAGCCCTGATTTTCCTCTTCTGGGGTCACCAGCACTCCTGGATCCTCCCCCCTTCTGGGTGCCCTCCCCCATAGCAAGTGGCTTGCTATGGGGGCAGTCATGTGGGCTGAATCCCAAGCCAAGCTGTGTGTCCTTTTGGCGCACACAGCACTGCTTGGCCCCCCTCCCATGCTCTCCTCACAGACTGCAGCAGGAGCCAATGTCCAGTGAGAGCAAAGAGAGCTGCTGTTCTCGTGCACAGTGCTGAATTGAGATCGGGCTCAGGTACAAGGTTGGACAAAATTATGGAGACACCAATAATAAAAAAAAAGTTGCCCAATATGGTGTTGGACCGCCTTTGGCAGCCAAGATGGCCTGTATTTATTACAGGTACTTATATAGCATAGTGTGTGTGTGTGTGTGTATATAATTACATTCACATCAGTCCCTAACCCTCAAGGGGCGTACAATCTAAGGTCCCTAACTCACATACATACACACATACTAGGGACAATTTAGACAGGAGCCAATTAACCTACCAGCATGTCTTTGAAGTATGGGAGGAAACCGGAGTATTCAGAGGAAACCCACACAGTGAGAACATGCAAACTCCAGGCAGCTGGTGCCGTGGTTGGGATTTGAACCAACGACCCTAGTACTGCCAGGCGGAAGTGCTAACTGTTTAGTCACTGTGCTGCCCAATTCTCCTGGGAATTGACCAATATAAGTCTTGGATGGTGGAGAATTAAATCTGATGGCACTCTTCATGCAAAAATCGTTTCAGTGCTTGCAGAGATGCTGGAGATGGAAAACGAGCCCATGACTCTGTATCACTAGCAGCACTCGCAGTGAATGACCAAAAAGTAAGGCTTCCTATCTGTTAGCTAGGTGTCTCATCACATAGCGGAAGGAAAAGAATTTACATCACTTCTGCTTTCAGTGTGAAAAATTTTGTCATTTTCACACCTGCAAATGTTTCCATATTTTTTGTCCAACCCCTGAAAGTATAACAGGAGGGCAGCAGAACATAGAACGTTTCTTACTTAAATGCAGAGAATTTCAGAATAAAAAAAAAAATAGTTTTTTTCCTTTACAATCACTTTAATTTTAAAAGATGATTATTTATCACGCTGCTGTTCTGTTCTTTGACATTTTCAGAATTTTTACACACAAGTTATTGATAAATCCACGTCAATGTTTTCTAGGAGCTGAAACTCTCCTCTCCAGATGTTGCACTCTCATTCACCGCTCTCATCGATGGCTACTTCAGGCTGACTGCAGATGCCCATCACTATCTGTGCACTGATGTCGCCCCACCATTAATAGTCCAGAACATAATGAACGGCTGTCATGGACCTGTTTGGTAAGTTCAGGGATGTCCCTAGGGTTGGTGTCACTCGGTGCAATAACACTTGGTGACACCCCTTCCGACGATCCCCGCATAATGGATTGGATCCGTGGATTGAGCATAATGGATCGGAGTCCGCTCCTTTATGCTCCCCAATCCGCAGATCCGATCCATTCTGCGGGGACTGTCGGCATACAACCTATACGGGGTGACACCAGACCCGCTCCAGGAAAACGAAAAGTTGTAAAGCAAGCCGATGATCCCTGCAGGATGGATCAGATCTGCAGATTGGGGAGCATGATGGATCGGAATCCGATCCGTTATGCCTAATCCGCAGATCCGATCCATCCTGCAGGGATCATCGGGGATCATGTGTGTATGTGTATATATATATAAGATCCTGTGCTCAGGTGAAAAAACATTCCATGTGATAATTAAGGAGGAGCCGTACGCCGTGACGTCACGCCGCCGGAGCCTCACAAAGGTCCGACGGCCATCTTTGATTTTGGCTGGTCAGTGTGATTTACTCCACAACTCTGCTTTTATGTATATTTCTCCAGGTGGATGACATTTTTTTTGCACTTTTTGAATGTATATACTGTCATGTTCGGGTTTGTTCCAGTATTGTATGCGATTTTATTTTGTATCTCTTGCAGCACGGAGTACGCTGTGAACAAGCTGCGACACGAAGGCAATGAGGAAGGGATGTATGTCCTCAGGTGGAGCTGCACTGACTTCAATCACATCCTAATGACTGTGGCCTGTTCCAAAATATCTAAGGTATGAAGTGACGATGTAAGGTAGGCGATATTTCCTTTCCAAGCTGGCCGTAGATGGATCAGCAGGGTCGAATGAATTTTGATCAGTGTGTGGCCTTCTCTGTTCCATCAGAAGTCAATCAAATAAATTGGGAAACCTTTGCCAGTCAGTGGCTGCAGCCACTGATCCGTGTATTCTGATAGGGACGAGACGCACAGAATACAATGTCCTGATGTGTAGATTCCTCCCATCTACCTCACTTGTTTGGATGGAGGAATCTGAACCAAAAATGACTTGTTTACAGCCAGCTTTAAAGTTATTGTAAACCTTTTTTTTTTTTTTTTCTTCTAAAATAACCAATGTTATACATACATGCTCTGTTCAATGGTTTTGCACAGAGCAGCCCCAATCCTACTCTTCTTGATCCCCCTGCTGATAGTACTGGCTCCTCCCCTCTGTCCATTGACACACACAGCCTCGGCTCAGCCCCGCCCCTTGCTCTGTGCTCACTGGCTGTGATTGACAACAGCAGGAGCTAATGGCTCCCTCTGCTGCTGCTTTGTCCAGTGAAAAGTATGAGACGTTGCCCTCATGCACTTCCTGTGATGAAATGTCAGGGACGGGGCTGCGTGACGTCATCACGCCGGAATGTCCGAGTTTGGCCATTTTGCTTGCTTTTATTACAGATGGACGTTTATCCTTAAGGGAGTAATATATGTTAATGAAACAGCTGATTATTCCTGTGCACTGGCGTAGTTCAATGTGTTTGTGTAGTATTTTTTTTTTGTATCCGTCAATAAAGCTAATGGCTCCCTCTGCTGCTGCTTTATCCAGTGAGAAGAGCGAGGCTTTCCCCTCATGCACTTCCTGTGAGGAAGTCCTGCATCTTGTAATGAAATGTCAGGGGCGGGGCTCCGTGACGTCATCACGCTGGAAGTCCCAGTTTGGCCATTTTTCTTGCTTTTATTACAGATGGATGTTAATCCTTAAGGGAGTAATATATGTTAATGAAACAGGTGATTATTCCTGTGCACTGGCGTAGTTCAATGTGTTTGTGTTTTTGTTTTTTTTTTTATTGGTCAATACATTTTATATACCTTGAGATATTACACTATGGTAGTTTTTCTATTCCCATTCCTCTTTTGAACTGGCTGCTCCCTGAGATGCTGAGTGGCTGAAAGGACTGTTGGTGTTGCTGGTGAAGAGTGGAATGATTATAACCCATAACCCATAGTATTGGGAAAGTTCATTTTGGCTTTACCTTCAGTGTGGGTCACTATTGGAGGGAAGCGGCAGCATTGAAAGGTGAAGGCACGCGGTGGTGCAGCACGTGGATATTTTCTGATTTGCGCACACTTATTACACAAATATATGGACACTGGATTTGTTTGAGTTTATTCTCATCAAGAGTCGTTTTTAAAGGACTTCAGGGACTTGGTTTTCACTTATATTTTTTCAGCGGGTTACGTTGTCACATTTTCTGTGGATTTTACGATTTCATTATTATTTTATTATGGTCAATATTTTGTATAATAATGTTTCTGCTCATATATTTATTTAGTATGATTGTATTTTTATAGATTTATTTGATCTTTTGGTTGTGCAGCACTTTCTGGTATTATATATTATTGATGTGGAAACAAATGACAGTTGCTAGCAGCAACGCATATATCTAATTTTGGATTTTTTGACACTGTTTTTTACTAATCTTACTGGCTAACGCTGGATTTTGTTTGGGCGCGTAATAAAGGAAACCTACCTGTCTGCTTGCAGTCTGCTTTGGTATGCACACTTAGGCAGGCCATAGACGGGCCATTCATCGGCTGAATTTTCTGCTGATAAACGAAAAATCGGTCGTTGTTGGCAGCGATGCTGCCGCCAATGTCCACGAAAAATGGCCGTTTTTCGTGGATTTTCCAGCATGACTGATAATAGTATACGAGAAGATCCGCAAAAAATGGCCGATGGTATTGCCCCACTAACTGCGTGAATATCGGCCGATTTTTCGTGCGGGCGATTTTTTCGTACGACCCGTCCATGGCCTGCATTAGGGCTCATGTACACGGGGCGTTTGGAAAACTCTTCTGAACGATGGAAACTGACTGCTGGAAAACGTAGGTAAAAAAATGTCGGTTTAGGTGCGTTTGCATACCGCATTTATGTGTGTTTGCGTATAAAAGCGTTTTTAAAAGCTAACCTAAGGAGAGCTTCCCAAATGCCCAGAATGCACTGATAAATAGTAAATAATTGACTATTTCAGACATTTTGAGGAAAATGGAACAGAAGCAGAGAGAGCAGTATGTGTTGAGATGACCTGTCTTTTCTGGTTGTATTTACTATGGATCCCATCATGAGCATAATGCGGCGCGTTCTACCATTGTTTCCTTCATGCGAAACCTGGAACTGACTGCGCTGGTGTACCGGGTCCATTTGAATACATGGAAAACGCTTTCTGATGATGAAAAAAGGCTCTGGACAGCATGTGGATATGGAACCGTTACAAAAACACTTCTAAAAGCAAACGCTTGTAAATGCGGTTAACGGCGTTTACAAGCATTTGGCATTTGAAACGCCGGTAAAATTTACTCCTGAATGCAAATTTGGTGCATTCAAAAAAACGACTGTAAACTCAACTACGTGTAAACGACTGTAAACTACATAGTGTGCATGGGCACATAGGAAAACATTAGAGAGAGTTCAGGGGCTGCTGAAAAAAAAAAACGCTGAACAGCTCATGAACGTCCGTTTAGGAGCTGCAGTGGTACATGAGCCCTTAGCTGTGTAGGTTCAGCTCCGTTTACATTCCGGCACAGTGCCTGTATGGTGGGATTACTGCTCATGTGCAGAACTGACACCTGACAGCCCAGAACCTGGAAGAAGCCAGTAAAGGATGTCGGACTATTGAAGGTAAGGCAAGTTATCGCTGCAGATATCAAATGGAAGCTGCATTCAACCATGTATCATGGAGCAAAACAAAGTACTGCTTTCCTTTTAACAAATGGTGAACGTTCTTCTCTTCTTTCTTTTAGTATGAATCCAAGACTCTGAAGCAGTACAAGAACTTTCAGATCGAAGTGAAGGACAAGTCGTACTGTTTGCTGGGATCAGACCGTACTTTTGAGACCCTTAAACAACTCATGGAGCACTTAAAGGGCCAGGTGCTGAGAACGGATGATGTCAGCTTCACTTTAAAGAGGTGCTGTCTTCCCAAGCCTAGAGGTAAGCAATGAGGGCTTGTTCACACTAGATTCTATGCCTTTTTACCCCATTTTTAGAAGCAAAAAAACACAAAGGAAAAATACATTGATTTTAATAGGACCTGTAAAAGAAATTCATTGTATTAGTGTGTTGAGAGTCCATTTTTTTAATAATGTAAGTGTGACACAGTTACAGCATTAAACAGAGACATAATGCTATCTAAATGCTTCAGTGGTGTGTGCTGAATGAAGCTTTTTATTTATGGCTAACCTAGCGATCACATGATCGGTAACAAGTCTTAAGGTGGGAATACACGATTAGAAAATCGTCCGATCGGTCAGCCGACGAGAGAGGCGTTTGTTCGTTGGTCGAAATCATGGCCCACATTAAACAATCTAAAAAAATTGTTCGGGCAATACTTAGTGTTGACGTCTTCCGTACAAGTGGAAGTGATGCGGTGTGCGTGTGACCTTGTAGCCACGCCCTTCCGGCCAGAACGATCGATATACACAACGATTACCAGCAATGAGTATAATATCGTTTATTACATGACCTCTATACATAAATAGTGATACATAAAATATAATCTGCAGAATTCTGGTTTTATCATCTCATTAGGCCGATCTACTTTTAACATTTTGGATTTATCGTTCGTGTTTACGAAGATTCCTTGGACATAAACATCTTCTGTTTCCGCTCAAGCCTGATAGCGCTTGATAGATTTTTTTCGTACGACCGTCATACCACCGCATAGAAAATTGGTTGTTTGTGTGCGGAACAACAATATTTTTCACTGTTGTTGAACCAGATTTTTTCTTTCACAATATTGTTATCGGTTAAAACATCCTGCTCATCAACGAAGAGAAAATCGTTCGATCAGTGGTCCCGCTAAATTTTTAGCCCAAATTTCGTATCGTGTGTACAGGGCATTAGGCTGCATTCACATGCATTTAGCCACGGTGCAAATCAACAAAGTGTATCCAGCCACGATCACTGAAGGTAATTGCTGGCTGTGCCAACACTCACAACTAGCTGCAGCTGACAACAGCCTGTCATTGTATTGTACACGCTCATCAGTCACAGCTATCCGAACACAGCTGTCAATCCCAGCCATAGGAATCAGATTCATGCTGCTGGAATTCGCAGTGTGTCAAAACGTCCGTGCGCATGCAGCCTTATTGGTGCCAAATTGTTAAAATGATCTTAAAGTTTGCCAAAAAAAAAAATTTAAAAATGTACCCCCTGCAGGTTTTTGCTATAATGTACTAGTATACCACATCCTACCACATTATGGCAGAATTACATGCTGAACAGAGCCCCCCAGTGCTGCGCTGACGCTGTTCCTGCTGAACCCAACAATTCCATCTTTACCCGGTCTTCCTTCCAGGTTCTTTGTTGAATGGCCTGGCTGCCATAACGTCACTCCCTCGTATTTGCACGTAAGGCACATCACCATAGCACAGACCAGGTGCCTTCAATGTAGTCTGAGCTACACATGTGCAGCTCAGACCACATTACTGTAGGATATTGTAATTTGAGATAGATCTATAGATAGAGATAGAGATAGATAGATATAGATAGATAGATAGATAGATAGATAGATAGAGATAGATACAGAGAGATAGATACAGAGAGATAGATACAGAGAGAGAGAGAGATACAGAGAGAGAGAGAGTAGATACAGAGAGAGATAGAGAGAGAGAGTAGATACAGAGAGAGAGATACAGAGAGAGAGAGATACAGAGAGAGATACAGAGATATATATATATATATATATATATATAGAGAGAGAGAGAGAGATATTTGTGTTCTCACGTTATTGACCAGACCAGCATATGACTGGGCTAGATGTATTTTGCACAACAAAAGGATAGCCAAAGACTCTTTGCTATGTTGATTTTATGCAATATCACATTGGCACTCAGGGGCCAACATTTCAAAGGAGGTAATTTGCAAACTTGCAAGGGTGATAAAATGCAGATTGCTCAGTCAGACTTGAAAGGACTTAGCCACCATCTACTATCTAATAACATGAAAAGGGGGGGGTGCTAATTATGGTAAATAGCATTCTTGTTTATCTAATTAATGGTAAAAGAATGCAGTTTAGGAAATATCTAGACAACTTTTATTAGAATTTATGACTGCATCTGTCCAAGCCCAAAAGCCCATCACCCAGAAGATCAAAGGGGCTAATAAAAGTGGCCAATCAGAGTGCTTGTCATTGTACTGAATTGGGAGAATGTGCATATTAGGGAAGGTTCTTTTGGTTGAGTTGTGACAGGAGAAAGTGGGTCCTTTGAAGGTTTCTGATGATTTCATGAATACTCTAAGTATCTTGTCATCTGTCTTGTCTGTACCTCTGTTTTATGATTTGTTTCTGGGCTGAATAAATGCATCTCTCTAAAAAAGAACTGTTGGACTAGTTGCTGCGGGAAAATACATTTTATAAATATACACTTGTCATCCCTCCACATTAATAGAAGACAATTACCGCTGACAGTCCAACAGACACATTTAGGACAGGAAGGTCTCTTGTTTAAAAAACAAAACAAAACAAAAAACCTGCCTGTTGGCAGTTTTTTCAAAATTGACTTCAGTATCACTGGGATCAGAGTTCGCAGTGACAGATGGGTCTGGCAGTTATCCGCCACACACAGGGGTTGATTTACTAAAAGTGGTGCAAAATCTGGTACAGCTCTGCACAGAAAACCAATCAGCTTCCAGGTTTTTTTTTTGCCAAAGCTTAATTGCACAAGGTGACGTTAGAAGTGAATTGGCAACCATGCACAGCTGCACCAGATTTTGCACTCTCCAGTTTTAGTAAATTAACCCCAAAGTGTCAGCTGGTAGCTGCGGAGGAGGTTAAGGACCCTATCAGATCTATACATATTCAGGAAAGTGTGGTGTTGACAGACATTACAGCTGTGCGCTTATCAAATGTGTAATTTTGAGATTTTTTTTTTTTCCATGGAACATGAAGGAAAAATGATAGATTCAGAGAATAGTTATGTCATGCATACATTCAGAATGCCCAATAGTGCATGATAAGCATGTTTACATGCACAGGAAAGGTGGCACATGTGAATAAGCAACCCAGGGAGTAAACTATTCTTCCCTCATCTCATATTTGTCCCTGTTAGTCATTGATAGTTCAGACAGGCATACTGTCTAATGCAGGCCATAGACGGGTCGAAAACCGGCCGTTTAAAAAAAAAAAAAAAAAAAAAAAACGAAAATTCGGTCGTTCAATAGGCCAACGTTACCACCAACGTTAAAAAAAATCGTCCAATTTTGTCCCGTCTACAGCTGGCATTTAATTACTTCTGTCCCTTGCAGAGAGCGCCGCTATTATATTTGACATGAAAAAACTATTGCGGTTGCAACAATGTATCTATTTGTATTCATTTCGGATACAGATGTTTTTATTCAGATACAAATAGATACATTATTGCAACCGCAAGACTTTTTCATGTCAAATATAATAGCGGACTGGAATTTTTTTTCTTTTTCTTTCTATTTCTTTCTTTCCTTCTTTTCCTTCTTTTGCTTCTTTCTTTTTTCTTTCTTTTTTTTCCTTCTTTTTCTTCCTTTTTCTTCTTGCAGGCAACGGCTCATGCGCAGATTTTTTATCAGTAAAAAGATCGGCCGATTTGCCCATCATTGCCGGGAAAATTGGCCGATCAGCAAAATCGGACGATTTTTTTCCAACTTCACCGATTTAAAAAAAAAAAAAAAAAAAAAGTGCCAAAAACCCCGAAAAACGGCCAACCAATTAACCCATTAACGGTGCAAAAATTGGCCGATTTTTTTTTATTTATTTTTCTTTAGCCTGCATTAGGCAGGACTTGACAAATTTGCTTTGAATCTAGGAGCCAGGTAAAAAAGTTAGGAGCCAGTTGTTTGTTTGTTTTTTTTTTTTTTTTTTTGTAGCATAATGTGAATTGTCAGCATCCGGGACTTCACAGGATTTGCCATGCGACAATCACAGCAAAACTACACCAAGTTTTAGGTTCCACTGAAAATAATGGCACCTGAACCTGTGTTTTGCGATCACCGCAATTCTGTTGCGATCCCAGAACTTTCAGGTGTGAATGGAACCGCCCTGGTTCACACATATGCGATTCTGGATTCCTTTTGAAACTCGCAGATTTGCATAACAGGCTAGATATTTTGTGTTCCTATTGAGGTGGTTCGCATAGATGCCATCCACATGCATTGTGGTTTGAGTGCCATTATGTTAGCGTTTGTGGCGCAGCATTCCAGACTCGCAAGCGGTAGAGTGGCATGCAGAGAGCAGTTTTCCCCGGGGAAGTCCTGTGGGAGGCGAACTTCCCGGGGAAGTCCTGTGGGAGGCGGAGCTGTGGGAGGCGACTTCTAGTCGCCATTGTGACCTGGCGCCTGGGACTTGGTCTAATCAACCTTTCTCAACCTTTTCAACATGGGAACCCTCGAAACAATGTTTAGATCTCAGGGAACCCCTGCTAAAAATTGCTATATCTACAACTCATGATCATGATACATTACACTTGTGGTCATTGGGAAGAATTACCCCCTTACACTTGTGGTCATTGGGAAGAATTACCCCCTTACACTTGTGGTCATGGGAAGAATTACCCCCTTACACTTGTGGTCATTGGGAAGAATTACCCCCTTACACTTGTGGTCATTGGGAAGAATTACCCCCTTACACTTGTGGTCATTGGGAAGAATTACCCCCTTACACTTGTGGTCATTGGGAAGAATTACCCCCTTACACTTGTGGTCATTGGGAAGAATTACCCCCTTACACTTGTGGTCATTGGGAAGAATTACCCCCTTACACTTGTGGTCATTTACACTTGTGGTCATTGGGAAGAATTACCCCCTTACACTTGTGGTCATTGGGGAATTACCCCCTTACACCTGTGGAAGAATTACCCCCTTACACTTGTGGTCATTGGGAAGAATTACCCCCTTACAGATAGCTAAGAAGATCAATGATGTCGGTGGGAAATTATCTGAGAGGCAAAAATTGCTTGTTCCTCAAAGAACCCCTAGCAACCTCTGGAGGAACCCTGGTTGAGAAACTCTGGTCTTAGGTCACACATGACGCAGAATCTCATAGAACAGGCTGAGACGCATCAAAAATCCATGCCTTCCACCTCCACTGTATGCCTGACAAAGATTTAGTAAAATAAATTTCAGGTTCATCCCGGTTTCTGTTTTGTAGTTCATATTGAAGGCCATTCCAATGCATTTGCTCAAAGTGAGCACAAAGTGAGAGAATCTGCCTACAACACTTGCATGATCAGTCCCAGTGTCTCTTTTCAAAACCCTGGCAACTCTTTAGACATTTGCACTAGATCACTAAAGCTGTAATGATTTGTTGAGATGACCTGCAGCCTTATCTCTAGGCCTCTGCAAACATTTGGCAGCGGTATTGAGCCAGATACATGAGTAGGGGTTGAGATATATTGAATTTCCTGTACAGGGTTATGTTGCCGTAGAGGAGAAATGTGCATTTTGGCAGTTCTAGAAGATACATCCGAACACTATAAATACTATTAGTCCAAAGGTTTGTGGATACTCCTCCAAATGATTGATTCCGGGTGTTTCCAATAAAAGGTGCTGTTAATGCAACAACATACAAGGATATTTTAGACGCTTGTGCGTTTTGCAAATTTGTGGCGATAATTTGTGGAATGCTGTTTTGGCTGTATAGATACAAATTCTTATGGGCATGCAAACATTTCATGGAAGGCTTTCCCAGAAGAGCCCCACTCTTCTGGTATATCCACAAAGGAGGGAGGTCAACTCCATATAAATGACTGTGGTTTTGGAATGGGATTTTCATCAAGTTGGTATAGGTGTGACGGTCCGTTATTTAGACTTTTAGCCACGTAGTATACAGTGCTCAGCATAAATGAGTACACCCCTTTTTTGAAAAGTAAGGTTTGAATCAATATCTTAATGAATACAAGAACAGTATCCAAAATTTTGACAAAACTGATTTATAGAACATGTTTATCTCATTACATGAAAGTAAGGTTAATAATATACAAAATCTTCAGTTTTACTCAAATTAGTTGATGCAAAAATGAATCCACCGCACTACAAAAACTCCTCCTAGTATTTTGTATGACCTCCATGATTTGTAAGGACAGCACCAAGTCTTCTAGACATGGAATGACCAATTTGGTGACATATTGCAACATCGATCTTTTTCCTTTCTTCAAGAACGACCTCTTTTAGAGCCTGGATGCTGGATGGAGATGCTCAATTTGTCTCTTCAGAGTTCCTCATAGGTGTTGGATTGGGTTCAGATCAGGAGACATACTTGACCACTGAATCACTGTCACTCTGTTCTTCTTCAGAAATGCAGCAGTGGTCTTAGATATGTGCTTTGGATTATTGTCATGTTGGAAAAGTGCATGACAAACGGGGGCACGGAGTGATGGGAGCATCTTCTCTTTCAATATAGAGCAGTACATCTGTGAATTCATGACGCCATCAATGAAATAAAGCTCCCCAACACCAGCAGCACTCATGCAGCCCCACAGAAGGACACTGCCACCACCATGTTTCACAGTAGGCACCATGCGTTTTTCTTATTAATCTTCACCTTTGCGATGTCATACAGTTTTGAAGCCATCAGTTCCAAAACCATTTCTTTATCTTGGTCTCATCACTCCAGAGTACAGAGTCCCAGTAGTCTTCTTCTTTTTCAGCATGGGACCAGGCAAATTCTAGGTGAGCTTTTTGGTGCATGGCCTTTAGGAGAGGCTTCCTTCGTGGATGACCCCCATGCATGCCATTCCTCTGCAGTGTACGCCGTATTGTGTCACGGGAAACAATCACCCCAGTTTGGATTTCTACTTCTTTAGCTAACTGCAATGAACTTGCATGGCAATTTTCTTCAACCCTTCTCATCAGAAGACGCTGTTGAAGTGTTAACTTCCGCTGACGGCCTGGACATCTCTGTGAGATGGTTGCAGTTCCATCTTTGTTAAATTTTTCCATCACATATGCTATAGTATTCTGACTAATAACTAAAGCTTTGCTGATCTTCTTGTAGCCTTCACCTTTCTTGTGTAAAGAAATTATTTTCTTAGGCCTTGTGACATTTCTCTTCCATGTGGTGCCATTGCTGACAGCATGAAATGGGAGGGGTTTTCTTTAAGTAACGCTTTTATAATGAACTGTCTGCTGGAAGCCTGTTTAATGAATAATTAGACTCACCTGTAGGAAAATTCGTGTTAGCATTTTGTTGTCTAAAATTTAGCTTTTGCTTCTAATGCAGGCCATACATGGGTCGAATTCTGAACAAATTTTCTTTAGAAAATCAGAAATTTAGTATTTTTGTACTCCGATGGCGCCACCATTGATTTAGAAATTCATCCAACCAAGCCTTCAATTTCACCTCATGTTGCTACAGAAAAGAATTTTTGTGGGCAAGAATTTTTCTTTTCTTTCCGGGTCACAGCTCGCACTTATTTCTTTTTCGTTTATTTCTCGCACGATTCTCCCATCATTGATTCGAAATTGATTTTTTAAAAATATCTCCAATATGTCGATTACTCAGATTCGATGGCCGCTTGAAAACTGTCCGTTTCTATAACCCACTAACAGTGCGAAATTCGAACGAAAATTTTTGCAAAAAATTTTGAAAGAAAATTCTTTTGGAATTCAACCCATGTATGGCCAGAGTATTTTGTGGTATAGTGTCCCATAAAAAATGTGGATTCTGAAAGGAAAGTAAAGGTTTTCCGACCAATCTGTTGGGGTGGACTCATTTATGCTGACCACTGTACATACAGGTCTAAATGTTAGGTACTTCAGCCTGTAATTAACCTGTAAAGGCAGCTCCCAGTTTGAGATTACTTGTGAAATGAAGTGGAGGCGGTTAGTGAATAAAATTCAGTATTGCATATAACGGCTTTGTCCTTCTGCAGAAATTTCAAATCTCCTAATTGCGACAAAAGATGGCCTTGGACTGGCAACCCGTCTACCATATCAGCCAGTTGAGTTTCCATAGAATACTGAAGGATGAGATTGTACAAGTGAGTATGGGGTTTGGTTACTTTGGAAATAGTTTCTCAATTGAGATTTCTTGTATTTACAGTGCCTTGAAAAAGTATTCATACCCGCGTATGTTTTTTTTTTTTTTTTTTGACTGATTTTTTGATCCTATCTATTCTATAATAAAATTCTTTGTAAAAGAAAAAGTATTCATACCCCCTTGAAATTTTCCACATTATGCCATGTTACAACCAAAAACGTAAATGTTTTTTATTGGGATTTTATGCGATAGACCAACACAAAGTGGCACATAATTGTGAAATGTTAAATTGTTTTTCAAAATGTTTTTAAAAATAAACATCTGAGAAGTGTGATCTGCATTTGTTTTCAGCCCCCTTTACTCTGAAACCCCTAACTAAAATCTAGTGGAATCAACTGCCTTCAGAAGTCACCTAATTGGTAAATAGAGTCCACCTGTGTGTCAATTAATCTCAGTATAAATACAGCCCTCTGAGATTTGTTGGAGAACATTCGTGAACAAACCGCATCATGAAGGCCAAGGAACACACCAGACAGGTCAGGGATAAAGTTGTGGAGAAGATTTAGTTGCTTCTCCCTTTTTTTTTTTTTTTTTTTGTTTAGAACTATCCAATAAGGAGCAGCATAATGTAGTAGCCTAGAATAATTGGATGAAGTCTGCTGAGTTGATTCAACTAGTTATGGACATTGGACATGCTACACATGCCCAAATCAGTTGTATTTAAACACTTTTGACCTGTGTAGTATACCCAGCCTCTTCCTACCCTGCAGCTCTCTAGCCACATTTACTTAGGAGCAGATCCTTCCTATTTACATAGGAACAGATCCTTCTGCTTCTGACAGAACATTGTCTGCATTGTCAAGAAGATTTACAATGAAGCAATGTTATTGCTTCATTAGAACAACCCTGGTTCATTCATAGTAGCTCAAAGGAGTGACTTACCTTTTAGTTTGCCCTTCTGCCCACCTCAGGTCCACGCTGCTCACCACCACTACCATCTTCTTTTGTATCCTATCTCTGCAACCATTGGGCAGCCAGTGAAGAGCTTGCACGTTTGAGCTGCAATATCCCGCTTCCAGAGTCTGCATCTAATAAATGAGGCGGTGAATACACACCCATTCAAAAATCAGGAGGCGAAAGAAGTCTCCCCCCTAGCAAACTAAAGCCAAAACAGTTTTTTTTTTAAATTTTGGTTAACGTAACCCACTGACATTGTAATTTTTGCTATTTGTGTGCCATTGGGGAGATTTCCTTAATTTCCTGCCCTGTGGACACAACAACTATATCTTTTTGCTGCAACAATAAGAAAAAAAACTACTGAACCAGAAAAAATCCTCAGGTGGTCAGAGTAGTGTATCCATGGCTTCGTGTTCCCAGCACCAGCGATCAGTTGATTCTGGGTACCTGGTTTGCAGTGGTGCATTACTGTAGCGGTATATACCCCGTGTATGTGTTTCAGTGCAAAATATTTCAGATTAATTCATGTACATCATTGAATAAATGTGTAAGGCGCTCAAAAGCTTGCTTGTTTACCTACAGCTGGACCACATGGGCCGGGGGACCAGAACCCAGATCTACGAGGGAAGACTAGTCTACAAGGACGACAATGACAGTGAAATGAGTACTTCAGAGAAGGAGATTAAAGTCATCCTGAAAGTGTTGGACCCCAGCCACAGGGATATTTCACTGGTATGTTTCACCACCTTCTCTGTCCTTTTCCAAAAAGCTATTATTTTCCTGCTCTTCTGATAATATTCCAAATCCATTCACTAAAGTTCCGTTCTAAGATTTAGGGACTGAGTTGCCACGAAAAGAAAAAATAAATGCCCGAAGCTGTTATCTGCAAAAGAAGAAATATTATACTGACCTCTCTGGTACATAATTGATAGTTTTAATTAGAATCATAGTTGTTTCAGGGTGCCACATCCCTATAGAGTCGTATCGAAAAGGTAAATTAATGTCCTGGGACTTTTAGTATGCACCAAGAATGTAGACAGCGGAAATGAAATTCACTATTTATTAATACAATTTCTTAAAAAAGGCAGTAGACTACACCATATTAAAGACAACAGAAGAAACTGTACATAGATATATATATATATATATATGTGTGTATGTGTGTGTATATATATATATATGTGTATATATATTGTATATATATATATATATATATATATATATATATGTATATATATATATATATATATATATATATATATATATATATATATATATATATATATATATATATATATATATATATATATATATACACACACACACACGCTGTAGTTATATAATGGATATGGGCTGAAAACAAATCTTGATGCTTAAGTAAAATTTAGCAATGTTGACATGTGTTCGTAAAACCGTACATATCATCACAACTACTTTGTACATCCAGGTGAATTATACTTTTTTTATTTTTTTATTTTTCCCCCCAGGACAAATTGGGCTTTCATTTGGTGGTAAATGGTAATGGATATCGCCCAAAATAGTAAAAGAAAAAAATATTTTTCTTTTAAATTTAGCTGTATTTCTTGTTGCTACCAAAACCTACCACCAAAGAACAACCCAAAATAAATTTTCCAGCTCCTGACGATCGCAGCGATACCACATGTGTATATTTGTTCTTTGTAGCTGTAGTACAGCCCAGAAACAATAGTGCGCATTTTGCTTTTTTTTTTTTTGTCCTACCTAAAACACACTGATACAAATTTGAAAAAAAAAATCCTGATCTTGACCCAAACACTAACCCTGGCACTGACCTAGATCAAACCTTGATCTAGATATTATTTTTTTCTTTATTTTTTATTTTATTTTTTAATATTTATTCCTTTTTTTTATTACACACTGTTGTGAGGTTTTTGTATTGTTTTTTTTTTTTTTTTTTCTTTCTGCAAGGAGAGAGAGCTGCAATGTATTTTTCTCTCCATTCAGAGAGAAAAAAAAACGGGGATGGGCTTCAAAGTGACTGATCACTGTGATAGCCAAGGCAGTGATCAGGTGACCTGGAATTTGAAGTTCTGGTTCCCGATCGTTAGTATGGGACCTGGGGCTTCCAATGACAAACCCGGTCTTTGTGCTGCGAGCATGGTGCGCAGCGCACAACCAGCACAAAGGCAGATACGCAAATATGCAGCCCCATGGAAAAAAGCCCAGTTCTGTGAGGCTGCATATTTGTGTGACGTCGGCACCAGTGGGGTTAAGTAAACCGTAATGAAATTTGTTGATGAAATGTAAAAATATGTGCACATGGGATGGTAAAATGGTATGCTGAACCCCTTCTATGTCTGTTTGCAAAGTTGTGTTTCAAGCAGTGAGAGTGTCAGAGTTACGCAAACTCTTAATGCATAAAGTTAGACAATTTTGAAATGTTTGCCATCGTCCATCATCGCCAGACTTCAGGTAGCTCCAGCAGGCATGCATGTACATACACACATGATCTGAGCTGGATTAGTAATCGCATTCGCTGTCCTCCTAGAACAGGGGTCTCCTAACTTTCTAAACAAACGGCCAGTTTATGGCGCATCAGACTTCAGGGGGGCGACACTGTGGCCGGTGGGAGTAGAGAAATGCCCATGAAGTAAACAATGCCCCATGACTGGTATTAGGAGAAGTAATAGTACCCCATAGTTAGTATTGGAGGGAGAAATGGTGTCCCATCATTGGTGTCAATGAGAGGAATAGTGTCCCTTCATTGGTGTGGATGAGAGGAATAGTGTCCCTTCATTGGTGTCCATGAGAGGAATAGTGTCCCTTCATTGGTGTCCATGAGAGGAATAGTGTCCCTTCATTGAGAGGGTGTCCCCTTCATTGGTGTGGATGAGAGGAATAGTGTCCCTTCATTGGTGTCCATGAGAGGAATAGTGTCCCTTCATTGGTGTCGATGAGAGGAATAGTTTCCCTTCATTGTTGTCCATGAGAGGAATAGTGTCCCTTCATTGGTGTCGATGAGAGGAATAGTTTCCCTTCATTGTTGTCCATGAGAGGAATAGTGTCCCTTCATGGGTGTGGATGAGAGGAATAGTGTCCCTTCATTGTTGTCCATGAGAGGAATAGTGTCCCTTCATTGTTGTGGATGAGAGGAATAGTGTCCCTTCATTGTTGTCCATGAGAGGAATAGTGTCCCTTCATTGTTGTGGATGAGAGGAATAGTGTCCCTTCATTGTTGTGGATGAGAGGAATAGTGTCCCTTCATTGTTGTGGATGAGAGGAATAGTGTCCCTTCATTGTTGTGGATGAGAGGAATAGTGTCCCTTCATTGTTGTGGATGAGAGGAATAGTGTCCCTTCATTGTTGTGGATGAGAGGAATAGTGTCCCTTCATTGTTGTGGATGAGAGGAATAGTGTCCCTTCATTGTGTGGATGAGAGGAATAGTGTCCCTTCATTGGTGTGGATGAGAGGAATAGTGTCCCTTCATTGGTGTGGATGAGAGGAATAGTGTCCCTTCATTGGTGTGGATGAGAGGAATAGTGTCCCTTCATTGTGTTGTCCATGAGAGGAATAGTGTCCCTTCATTGTTGTCCATGAGAGGAATAGTGTCCCTTCATTGTTTTCCATGAGAGGAATAGTGTCCCTTCATTGTTGTCCATGAGAGGAATAGTGTCCCTTCATTGTTGTCCATGAGAGGAATAGTGTCCCTTCATTGTTGTCCATGAGAGGAATAGTGTCCCTTCATTGGTGTGGATGAGAGGAATAGTGTCCCTTAATTGTTGTCCATGAGAGGAATAGTGTCCCTTCATGGGTGTCCATGAGAGGAATAGTGTCCCTTCATGGGTGTCCATGAGAGGAATAGTGTCCCTTCATGGGTGTCCATGAGAGGAATAGTGTCCCTTCATGGGTGTCCATGAGAGGAATAGTGTCCCTTCATGGGTGTCCATGAGAGGAATAGTGTCCCTTCATGGGTGTCCATGAGAGGAATAGTGTCCCTTCATGGGTGTCCATGAGAGGAATAGTGTCCCTTCATGGGTGTCCATGAGAGGAATAGTGTCCCTTCATGGGTGTCCATGAGAGGAATAGTGTCCCTTCATTGGTGTGGATGAGAGGAATAGTGTCCCTTCATTGGTGTGGATGAGAGGAATAGTGTCCCTTCATTGGTGTGGATGAGAGGAATAGTGTCCCTTCATTGGTGTGGATGAGAGGAATAGTGTCCCTTCATTGGTGTGGATGAGAGGAATAGTGTCCCTTCATTGGTTGGATGTGGTGTGGATGAGAGGAATAGTGTCCCTTCATTGGTGTGGATGAGAGGAATAGTGTCCCTTCATTGGTGTGGATGAGAGGAATAGTGTCCCTTCATTGGTGTGGATGAGAGGAACAGTGTCCCTTCATTGGTGTCCATGAGAGGAATAGTGTCCCTTCATTGGTGTCCATGAGAGGAATAGTGTCCTTCATTGGTGTCCATGAGAGGAATAGTGTCCCTTCATTGGTGTGGATGAGAGGAATAGTGTCCCTTCATTGGTGTGGATGAGAGGAATAGTGTCCCTTCATTGGTGTCGATGAGAGGAATAGTGTCCCTTCATTGGTGTCGATGAGAGGAATCGTGTCCCTTCATTGGTGTCGATGAGAGGAATCGTGTCCCTTCATGGGAGTCGATGAGAGGAATAGTGTCCCTTCATGGGTGTCGATGAGAGGAATAGTGTCCCTTCATTGGTGTGGAAGAGAGGAATAGTGTCCCTTCATTGGTGTGGATGAGAGGAATAGTGTCCCTTCATTGGTGTGGATGAGAGGAATAGTGTCCCTTCATTGGTGTGGAAGAGAGGAATAGTGTCCCTTCATGGGTGTGGATGAGAGGAATAGTGTCCCTTCATTGGTGTGGATGAGAGGAATAGTGTCCCTTCATGGGTGTGGATGAGAGGAATAGTGTCCCTTCATGGGTGTGGATGAGAGGAATAGTGTCCCTTCAGGACTTTGGCTTTCCAAGGAAGACAGAAGACTCCGGCAGAAGAGCTCCTGTGTGCAGTCCTGAGGGGTGGACAGACGAAGTCCGGAAGTGCCGAAACGCGTTAGAGGAGCGACGTCAAGACGCACGCACACAGACCGGAAGTGTCGCCGTGGCCATTTTGTCGGTTATCCACACATGGTTTTCTACATTGTTTGGTGGAACTTGCTTAGAGCCATGTCTGGAGCTGAAATGTCTATGTTTTAAATGTAAGTGATTATTAAATGTATCCCTATGCATTGAATATCAGTCCTGAGACCACTCTTATCTTTCTGAGGACCTTGGAAAAATGCCTTTGAAGAGAGTATGGAGGATTTCTGTTCCATAATATTGATAAGCTTCTCAATACTCACAGAGGGTAATAGTATTTAGTAGTATTGTGTGCTGGTTGATGGTGTGCACAGAGTTGCAGTGACCACTGAGTGTTCACAGTTTGATTTGTGTGATTATGTGCACTATATGAAAACATTTTTTGAATAATTTATTCATTTATTATATAAATGTATATATATATTTGCACTAAATTGAGAGTTGCACTGGGTGATTACTTTAGTTTATTATGGTAATGCACTAGATTTCGTATTTTTTTTATTTTGAGGTTCTTACTGGATGGAATAGGAGGCAATCCTTTTATTTGATGAAAAAGTTTGAAAATTTGGGACTTTTTGGACATTGTTTGTATTTTTTGGACACTTTTGGTTTTTTGGACTTTTGTGATCTTTATTGAACACTTTGTGTTTTCATTTAGTTTATTTATTGTAATATATCACAAAAAGGTTATATATAGTACTACACTTTCTAGGGAGGAAGTATGACTTTTTGGGGGGTGTAAAGGAGGAGGGTTTACATTTATTCAGTGTCCCTTCATGGGTGTGGATGAGAGGAATAGTGTCCCTTCATTGGTGTGGATGAGAGGAATAGTGTCCCTTCATTGGTGTGGATGAGAGGAATAGTGTCCCTTCATTGGTGTCGATGAGAGGAATAGTGTCCCTTCATTGGTGTCGATGAGAGGAATAGTGTCCCTTCATTGGTGTCGATGAGGGGAATAGTGGCCCTTTATTGGTGTCCATGAGAGGAATAGTGTCCCTTCATGGGTGTGGATGAGAGGAATAGTGTCCCTTCATGGGTGTGGATGAGAGGAATAGTGTCCCTTCATTGGTGTGGATGAGAGGAATAGTGTCCCTTCATGGGTGTCCATGAGAGGAAATAGTGTCCCTTCATTGGTGTCCATGAGAGGAATAGTGTCCCTTCATGGGTGAGAGGAATAGTGTCCATGAGAGGAAATAGTGTCCCTTCATGGGTGTCGATGAGAGAAATAGTGTCCCTTCATTGGTGTGGATGAGAGGAATAGTGTCCCTTCATTGGTGTGGATGAGAGGAATAGTGTCCCTTCATTGGTGTGGATGAGAGGAATAGTGTCCCTTCATTGGTGTGGATGAGAGGAATAGTGTCCCTTCATGGGTGTCGATGAGAGGAATAGTGCCCCATTATCTGTGTCAGTGGCAGGAGCTATGCTCAGCTGTTGCTGACAGTGGGGAGAATAATGCCCAAAGGGCCGGATAAAAGCAAGCAAGAGGCCACATCTAGCCCTTGGGCCACAGTTTGGGGACCCCTCTCCAAGAAGAATTATCTGGTTTCTCCAGCATAGTCACATCTGCTCACAAAGGACACGAATTGTGAAGTGTTGCTTTTTATTATGGTTCTTAATTTAAAAAAAAAGTACTATCAAAAAGGTAGGTCTGTTGTATGTGTTTTTTAATGAGTTAAATCAGAATTATTGCTTTCCCCACTTTTCCTGTACCAGTGACAACTCAAAATGTTGGATTTCCCCATCACTTTCTGTTCTGGTTACCAGGATGAATTTACTAAATGGGGACAGGGTCAGCAGTAAAAACCTGACAAGGGCCCTAGCCATTCTCCTCTCCAAAACAGGAGGAAAACATTTTGGCTGTAGATGCATTTTAAATAAACAACACACTAACGCTAAAAATAAAAAAAAATAAACTGTACACAGCCATGTTGGTCTGCCATAGTGTTTTGCTCTGTATCTCAGTACTTTTCTCTCTCTTCCTCTGACAGGCATTTTTTGAGACGGCCAGTATGATGAGGCAAGTGTCACACAAGCATATTGTACTGCTCCATGGCGTATGTGTGCGAGATGTAGAAAGTAAGTGAAACCTTTCTATTTGTTTCTTACAGGGAACCTGTCAGCTCAGCTTTAACCACTTCCTGACGCCCTATAGCAGAAATTCTGCTACAGGGCGGCACGGGTGCGCAAAATCACGTGTGTATATATACATGATTTTACAGTTCCGGGTAGGGGGTGCGTACGTTCCCTACCGGTGCCGCCATTTGCGGCCACGGTTGTCAGTCACCAGGTCCTGGCTGGTGATTACTCGCCGGCTCCTGGTGATTACTGAGGATCTTCGACGGGGGAGAACTGTTTTCCTCCCTGACAGCTTAGGCACACTTTGCTTTGCATGGCTGTGCACAGCACAGCCATCCAAAAGTATGTGCTTGCAGTGAAGCACACAGACACCGCCCCCCTAGTAAAACACTCCCAGCACACAGTTAACCCTTTGATCACCACACGTTAACCCCTTCCTGCCCAGTGCCATTAGTACAGTGTCAGTGCATTTTTTTTAGCACTGATCGCTGTCCTGTTGTCAGTTACACCAAGTCAGTTTCCCCCCCCCCCCCCATGTCAGAATGTCGGCCGCAGTCCCGCTATAAGTCGCTGAGCGCCACCAGAAAAAAAATCCCAGTATATATACCGCCATTTATAACTGCTATAACTTTCACGTAAACCAATTAATTTACATGTATTGGGATTTTTTTTTTATTTTTTAGCAAAGACATGTTGCAGAATACATTTTGGCCTAAACTTATGACATTTTTTTTTTTTTTTTTTTTTCTGGACATGTTCAATAGCAAAAAGTCAACAAAGAATTGTCTGTCTCAAATTTCTTTTTTTTTTTTTTTAGCGCAAAAAATAACCGCTAAGCTAAATTCATGGGGAAATAAAAAGGACGTAAATTTAATTTGGGTGCCGGATGTGGCCCTTTTTGCTTGCTTTTATCATGCCCGTGGGGCACGATTTCATCCACTGATACCAGCAATGGGGCATAATTCCCTCCATTGACACCAATGAAGGGGCGCATTTCCTCCCAATGACACCAACAATGGGGTCAAATGACACCCATGATTAGGCATTTGGCACTGGGACTGATTTAATCACATCACAGTGGTTGTTTTTCATTTGTTACAATTCACAATTTATTTAATTTTGTTAATTAGCGCTGCACTTTTACATGCATGCAACTTAGCATACACACCTGCAGCGGTTCGCATGAACGGGGTGCAATCACAATGCGGTGCAGAAACCGGTGCGAATTCCGCACCGCATCAGTGTGAACCCGGGCTAAAGGATAACTTCACCTTTCGTAGCATGTTACACCCACACCCACATTCAGAGTGTAACATGTTCCGACCAGACGGGCCCCCGCACCCTGCTTTAACAGCTACTGGGGGATCTTCTCCCCTCCCGATACTGTCAAATATAAAAAAAAAAAGTCCTTAGTGAATGAGAGACTACAAGCTCCCTACAGCAATAGCAGCTGTCAGCTTGTACTCCTCAATGAGCTACCATGGCGCTGTGTCAGTATACCTGCTTGCTCATACATCCCGTACAGGTAGGCAGATATATTGACGGATCTGCAGGAGACCTGCATGGCACCAGCAATCTGCTGGTCGCTGGTGCAAAGCTTATACAGGCTCCTGCAGACAAAAATAATAAATGCCCATTTTTTTTTTAACCCCCCCCTGGCGGTATTCCCGAGTGTAGCTCGGGGTAAAGTTTTAGCACCACAAGCAGTAACCCCGAGCTGCACTCGGGCTTACCATGCGGCGTTGCTCTGGGATCTCTTCTTCACTTACCTTGTCCTGCGCTCCCGCGATGTCCCCCCTGCAGTGTCCCCTGTAATGTCCTCCGGCCGATGCCGGCATCTGTCTTCCGGGTTCCGTTCCCTGCGAGCGTCGGGACGTACGGGGGACAGAACTGGCGGGAAATTTTAAAATGTGAAAAAGTGACATTCATTAAATTCACTAAAACCACATAGTATAACATTCCTGTATCAAACCATTTCACATACATTTTGTCCCGAGTGCTTTGTCCTGCGCCCTGCCTGCATTTTTACTGTTCTTTCTGCCTGGAAACTGAGAAATGTCCATGGCGTCCAAAAAGCGTCCCTTTAGGTCAAAAGCGGTTTAGACCAGCTAGAGAACAGCGATAGTAAATCAGAACCACTTGCAGAATTGAGTGATAATGATTCGTGGGGGAAATTCCTCATCAGACACTGAAAACGATTCTGCGACTTTGCTCAGCGATGTGCGAACTTGGCGCTCCATTTCAAATTTCAGTGTTTTTGGTTTGATTACATTATTGAATTAAATTTATTATATTATTTTTTTATGATTATTTATTAAATTATAATTTATGATTTCGTGTTTCAAATGTTATCATACCCGGGATGTTTACTACACTCTTGTTTGGACAGATTTCAGTGAGTTATTCCTAAAAATTACAGGCCTACAATAAAAAAAAATACATGTTTCTATGCAAAAAAAAGTACCGCTTTGAGCACAGAAATACTGACATAATCATACCACTAGGGCGGCTACCCTGCAAAAAAAATTGTGCATTTATTATTTTTTTTACTAAAACGGGAACTTATCCTTTTAACACACTGCACCAGGACAGCAAGGTTTGAATGGGCCCTCGAAGTCTGAGCAATATCCGTACATCAGGATTGTGCATTGTGAATCAACATTAGACATTCATTATTTCAAGGAGAGGATTTAAGGGGAATATTATAGAGGGTCACTTGAGTCAGCTTCGGGCTGCTGGGATCACATCAAAGTTGGAGGCGTCCAGCAGCCGTCTCGGGGTTTATGGATGTCTGCACAAGGGGGGATTTTACAGCTAAATAACATAAAATGGGTTGCATGGACATACAACCTTATGGGAGGATGATTGATGAAAGGATCTGGAGAGTCTTTATTGTCAGATGTTTGCTGTGTCCATGGTTCGTTCATCAGAAAGGAAATTGCATATGGAAGAAATATACATCTACTATCTGTGTCTGATTCCTGGTAAGCTGTATGCAGCCATAATCTGATTCATAAATTGCTGTTCTAATTGTGTTTGCTTTTCTATAATAGTTAATGGAAATGCAGAAACAGAATAGAACTGATGACACTCAAAATATATATTTAAAAAAACATGCACACAACTAAACATTGGCATCTTTTATTTTAGACATCATGGTGGAAGAATACGTGGACTTTGGTCCTCTGGATTTGTTTATGCATCGCAGGAGCGACTGTCTCACAACGCCGTGGAAGTTTCAGGTGGCCAAACAGTTGGCGAGTGCCCTAAGCTACTTGGTGAGTAAAACGATAGCAATGTTATGGTGCTCTACCTTGTAACCCCTCGCCCTCCAGAGGATCCCCCCTCTTCCTGACCAGGTCATTTTTTGCGTTATGGCGCTGCGTTACTTTCACTGACAATTGCGCGGTCATGCAACGCGACACCCAAATTAAATTTACGTCCTTTTTTCCAATGAACAGCTTTATTTTGCTGGTATTTGATCACCTGTGCATTTTTTTTTTTATTTTTTGTGCTATGAAAAAAAAAAGACCAACAATTTTGAGAGAAATAACAATATTTTTTACTTTTTGATATTAAAGCTGTCCAGTAAAAAAAAATTTTTAAAAATCAAACGTCATCATAAATTTAGGCCAAAATGTATGTCTTTGCTCCCAAAAAAATTCCAATACGTTTAAATTGGTTTACATGAAAGTTATAGTGCTTACAAATGGAGATCTAGGTTTCCTTGAAGAGCACTATAAATTAACCCCTTGCCCTCCTGAGGATTTAACCCCCCCCCCTCCCACCTTTCTGACCAGGCCATTTTTTGCGTTATGGCGCTGCGTTATTTTAACTGACAATTGCGCGGTCATGCACGCTGCACCTAGATGAAATTTACGTCCTTTTTTCCCATGAATTGAGCCTTCTTTTGGTGGTATTTGATATCACCTGTGTGTTTTTTTATTTTTTGCGCTATAAAAAAAAAAACAAAAAAACGAAAATTGCAAAAAAAATATATTTTTGACTTTTTGCTATTAAACATGTCCAGTAAAAAAATTACATTTTGTCATAAATTTCGGCCAAAATGTATTCTGCTCCATGTCTTTGCTAAAGAATAAAAATCCCAATACGTGTAAATGAATTGGTTCATGTGACAGTTATAGCGTTTACAAATGGGCGGTGTGTGTGTGTATGTATATATAATGTGTGTGTGTGTGTGTGTGTGTGTGTATATGTGTATATGTGTGTATGTTATATATATATATATGTATATATATATATATGTATATGTGTGTGTATGTGTGTGTGTATATATATATATATATATATATATATATATATATATATATGTATACTGGGATTTTTTTTTTCATTTTTATTAGTAATGGTGGCAATCAGCGACTTATAGCGGGACTGCGGTGGACATTCTGACACTGGGGGGGGAACTGACTTGGTGTCACGGACATCCCCAGTGACACCAATACAGTGATCAGTGCTAAAAAAAAAAAAAAAGCACTGACACTGTACTAATGGCACTGGGCAGGAAGGGTTTAACATGAGGGGATGATCAAAGGGTTAACTGTGTGCTGGGAGTGTTTCCAACCATTGTTTGTATTAATGGGAGGAATAGTGCCCCATCGTTGGCTGCAGTGGGGGGAATAGTGCTCCATCTTTGATGTCCATATGAGGAATAGTGTTCCAATGTTTACATCAGTGGAAGGAAGTATGGCTCATCATTGGTGTCATTTGAATAGGGCCCCACTGTTGTCGTTGATGAGAGGAATTGTGCCCCACTGTTCGTTTCAGTAGAAAGAATGGTGCCTCATAATTGGTGTCAGTAGAAGGAAATAATGCCTCCTTTCAGTAAGAGAAATAGTGTCCCAAGGGCCCGACAAAGGCAAGTGAAGGGCCACAGTTTGTACCCACTACTCTAAATAGTTAGTTTGGGCCGGCTGTTTCCTTTACTAATAGATGCTTTGATGTCAGTGTGTGTAGCATCATCTTCATTCAGTATACAGCACTGTGATATGGGGACGTCCCACCCACCTCCAGTAAGAGTAAGAAGTGAGTCGGGGTAAGGAAGCCTTATGTTTATAAATGAACACAAGGTTTTCTCTGATTGGCAGAGGTGGAGAGGCAGGTGGATGATTTCACAATCACCTGACAGCAGTTCTGACCTCTCCTTACTTTTATACAAAAAAAAAAAAATAATAAAAGTTTTGGCTTTAGATAGGTTTTAAGGCTTGGTTCACATCTGTGTGGGTGGTACGGCTGTGGATCCACCCGAAAATCCGTGCAGACGTGCACAGAGGAATGCGGACCCGCGGGCGGGTGCCATTAATTCTAACCCTAGGTTCACATCTGTGCGGGTGGTGCAGAGAGAATTGTGGACCCGTGGGTGCCATTCGTTCTAATGGCTCGCCGCCCGCACTGGAAAACGCAACCGTACTGAGAACAGAGGTTCCTGTGTGTGCTGCGTTTTCCAAAGAAGTGCAGGGACTTCTTTCCCTGCGTGTCATGGGCATGGGAGTCCATTCAAATGAATGGTTGCTTGTGCATGAGCAAAATGCGTCCCGCATGACCGCATAGATGTGAACCGGGGGTAACCGCGGATCCTCACAAAAATCTGTGCTGCCGCACCACCCGCACGGAGGAATGCGGACCCGCGGGCGGTTGGCATTAGTTCTAATGGAACGCCACCTGCACTGGAAAACGCAACCGTACTGGGAACCGAGGTTACCATGCGGGCTGCGTTTTCAGAAAAAGTGCAGGAACTTTTTCCCTGCATGTCACAAATGGGCTCTCATGCCCGCGCAAAACGCTGACCTGCGCGGGCCGCATATATGTGAACCGGGGGGGTACCGGTATAACCGCAGACACCACTAAGCAGATTACAAGACATGGGGGTGCTGAGCGATGCGCATTTTTCACCTTGGAGGCCAAAGGACCTTGTCCTATCAATGCATGGGGGTCCTGCGTTTCTCCAGCAGGGGGGTGGCCGCAGGTCCCTCTTCCCAAAGCCGGTATTTTACTGCTCATATTATGGCTGCATATGATTCAGGAAATAAATGGGTTAGCAAGCGAGAGAAATCGATAACACGATTAATTTTCAGCGCGTGGGGTTTGGCTTCCCATAATAGCGGTTTATTGCTAAATGGCTGTATTAAATCGCAGATGAAATGCGGTCACCTCAATTAGTGGCAGTTCATTACTAATCCCATCTATCAATTACTTCTCATCTCCGGCCGGGCAAGCTGACAACTGCCGCTGAATCAGACATCCTTCCAGGGAGATGAACGGAAAGCGAATCATCTGTGTGCGAGCCATCAATTATGTGCGTGTTTACACACGATTCCCAGCACGGGCGGATGGCATTTCCAGGCAGCCTGTGTCTGTGGGCACGGATCTACAGTCAGGAAATTCATGTGTTATGTAATGGGATGCATTCAGAATGATGAAAGCCTTGTGCTGAGAAAACCATGCATTTCTGGGATCTGGCGATCGGTTCGGCTTTCTGCGATCTTTGCTTTGGGATCTGGCGATCGGATGCGTGCTTTCTGGGATCTGGCGGTCGGATGCGTGCTTTCTGGGATCTGGCGGTCGGATGCGTGCTTTCTGGGATCTGGCGGTCGGATGCGTGCTTTCTGGGATCTGGCGTCGGATGCGGTCTGGGATGCGTGCTTTCTGGGATGGCTGGCGGTCGGATGCTGGGTGCTTTCTGGGATCTGGCGGATGGTCGGATGCGTGCTGTCTGGGATCTGGCAGTCGGATGCGGATGCGTGCTTTCTGGGATCTGGCGGTCGGATGCGTGCTTTCTGGGGTCTGCGGCTGGGTCGGATGCGTGCTTTTTCTCGGGCGTGCTTTCTGGGGTCGGTCGGATGCGTGCTTTCTGGCATCTGGCGGTCGGATGCGTGCTTTCTGGTCATGGCTGGCGGTCGGATGTCGATGCTTTCTGGCGTCTGGCGGTCGGATGCGTGCTGCTTTGGCTGATGCATCTGGCGGTCGGATGCGTGCTTTCTGGCGTCTGGCGGTCGGATGCGTGCTTTCTGGCATCTGGCGGTCGGATGCGTGCTTTCTGGCGTCTGGCGGTCGGATGCGTGCTTTCTTCTGGCGGTCGGATGCGTGCTTTCTGGCATCTGGCGGTTCGGATGCGTGCTTTCTGGCGGTCGGATGCGTGCTTTCTGGCGGTCGGATGCGTGCTTTCTGGCGGTCGGATGCGTGCTTTTTGCGTGCTTTCTGTCGGATGCGTGCTTTCTGGCGGTCGGATGCGTGCTGTCTGTGATCTGGCGGTCGGATGTGTGCTGTCTGTGATCTGGCGGTCGGGATGCGTGCTTTCTGGCGTCTGGCGGTCGGATGCGTGCTTTCTGCTGGCGGTGCGTGCTTTCTGGCTGCGTCTTCGGATGCGTGCTTTCTGGCGTGGCGTCGATGCGTGCTTTCTTCTGGCTCGGGCGTGCTTTCTGGGATCTGGCGGTCGGATGCGTGCTTTCTGGCGTCTGGCGGTCTGGCGGTCGGATGCGTGCTTTCTGGCGCTGGCGGTCGGATGCGTGCTGTCTGGGATCTTCGGTCGGGCGTGCTGTCTGGCGGTCGGATGCGTGCTTTCTGGGATCTGGCGGTCGGATGCGTGCTGTCTGGGCTTTCTGGCTGGCGGTCGGATGCGTGCTGTCTGGCGGTCGGATGCGTGCTTTGGCGGTCAGATGCATGCTTTCTGGGGTCTGGCGGTCGGATGCGTGCTTTCTGGCGTCTGGCGGTCGGTTGCGTGCTTTCTGGGGATCTGGGCGGCGGTCGTGCTTTCTGGGATCTACGGACGTGCTTTCTGGCATCTGGCGGTCGGATGCGTGCTAGCTGTTGCAGTCTTTATTTTTTAATCCTTTAACCCATTTCTGCTCGCAGTCTGTAGATTGACATTGCTGTAAATCGGGGCTCTCCAAACAATGGCCCTCCAGGGGTTGATGAACTGCAAGTCCCATGAGGCCTTGCAAGACTCTGACATCCACAGGCAAGACTCCCAGAGGCATGATGGGACTTGTAGTACTTCAGCAGTTGAGGGCCATAGTTTGGAGACCCCTGCTCTAAATGATGCCCAGCAATTGAGGGTACATTAAAGTGATAGTATCAATAACAAGCATGTGATATTAATACTGCAATACTATAATGGTTTTTGCACAGAGCAGCCCCGATCCTCCTCTTCTCAGGTTCCCTCCCTCCCCCTAGTGCCCCCATAACAAGCAGCTCCACCCCTGCTCTAGGCTCATTGGCTATGATTGGCAGTAGCTGGCGCCAATGGCTGCCACTGCCATCTCATCCAGTGAGGAGGGAGAGAACTGGGAGAGCCAAGGCTTTCATGCACACTGCTGGATCAAGGTGGGGCTCAGGTACGTTTTCGGGGGAGTTGGGGGGGGAGCTGCACACAGAAGGTTTTTAACTTTAGGCATAGAATGCATGAAGGTAAAAAATCTTGAGCTTTTATAACCACTTTAATCTACTTCCTCCCTGTGACAGATGATACTATTAGTGATCAGATCAAACTGTCACCGCTCCAGTCCTCCACAGTGGTTTTAGATCATGTGATCACCACGTCAGTTATTGCAAAGTACTCACAAGCTGGAGATTTCATTTACAAAATGTGCATTCAGGTTCAAAATACCAGTCTGGTACAAGGTGTCATTGTATCTCAATTTAATACTATAATTGGCAGATGACAGGATTAAAAAAAAATATGTAGGATTATATATACTATATACACACACTACATTTTTGTGCATTTTCACAGCCTATAATAAAAACGAAGCAGGAAACATGAAGATTGGATGACCGCACTTCTACAGCAATAAGATCCCTAAAGTTTGTTATCAAAAATCAAATCAACACTTGCTGTTCAGAATTGCACCCAATGCCTTGTAAATCATACAAGCATATTCCGCACGCAAAATGGTGATACTAGTATATGCAAGTGTGCGTACAGTGAGGAACAGAAGTATTTGAACACCCTGCGATTTTGCAAGTTCTCCCACTTAGAAATCATGGAGGGGTCTGACATTCACATTGTAGGAGCATTCCCACTCTGAGAGACAGAATTTAAAAAGAAAATTCAGGAAATCACATTGTATGATTTGTAAAGAATGTATTTGTCTCGCACTGCTGAACATAAGTATTTGAACACCTGAGAAATCAATGTTAATATTTGGTACAGAAGCCTTTGTTTGCAATTACAGAGGTCAGACGTTTCCTGTAGTTCCTGACCAGGTTTGCACTGCAACAGGGATTTTGGCCCACTCCTCCACACAGATCTCCTCTACATCTGTCAGGTTTCGGGACTGTCGCTGAGCAACACGGAGTTTCAGCTCCCTCCAAAGATGTTCTATTGGATTTGGGTCTGGAGACTGGCTAGGCCACTCCAGAACCTTGATATGCTTCTTACGGAGCCACTCCTTGGTTATCCTGGCTGTGTGCTTCGGGTCGTTGTCATGTTGGAAGACCCAGCCACGACCCATCTTCAATGCTCTGACTGAGGGAAGGAGGTTGTTGCTCAAAATCTCACAATAAATTCATCCTCTCCTTAATTTTTTTTTTTTTTTTTTTTAAAGTAATGTTCCAGGTTAGTTTGAGCCTGTGGCCAGCTAAGCAGCTTACCTGCCCTTCCCCAAGCGTATGTTGTGGATACAACTTGCCATGGCACACACTGCGCTGGAACCCAACGATAAATGCAGAAAGTTTGGAGTTTAAGTGATGCCCTTTGTTCACTAAGAAGGAATCTTAGACCTCCTGAAAGCATCTTTAATAACCTAAGTTAGCCAATCAAAAATGCATTACCTAAACTCCAAACCTTCTGCATGAACTGGTGGACACCATGACACAGGACTCTACTACTGTCCCAACAGTAAACAAACCCCGATTCTTGCCAGCTTTCATTTCACCCCTCACCTGTGCTGGGACTGGATTTACAGCCTTCACTGCAGCTTGTAGTGCAAACAATAAAAAAAAAAAACACAAAAAGGTCAAGACAATGTCGTCTAATGTAAATTTACTAGGATATTGATTTTGGTTGATGGTAAAATGCCCAAAATGATAAACCTGATCCAGCTCATCTGATTGTTACATTTGAAATTCTCTGATATGCATGTATGTATGTATGCATGTATGCATGCATGTATGTGCCTTCAGGGCTTTCAGACTAAACAGAGACGTCATGTTTTCTTCTGCAGGAAGATAAGGACTTGGTACACGGGAATGTCCGCACTAAGAATATCCTACTTGCGAGAGAAGGGATAGACCATGACTGTGGCCCCTTCATCAAGCTGAGTGACCCTGGGATTCCTATAACTGTGCTGTCCCGACAAGGTAAGAGAGCAGCGAGTCTCCTAAACCAGCCACCTCACACCCACTCCACTGATCCTGGCTTTGTAAAGTGCCGAGTTTGCTGAAGAATGTGTTGTGATGTAGGGGTCTGAGGGGGACTCACCCCACAAGGCTGTCAAATTGGGAGCAGGGCGTCTGGGTGCCACTGTCTAATTGACATGAATGGGGCCTGCACAGGGATGAAACAATTGTGCGTGCGCCGGCCAGCGCTGGTGCTCGGTGTGCGGGCCAGCGCTGGTGCGCCGGTGTGCGGGCCAGCGCTGCGGTGTGCGGGCCAGCGCGGTGTGCGGGCCAGCGCTGGTGCGTCGGTGTGCGGGCCAGCGCTGGTGCGCCGGTGTGCGGGCCAGCGCTGGTGCGCCGGTGTGCGGGCCAGCGCTGGTGCGCCGGTGTGCGGGCCAGCGCTGGTGCGCCGGTGTGCGGGCCAGCGCTGGTGCGCCGTGTGCGGGCCAGCGCCGGTGTGCGGGCCAGCGCTGGTGCGCCGGTGTGCGGGCCAGCGCTTGGGCGTCCATGTGCACTTAGGTTAGCACATATGAGTAAGCCTTAGTGATGAGCTTTACAAATATGCTTCGCACTGTTGGTTTGGACACTACATACCTACCAGAGCACTGTTGAAATGAAATGAGTGAATGGTGGGGGCTTGGAAAAAGCCGGTCGTGTGGCCTGCCGGGTCGTGTGGCCTGCCGGTCGTGTGGCCTGCCCTGCCTGCCGGTCGTGTGGCCTGCCGGTCGTGTGGCCTGCCGGTCGTGTGGCCTGCCGGTCGCCTGCCGGTCGTGTGGCCTGCCGGTCGTTTCTTTCTTGCTATAATGAAATCCATTTTGCTGTGATCAGCAGAGAAAGGATTCACACCGTGGGCTTCATTTTATAAATGAGCTGTAAAATGCTGCTTGTTATAAATGTGCCCCTTAGTCCCAACTTTTTTTTTACCCTAGAGCGTGTGGAGAGAATTCCGTGGATTGCTCCGGAGTGTGTGGAAGATTCCCGAATCTTGACTGTAGCTGCTGACAAATGGAGCTTTGGAACCACATTGTGGGAGATCTGCTTTAATGGAGAGGTTCCTTTGAAGGACAAGACCCTGGCGGAGGTATGGGTGACTCCTCTACATGTCCAATTTACACCCGTGCAATGTTGTTTGATGTCATAATGGGTTAAAGAATATCTCCAATCCAGAGCTGATCATTTCTATGTTGTTAACAAGTTGAATCGCATGCTGGCTGTTTATATCACGTGGAGGTGTGAGGTCTTCTGGCCAGAATTCCCAGTTCCACAATCTTTGCAAAGCTTATGTGTTGCATTTCTCCTAGCACTAGAAATCAGCTGATTATTGGAGGAGTCTGGACACCAAAGAGCATCGCCCTCTTCTCCAGCAAAAACCGCTCTTGAATTCTCAGACATAAAAGAAGCCAAAGAGATCACCATTGATCTGTGCATCCTCCCTCTATGGCACACAGTATGACAGAACTTGCATTGAACAACAAACGCCAACCCTAAAATATACTCCTATCATTTAAATATATTCCAGAATACCCACCAAGGATATAAATCCACTTTGTGTGCACCAAATGCACAATACATACAAAAAGTAATAAAAGTCCAAAAAGACAAGTTATTAGCTTGTAAAAGTAGCAGTGGCATCTTCATAGTGCTGTGCAGGGAGTTGAGCTGTGGGAGGGGCCTAGCAGCAGCTCCGCTCACTTCAGGCTGCCTACGGAAAACTACAGGAGTGGGCGGAGACGAGACCAGTCATCCTGCTCAAGGAGAGAGAGCAGCAGTGAGCGGTCTGTATTACAGGAAGCTCTGCACAGAGGGAAAGTCTCACACTGGATTACTGAACAGATCTGCAAGAAATACACAAAGTACACCGAGATTCAAGTAATGCCTCTTGCATTGTTAAATGCTTTCAGGAAGAGCTAGTGATGCCACTTTAACTTGGGGCATACAGTTGCAAGAAAAAGTATGTGAACCCCTTGGGATTACGTGGAGTTTTGCATGAATTGGGCATAAAATGTGCTCTGAACGTCATCTAAGTCACAATAGAAGAACACAGTCTGCTGAACATAATAATACACAAACATTAGATGTTGCCATGGTTTAATTGCACATAACATGTAAACATTCACAGTGCAGGGAGGAAAAAGTATGTGAGGCCCTAGCTTAATGACTTCTCCCAGAGCTAATTGGAGCCAGGAGTGAGCCAACCTTGACTCCAATCAGTGTGATGATATTGGATGTGTTGCTGACAGCTGTCCTGCCCTTAAAAAAACACACACCTGTTTTGGGTTTACTGGTTTCAAGAAGCACTGTCTAATGTGAACCATGCCTCGCAGAAAAGAGCTCTCAGAAGACCTACGATCAAGAATTGTTGACTTGCATGAAGCTGGAAAGGGTTACAAAAGTATCTCCAAAAGCCTTGATGTTCATGTGTCCACGGTAAGACAGACTGTCTACAAATGGAGAACGTATGAGCACTGTTGCTACTCTCCCTAGGCGTGGTCGTCCTGTAAAAAATGACTGCAAGAGCACAGCGCAGAATGCTGCATGAGGTAAAGAAGAATCCCAGAGTGTCAGCTAAAGACCTACAGAAATCTCTGGCACATGCTAACATTTTTGTTGACACATCTACAATAAGGAAAACATTAAACAAGAATGGAGTACATGGGAGGACACCACGGAGGAAGCCATTGCTGTCCAAAAAGAATATTGCAGCACGTTTGAAGTTTGCAAAAGAGCACCTGGATGTTCCACAGCACTACTGGCAAAATATACTGTGGACAGATGAAACCAAGATTGAGTTGTTTGGGAAGAACACACAACACTATGTGTGGAGAAAAAAAGGCACAGCACACCAACATCAAAACCTCATCCCCACTGTGAAACATGGCGGAGGGAGCATCATGGTTTGGGGCTGCTTTGCTGCCTCAGGGCTGGGATGGATTGTTGTCATTGATGGGAAAATGAATTCCAGAGTTTATCAAGACATTTTGCAGGAAAACGTACGACCATCTGTCCGCCAACTGAAGCTCCGCAGAGGATGGGTGATGCAACAGGACAATGACCCAAAGCATACAAGTCATTCAACAAAACAATGGCTGCAACAGCACAGAATACGCCTTCTGGAGTGGCCCAGTCAGAGTCCTGACCTCAACCCGATTGAAATGCTGTGGCATGACCTTAAGAGAGCGATTCACACCAGACATCCCAAGAATATTGCTACACTGAAACAGTTTTGTGAAGAGGAGTGGTCCAAAATGACTCCAGATCGTTGTGCAGGTCTGATCTGCAACTACAGGAAACGTTTGGTTGAGGTTATTGCTGCCAAAGGAGGGTCAACCAGTTAAGTCCAAAGGTTCACATACTTTTTCCTCCCTGCACTGTGAATGTTTACATGTTATGTGCAATTAAACCATGGCAACATCTAATGTTTGTGTAGTATTATGTTCAGCAGACTGTGTTCTTCTATTGTGACTTAGATGACGTTCAGAGCACATTTTATGCCCAATTCATGCAAAACTCCACGTAATCCCAAGGGGTTCACATACTTTTTCTTGCAACTGTAACCTTTTTTTAATGAGATGGTAGAGTAAGTTTTGGTTCTGCCTGGCCCTAGACAGAATGAGTGACAGGTACTCTTTGTAACTGTTTCTTGTCATGTTGGCTTCTGTACGCACAAGTTTCAGTCGACAAGTTTGCCCTTTTTTTGAACCTATAATTAGGGATAAGGATGCACTTTGTGGGGTCGGCTTTTCCTGCTACAACTCGCCATTAATGAGGATAGGGGTGGTTAGCAGCTTGCACACTCCACAGACATTGGCCAATTGTCATTGCTGCTTCTAGTTTCAGGTCTGTTCTCTTCCACAGACTGGTAACAAATTGCTGGCCAATGACTGTTCTGGCCTAATGTTGTTCATCGCAGAACTTTTCACAGCCTCATTTAGTTAAATGGTAATCAGAATGGTTTTGGGTCAGTCACATTTTTTTTTTTTTGTAAGTTTTAAACTCATTTTTTTTGTATTATGCCTTTTTATTTTTTGTTTGCTTTATAAAGAAACCTTTAGCACAGGGTGAATCCATGACGCTGATGCCATAGAAACACATTTTTTACACATTCCAGTGCATTTTTGATGCATTCTAGCGCGTTTTTGATACGTTTTACTGCTTTTTAGTACAGTTTTCTGCATGATAAATGCAGCATGTTTGTGTTTTTTTTTATTTTTTTTTTTACTGGAACGCACTGGAACTGCAAGCACTGATGTGAACCATGCCATTCACAAGCATGTAACCTACTTTTTTGTGCGTTTTTGGATGCAGAAAAAAGCTAAACTGGAAAGCATGGTGTAAACCAGCCCTTAGAGCATGGGTGCTCAACATGTGGCCCTCCAGCTGTCATGGAACTGCAAGCCCCATCATGCCTCTGCCTTTGGGAGTCATGCTTGTAACTCAGCCCTGCAATGCTTCATGGGACTTGTAGTTCCGCAACAGCTGGAGGGCCGCCAGTTTGACACCTGTGCCTTGGAGTATGGGTGCTCAACCTGTGGCCCTCCAGCTGTCACGGAACTGCAAGCCCCATCATTCCTCTGGGAGTCATGCTTGTAACTGTCAGCCTTACAATGGCTCATGGGATTTGTAGTTCCGCAACAGCTGGAAGGCCTCCAGTTTGACACCTCTACCTTAGAGCAGGGGTAGGCAACCTGTGGCTCTCTAGCTGTTGTGGAACTACATTTCCCATGAGGCATTGCAGATTACAAAACTGACAGTTACAGCTATGACTTGCAGAGGCATGATGGAACTTGTAGTCCTGCGGCTCTTAGGTTGCCTACCCCTAGGTGCTCAACCTGTGACCCTCCAGCTGTCATGGAACTGCAAACCCCATCACGTCTCTGCCTTTGGGAGTCATGCTTGTAACTGTCAGCCTTGCAATGCCTCATGGGACTTGTAGTTTCACAACAGCTGGAGGGTCGCCAGTTTGACACCTGTGCCTTAGAGCATGGGTGCCCAACCTGTAGCCCTCCAGCTGTCATGGAACTGCAAACCCCATCACGTCTCTGACTTTGGGAGTCATGATTGTAACTGTCAGCCTTGCAATGCCTCATGGGACTTGTAGTTCTGCAACAGCTGGAGGGGTCAGAGAAACCTCTGGTCAGTTTACTGTCTCTTTCGGATCAAAACTCTCATATGGACCATGTGAACAGAGCAGGCAGAGGAGGAGGAGTCGCTTCTTTGGCTTAGTCACTCGTGTGGAAATTTTAACGACTGTAAACCTGCTTATTTTTCAGCAAAGCAGCGAAGGATAGTTCTGATTGTAAACATATAGGACATATATACAAAACCAACATATAATTCCTTTTAACATTCTGTTTATTGCAAAGTGGCACTTAATAGTATTCTTTTTTTTTTTTTTTTTTTTTGTTTTTTAAAACACAGCATCGTGTACGCTTGATTCTAATTAGATTTTCATGACTGTTTTGCAGAAAGAGAGGTTTTACGAAGGATGCTTCATGCTGACAAAGCCATCTTGCGAAGAGCTGGCCAACCTGATCATCAACTGTATGAACTACGACTCCAACAGACGGCCGTTCTTCCGAGCCATAATGCGGGAGATCAATAAGCTGGAGGAGCAGAGTGAGTCTTGGGGTCGGGGGCCTCCTTTAGTTAGAGCTCTGACCACAGAGATCTTTGATTAAAGTGCAACTTTATGTGTGAAATAAAATAGTTGGGAACATTCAGGCTTTTTATACAGAAGGAACTTACTATGCCTCTTCTACATTAATGTCCACGTTTGTCCTTTTTTTAAATCATTTGTTTGGGCCAAGCTGTCCTAAACAAACGATTTACTGCACTAAAGTTGCACTTAACCTTGCTGGGCAAGCTGTATTAACTGTATAAACCCAGCTACATACAGTATACAGCACCGTGTTCCAGCAATGGGACAGGGACTTCCCTTCCCACTCCTGAAACAAAATAGTCAGGCTGAGTGCTGCACAGCCATTCACAGGAGGCTTTGTATTCTGTGAATGAATACAAAATGTTCTGTGGCTGAGGTGGAGATTGTGATGTCATCCACCTGCCTCTCTGCCTTTTTAGCCACTTGCCTACCGGGCATTTATACCTCCTTTGTGCCCAGGCCAGTTTTCAGCTTTCAGCGCTGTCGTACTTTGAATGACAACTGCGCGGGTCATGCAATATTGTACCCTTAATGAATTTTTTAGCATTTTTTTTTTGAGACAGATAAAACTTTATTTTGGTGGTATTTATTCACCGCTGGGATTTTTATTTTATTTGCTATATAAATGAAAGTCCAAAAATTTTGAAGACTATTTTTATAATTTTTTTTCACACAGAGATTTCTTTTGGTGGTATATAATTGCCACTAGGGTTTTTATTTTTTGCACTATAAACAAAAAAAGATAAAAAAAAAAAAAAGTTTTTTGTTTCGATTATAAAATTTTGCAAACAGGTAATTTTTCTCCTTCACTGATGTGCGTTGATGAGGCTGCACTGATAGGCAGCGCTGATGGGCACTGATAGGCGGCACTGGTGGGCATTGATGAGGAGGCACTGATGAGGCACTGATGATGCTGCACTGGTGGTCACTGATGCCTTTTTTTTTAGGTGGAGATCCTGATGGGTGGCACTACTGGCCACAGATCATCAGGGCACAGACGGTCAGGGCACAGATCATCAGGGCACAGATCATCAGTGCCGACATGCTCTGTGACAGCTTTAGGAGATTGGTAGCCCCTCTCCATGAGGAACATACCGGTTATCGGTAGTACTTTCCTCACACTGTGACAGCACACGAGGAAAGTGCAGCCGATAACCGGCAACTGTATGTACTCCGTGATCTGCTGTGTCATTTGGACACGGCTGATCACGTGGTAAAAGGCCTCTGTGATTGGCCTTTTACCTCATCAAGTGATCAGCTGTGTCCATAGGACACCGCGATCACGGAGATTGCCGGGGGCACGGCGGAGGGCGCATTCTGCGAGAACGTCATGACACCCTCCCAGAACTGGGTAAAGCTGTGTGCTGTAGCCGTCATTCGGCTATAGCGGGGTTACCAATTGGTTAAAGGGACAATAAATGTAGAGTTGGGTTTTAAACTATTCTTGCCTGCCCTGTTGGCAATGTACACTGAGCTGCACAGAGTTTCGGCATTGAATGAGATGAACGAACTCCTCCGCATCTGTTGGAGTGAGATCACCTCAGGCCCAGCCAGTAAAAATGGTGGAAGATTGGAACCCAGGACGACGACTGGCCAAAGATGTCATAAAGGAGTTTGAGAATGACACAGTACTGGAGTGGAGGGGAGTATAGTTTTGCTTTAAGGACCAAATAAAAACGGCTCCATCCCTCTTCAAGTGCTTCAGTTTTGGGGAGGCGAAAAAAAATCCCCTTTTCTAACCCTACAAATAATAATCTAGACCTATTTGTTTTTCTCCTCTTGGTATTTCTGTCCAGTAGTAGTAGGCTCCTTTCACACTTGTGTAACTTGTGATCCAGCTTGTGAGACCCCAAATCACAGGACATGTGACATTCAATGTATTCCTATGAGAGCTGCTCCTATTGACACTTCTGAAGTCACTGCAACTTCAGCGACTAGGAGCACCGGCAGGGGACCCGAGAAGAGGAGGATCAGGGCTGCTCTGTGCAAAACCACTGCACACAGCAGGTAAGTATAATTTGGTTGCGTTGTTTTTTTGTTTTTTTTAAAATTATTTTATTTTTTCTAAGTTAAGCTTTTATACTGCCCCGTACTACATCACTGACCTAATATCCAAGTACCACCCAACACGCACACTCCACTCCTCACAAGACCTCCTTCTCTCTAGTTCCCTGGTCTCCTCCTCCCATGCCCGCCTCCAGGACTTCTCCAGGGTGGCACCCATCCTCTGGAAACTCCCTGCCCCAACCCATCAGATTATCACCTACTCTCCTATCCTTTAGGCGCAGCCTGAAAACCCATCTCTTAAGGGAAGCCTACCCCACCCCCTGCTAACACCCGACCTCCTCCACTCTTCCTACCACTCCATCCCCCACAGCTATCTCCTCCTGTGCCACCATCCCCTCCCTCCTAGATTGTAAGCTCCAAGGAGCAGGGCCCTCGATCCCCTCATGTTTTGCATTGTATTGTATTGTTCTGTCACATGTTCTGTCCCCCTTTGTAATGTACAGCGCTGAGCGAACCATTGGCGCTTTATAAATACTGTATAATAATATAATAATAATAGAATCACTTTACGTCCTTTAAGTTGCGAGGTGGGGCTGGACTTTATTTTTAGTAGCACAGATACTTGATTGAGATCTGGAGAATTTAGAGGCCAAGTCAACGCCTCAAACTCATGTTCCTCAAACCATTCTTGAACCATTTTTGCAGTGTGGCAGGGCACATTATCCTGTAGAAAGAGGCCACTGCCATCAGGGAATACAGTTTCTGTGAAGGGGGGTACTTGGTCAGCTATGATTAGATAGGTGATATGTGTCAAGGAACATCCACATGAATGGCAGGTGCCAAGGCTTCCCAGCAGAACATTGCCTATAGTATCACTGCCTCAGTCCAGGCTTGTCTTGTTCCCGTACCGCATCCTGATGCCGTCTCCTCCCCAGGTAAGTGACGCACACACACCCGGCCATCCACATGATGGAAAAGAAAACGTGATTCATCAGAGCAGGCCACCTTCCATTGTTCCCTGGTCCAGTTCTGATCCTCATGTGCCCGGTGTACAGATTTTGCCTGACAGCAGCAGTAGCCAATGGCTTCCACTGCTGCCAGCCAAGCCTGGAGAACCAGGAGAGGACACCGATCAGCATGGGCACCCTGACCGGTCTGCGGCTATGCAGCCCTATACACAACAAACTGCAATGGACATTTTTCTGCTTTCAGCTTTAGGGACAATGTACCTACTCCACCAACTTTCACATGCCATTGTAATGGGATACTCCATGATATTCTCCTAAACTGTCAGTGATCATAATGTTATGGCTGATGGGTGCAAACTGGACTGGAAAACATGCAATATATGTAGTACTGTAACCATTTAAATGTTAAAACAAAGTCTCCAAGCAACTGCTGATGAAAACTGTGCTTTAATATTGTAGTGGTCAAAGTACTCCATGTGTTTGTTGCGTTCTCCCAGTCCAATCCAATGTATATATGATGTTTCTCATCTTTAAGCCCTGGTGAAGGGGGATGACTTCTGCCCCCCTCCGAAACGTGTTGACACGATTTGATTTTACATGGAAATGAATTTGTATCTGGAATATTTTGTGGCATTCCGCTCAGTCTCAGAGACTCAGGATTTTATTGATGTCTGTGTCCCTAATGGGAAGATTTCCCTTCTCGGTTTATCATGTTGACCACTCTCACTGGGACCGAAAGCCTTCCCAGCTGGCAGAACACAATGATTGCTGCTAGTGGCTATAGCCGCTGGCAGTAATCACATATAGAAAAAAAAAATACATTCAGGTTGTACCCAAGTTGATCGATGTGTACAATCAGCCTACCCATACATGGATCGAATCTCAGCCGGCCCCTGCTGTAAAGGCCGAATTTTGATCCATATACGGCTGGTTTTAGACAGTGTGTTACTAGTAGGATTACCAGGTGAAATAAAAGAAATAAAAAGCCTAAAAGAAAACGAATCCGACTATCACATCTAATGATTGGTAGCTGCAATATATTACATTTTTTGTTTTTGGGATTAATACTTTAAATGTGTTTTTTATTGATCCTCTCTCCTCTTGTTCTTCAGATCCAGACATCGTTACAGAAACCTCTGTTTCTACAGAAGTTGATCCAAGTTTGTTCGAGAAGAGGTTCCTGAAGAGAGTTCGGGATTTGGGGGAGGTAAAGTCTGAGAAATCCCAGAAGCCAGAGGCTGTATAAGGGCCTCTTTTTAGTGAAACGTACAATGACACGTGCTTGGCACTACAAAAGGCGCAAGGGCATTGCCATGGATTATCAATGGTACCAGAACGTACCGGCACTACAGCAGTATCGAAAGTAACCGTCGCACAGGTTTTACTGTGTTGGGGCCCAGCGGTGCTGCAGCGCACCAAAAAAAAAAATGCTCTGCTGGGTTTTTTTTTGTAAAGAAAGAAAAAAAACCTCAGCGCCCAGGACTCCCTTGCCCCCCCACACACTATTCCCTGTGAGATGCTGCTGTACACGGGTGCAAAACCAAAAAACTTATTTCAACTTAAACCCGCGCAAAACCCACAAAGCAGTATAAATAAATAACCCAGCCCATAAATAATATTAATGTCAAAAATCAAAATACATTGTGACACATAAAAAAATAATAAAGTGATTTAAATAAAATCTGAAAAAGTCTAGTGACAAATTCAAAAAACAGTCCCGTGAAAAAACTGTATTTTCATTGGATTCTTCTGTGCCAATAATACCTCCACCATCCACCAGATGGCCGTCCCGGCGTCTGACGTCATTTCCGCTGAGCGGTGCGTTCCAAGGGGCCATCTTTGCCTAGTGAATGAGGCTGCATCTGAGGTCTATTATCCTGCTGTATACCTGGCTGTGGGGTCTCTATACAGAAATTGGAAAATCGTTTTTATATGAAAGAACGATCGGTTTGCTTCAATAAAATACTGGTTAATATCTACTAACATGTGAGTGGTCTGGTTAAAATTCTTTTGAGATTGGAATTTATAACGGTATCACGCTATGGTCTTTTTTTCTTCTTCCTGATTTTTGGTGGATTCGGTGAGAGGAGTAACCGGAGGAGGTTTCTATGTCTTAGAGGAGGCAATATTTGGAGGTTATAAAAAAGGGGGTCCAGGAGCCCTTAATATCCCTGAAAGGCGCTTTACTCACCAAATATCTGGTGAGTGCGGTTCATGTTGGTTTTGCACTGGTGGATAGTGGAGGTATTATTGGCACAGAAAAATCCAATGAAAATACAGTTTTGTCACGGGACTGTTTTTTGAATTTGTCACTAGACTTTTTTTCAGATTTTATTTAAATCACTTTATTATTTTTTGTGTCACAATGTATTTTGATTTTTGACATTTATTATTTTTTTTTTTTTATAAATATTTATTGATTTTTCAGAACATATACAAAACATTTCATCATTTCTATTAAACTTGTTATCTCGCCCGAGATCCTCCCCCCCCCTGTCCTCTTAGCCCCTCCCTCCTCCCCCCCCATACTCCACCCACCTTTTCTCTTCTCATATTAAATCCATGTAATTCTGTTGTTCCTAAACCCGTTTCTGAATCTCTTCCTGGAAAATTATCTCATCATATATTTTTCCTTTTCTCTGTATTCTTCCCAGCCTTTCCATTTTTTATTATACAACTCCATCTTGTCCTCATGCATATAGAACAATTTTTCTGTCTCTGAGATCTGATTTACTCTACCCCTCCAATCCTCTTCAGTTGGCACCTCTCTTTTCTTCCAAAACCTGGGAATCAGACTTTTTGCTGCGGTCAGATAATACCATATCCCCGAACTGTCATATGCCTTCACTGAGAGCTCTGAGATATGGAGGAGACATAATTCTGGATCCAATCCTATTTTAATCCCAGTGATTTTCCCTATCAAATAAACTATCCTCCGCCAGAACACCTGTATGTCTGGACACTCCCACCACACATGATACCACGTGCCCACCTCTCCACAACCTCTCCAACACATCCGTGAAATTTCCATATTCATCTTGTTTCCACGTTAGGGGTAATGTGCCATCTATTCAAACACTTATAATTTATTTCTACTTCCCGAATACTAATATTATCGTGAATTAGTGTAAGCATTTTCCTCTGTTCCTCCTCCTCTATCTTTCTTCCATATCTCTTTCCCATTTCTCTATTTTTGACATTTATTAATATTATTTATGGGCTGGGTTATTTATACTGCTTTGTGGGTTTTTTGCTGGTTTAAGTTGAAATACGTTTTTTTGGGGTTTTTTGTCTTCCTCTGGATCAACTGTGGGTGTAGGATTATAACTTTTTTTTTTTTTGGTTAATGATTGAACTGGATGGACTTTTGTCTTTTTTTCAGCCAGACTAATTATGTAACGCACTGTGGCACCTACATTTGTGTAGCAGAGTGTGAACGGGCCCCCAACTAGCTCATTGATGACCTAATCACCTCATACATTGTATGGAGTAAACCCAGGCAGTGCAGTGTTAAATTGTGGGATGAAACAGAAACGTGTAAACAGAATTATCAGTGAATTTATTTATTGAAGAAGATTTTGAAACTCCTGGGACGTGCACAGTTGTCATGTGCACTTCCCAGTTCTGACCTTGGACCATTGAACTCCAGGCTGCAAGTTATTTTTCTATTTCCCATCAGGCTGAATCTTGTTTATGCACTTTGCCTTCATTCCGCTGTAGCATCCTCATTGCAGAGATTCTGTCAGTGCCCCGGGGGAGTGATTGCGTGCTGGGAGAGGAGGGGCTTTGAGTTATAATATCCACTCTTTGGGTTGGATGGCTCTTCAGTGCAGGAGAGATTTGTGCAAGGAGGCCACCTACTGGACGATCGCAGAAAAGGTTCTAGAAATCACAGAACAGTTTATTCTATGCCTATTGATGCAACATGGTTCATCACTGATTTATTTTTGTATATTTATACAAGTCTTTTATTGTTTTCATGGTGTTTAAATGAAAGGAGAGGTTTATAAATATGAGTTGCAGGTATGAATATTTTATACATAGTTACCTTGGTCCAGTTTGGCCCAGTGTAGGCATGCATATTCCATACCTGGCCGATGCCCCTGGAAGCTGGAAATCACTGAAGGAATCATCGCAGGGACTGATGTGAATGTACAATATATATGTAAAGCGCTGCGTAAATTGTCAGTTCTATATAAGCAGCTGTACTAATAGGAAACGTCGCTGGAGTAGCGATGAATATTAACCACTGGGTCCTGTGCTGAGCTTCCAGTCTGATGCTTTGTGAACACAGGAGGTTGGCTTCTCAGTATGGATACCTTCCAGAGAACATTTAGCATTATCTAAATTAATGCCTTCCCAGGAGCTGCGTCCAGGCCCTTTAAGAGCTTCTAAATGCCGGGAGGCGGAGGCAGGCAATTTCGGTCATGTGACCGCTGTGATTGGCTGACACAGCGGTCACATGATTGGAAAGTTCCCAATCGCAGGTAGGCGTTGGGAGCTTTCCGGTTCCTTCTGGTAACTGTGCTGGGGGCGCGTATTTGGGATGCATATATGCGGTTTCTCGGCATTAAAGCATTCAATAATTGGATGAGGTGGAGTTCAAGATATCACTGTCCCAGCTCCACCTTGTCCAATCAGAACGCTTTCCTTTCATTTGAAAATGCAAAGTATTCTCTGAATGGTGCCGACGCTGAGCGGCTGATCTCCTGTGTTCAGAATGCAGCATGGCAGCGGCTCAGCACGGGACCCAGAAGCTAGAGGAGATCACTGCAGCAGCGGAGTCTACTACAGCAATTCCCAGCTTCCAAGGAGATTGGCCAGGTATGGTATGTGCATATGTACACTGGCCAAGCTGGACCAATATAACTAATTATAATTTATTATAAAATAAATAAATTAAATAAAAAATAAATATATATATATAGTGAAGGAAATAAGTATTTGCTCCCCTGCTGATTTTATTTTGAATGTTTGCCCACTCACAAAGAAATGATCGGTCTAAAAATCGAATGCTCGGTGTATTGTAACACTGAGAAGACAGAATAGCAACAAATTCAAAAGAAATGTCTAACAAATGATGACTGATCTGCATGTTCATGAGGGAAATAAGTATTTGATCTCCTATCATTCAACAGGATTTCTGGCTACCAGGTGTCTTTCATACAGGTAACAAGCTGAGATTAGAAGCAGTCTCTTAAAAGGAGTGCTGCTAATCTCATTTTGTTACCTGTATAAAGGACAGGCTGTTTCACATATACGAAGACCTGCAAACTGCAACCCAGCAATATATGTTACAGCATCTGAGCAGTGAAGCCGTATTAATTGCTGTATGCCGTTGGCTGTTTTCTGCGTCTCTTGTTTTCCTGGACATGTGTTTCTGGGAGTCTCATCTCATGTCTGTTGTCTGCAGGGTCACTTTGGTAAAGTGGAGCTGTGCAGGTATGACCCAGAAGGTGACAACACCGGGGAGTTGGTGGCGGTCAAGTCGCTGAAGCCTGGAACAGGAGGGACTCACATAGCTGACCTGAATAAAGAAATCCAAATTCTGCGCAATCTCTACCATGAAAATATTGTGAAGTACAAGGGGATCTGTGCTGAGGATGGTAAGCTCTCCTGTAGCTTTGGGAGGGCAGATGAGAAGGGGGGGGGGGGGGGGCTTCGCTCTCCCTTTTGGCTTTTGTATGTGGCACTTCAATGGTAAAACGTCTGTGCCGTACGGTCTCCTCTCACTGCTGGACTTCCCAGTTTGTTCATTCTGCCCCAGTCGTGGCAAACTCAAATGAAATACTGTAGCTCTGACTTTTGTGTCCATGAATTGGTAGACTGAACTGAGGCAGCCAGCATTTCAAAAAGAGGCCAGCAATGGAAGTTCATATATCTCTCATGATGAGTTTCTTTTAATCCCTCGCCTACCGGGCACTTATACCCCCTTCCTGCCCAGGCCAATTTTCAGCTTTCAGCGCTGTCACACTTTGAATGACAATAGCGTGGTCATGAAACACTGTACCCATATGACATTTGTATCATTTTTTTCACACAAATAGAGCTTTCTTTTGGTGGTATTTAATCACTACTGGTGGTGTTTTTTTTTTTTTTTTTTTGTGCTATAAACAAAAAGAGTAAAAAATTTGGAGAAAAGAAAAAGTCTGGTGACACTCCAGATCCCACCCCACCATCTTCTCCTCTTGGGTTAGCAGCGGGCCGGCTGTCACTTCCAGATCCTTACAGCGCCCCCCTGATGACATGACCTGAAACAACACGTGCAATATGCTGTAGATTGCACTGAGTCTGCTGGTAAAAAAATAATGTTCTTTAGCCAGGAACATACCTTCCATATTAATAATAGTGCTACCAAATTTGTGTGCGCTGTAATTTGTCTCCAGTATTACTCTTGTTTCTTCTTGCTGGAGGCTGCCATCTTGCTGAAGCCCAGAGCCCCCGAGCAGCAGTAAATCTTTAGGCTGTCAGTAGACTGGCCTCTATAAATTTGGCACAGTGCCGAAAAACAGAGAGCAACTGAGCATGTGCAGAGCAGGGTGAGACGGTGTATTACTGGATTTTACACAGTACAGGCATAATGTTTTACATAGCTATACCTATACCTATACATAGCTATGCTATATGCAAAAGGGGCCGGCCTGAAGCAAACTAGCAGGACCTCTTCACGCCGAGAGTTTGCAAATATGCGTGCCAAAATGTAAACAAACCCGTGCCGACAGTGGGCTCCCAGCACCTAACGGAAAACCGATCACTACTTGGAATCGGGAGCTTTCCGGTCATGTGACCACTGTGATAGCCAGTCATGGCAGTCACATGATCCTAAAGAAACCCCTTAAAGGGCCGGGAGGTGCTGGTATTAAGGGGTTAATTTTTGTGAGTAACATCGCACTTGAAAGCATTTGTGAAAAAATGATCTGGTTTTGTCCCTAGATGGGGAATGAAGCAATTTTTTGTAAGGAAGAAAAGTTGAATAGTAAAGGTCCTGTTTAACCACTTCCCGTCCGGCCCATGTATATAAACAGCCAGACAGAAGCAGTGCAGGGGTGGGTGGCCATTTATAAACGTCCTCCCTGCTTGCATGCGCTCCCTGGAAGCGTGCAGCACCGCGATCCAGTGCCCACTGTGTTCGGAGGACACAGCGGGACACCGATCGTTGTACGGGACCTCTGTGTGAGGTCCCGATCATGTGCTTACTACTTTACATGTGATCACTGATTGGCCAATCAGTGATCACATGAATAGTAAGCAAGATGTCACTTCTGACATCATTGCTTACTACGTGTGAGCTGTGATTGGTCACAGCTTGTCACATGGTACAAGGCTGTTGTGAATAACCTTGTACCATGTGACCTGGGTGATCATTCACAGATTTCACACGTAGTAAGCAATGATGTCAGAAGTGAGAGCAGAATTGCAGCCAGAGAGGAGAAATGATTGCTTTAACAGCCTTTATGGGTGTAAAAGCAATCGGTGTAAAAAAAAAAAAAAAATTCACCCCCCCACAAGCAGTTAGCGTCACTATGGTGACACTGTACTGCTAGGGTGACAGTATGTGTAAAAACAAATATATATATAAAAAAAAAATGTAAAAAACATTTAAAATTATAATTTTTGGTATTAGTTTAGAACACCAAAAATTATAATTTTTTTAAAATATTTTTTCACATTTTTTTTTTTTTTTTACACATACTGTCACCCTAGCAGTACAGTGTCACCATAGTGACACTGTACTGCTTGTGGGGGGGGGGGGGTGAAGATTTTTTTTTTTTTTTTTACTAAAAAGATAACGGAATACATTTTGGCCAAGATTTATGAAGGAAGATTATTTGCAAAATTTTATAAGAAATTCTAAATTTTTGGACTTTTTCATTTATATAGCAAAAAAAAAATCCCAGTAGTGAATAAATACCACCAAAATAAAGCTTTTTGTCTCAAAAAAAAAAAACGCTAAAAATTTCATATGGGTACAATGTTGCATGACCGCGCAATTGTCATTCAAAGTGTGATAGCGCTGAAAGCTGAAAATTGGCCTGGACAGGAAGGGGGTGAAAGTGTCCGGACTGGAAGTGGTTAATCGGCCATATAACAGGACATGTAAAGTTCGAGCTGCACACCTCAGCCATCTTTTCCTCTCACAATATGCTTTACCAGCAGGCAAGGAAATGAAAGAACAAGCGTAGTCATTCAAACATCTTTCATTGTCTGATGTGACACTACCAGCTGACGCGTTTCGTCCAGACAGGTGAAGGATGTATCTAAATGACCCTTGCTTGCTTTTTTTTTTTCAAGATTAAAAAAAAAAAACAGCAGTTTGCATCTTGAACATCACATGACTTGAGGGGAGGAGACAGATCACAGAAAGTAGAGCACCCGAGGCCAGTGGCTGCATGGAGTCCGCCTGGAGCGGTGTCATTAGTGAATATTTGTAGCCATATAAAAGGAATTTGTACCATTTGCAGTCCAGCTCTCCGTTTGTTGCTCTGCTTGTTCATGTGTTGGGATTGTTCTGTTCGCAGGAGGCAGCGGCATTAAACTAATTATGGAGTATCTGCCATCGGGGAGTCTCAAGGAATATTTACCGAGGAATGTGAACAAGATCAATCTCAAGCAGCAGTTGCAGTACGCCATTCAGATTGCACAGGTACATTCACCTACTTCACAGTAGTTTGCTCTTTATTTCATTGTTTTATGGCCAGCGGAATGTGATGATTCGCATGCTCCTGTATTGGCTACAGAGGCTCATATACCAAACCCAAGGCAGGCCATAGATTATACGGTTTTCTTTCCTGCATCTGCAGGTAAGAAAATCGCTCAATTCCCCTATCAACAGTGTTGATGGGGGAATCCCTTCTGTGGAGCCATTGTGGTTTCCCGGTAGGGGGTTGTGTAGTGCCATCCCTGTCAAAAGAACACAATGATTGTTCTTAGCTTCATCCATCCATCCATCAATGGATCAGCTTTGGTACAATCATCCTGCCCATACATGGATCGAATTTTGACCAGTCCCTGCCAGGGGCGGACTGACAACTCATGGGGCCCCCGGACAATAGGGGATCATGGGGCCCCTGTGTCCTCGCCCACACGCAAACCACACCCAAAAAAGCCTATGAAAGGTACCAGGGACATCTCATGGGGCCCCCTACTGACTCCGGGTCCTTGGGCAGTGCCTGAGTTCCCCAATGGTCAGTCCGTCCCGGTCCCTGCTGAACTGACTGAGATTCGATCCATCTATAGCTGGCTTGAAAAGCTTGGACTCTCTTGTGCTATAGTTACAGATTTCTGATCATAATGGGCTTTGAAAGACTTGTGGGGCAAAGAAACAGGTTGCAAAGCTTTCCCCTCAAAACATTGGAGGACATTCACTTGCAGCTCTGCTCACTCCGCAGTAAACACATTACATTAGTATTGCAAAATACAGGCAGTCCCGGGGATACAAACAACATGGCTTCTGTAGGTTTGTTCTCAGTGTTACTAAACCCACAGCAGTAACATCAGTCTGTATATGCAGGAAAGCATGCTGGTTATACTCACTGTGGGACCTAAGGGGTTAATCCTCTGCATTGTGTGAAAAGGCTATTTGATCCTGACTTCTATGATCCTCCCCTTTTTCCAGTTCCTCTTATCTCCTGATAGGACATATCGAGTGGAGACACTCTGCACTTGCTTCATTTTGGTGTGTATTGCTAGAGAGTTTTTTTTTTTTTTTTCTTCTGAGCCAATCAGCACTGTTCAGACAGAGATCAGGGGTTCTGCATCCTCCTAAAGCAGAAAGAAAACCCCTCCTACAAGCTTTAACCAGTGCGCTGCAAAACACTGTATCCGGTCTCCCTGGACCCTGACCCTGGACCCTGCATTCACTATATCCGGTCTCCCCGGACCCTGCATTCACTATATCTCCCCGGTCTCCCTGGACCCTGCATTCACTATATCCGCTCTCCCCGGACCCTGCATTCACTATATATCCGGCTCTCCCCGGACCCTGCATTCACTATATATCCGGTCTCCCTGGACCCTGCATTCACTATATCCGCTCTCCCCGGACCCTGCATTCACTATATCCGCTCTCCCCGGACCCTGCATTCACTATATCCGCTCTCCCCGGACCCTGCATTGCACTATATCCGCTCTCCCCCCCCGCATTCACCCTATATCCGCTCTCCCCGGACCCTGCATTCACTATAGACCCGCTCACTCCGCTCTCCCCGGACCCTATATCCGCTCTCCCCGGACCCTTCATTCACTATATCCCGCTCTCCCCGGACCCTGCATTCACTATATCCGCTCTCCCCGGACCCTGCATTCACTATATCCGCTCTCCCCGGACCCGCTATATATCCGCTCTCCCCGGACCCTGCATTCACTATATCACTGGTCTCTCCCACAGTACACACAACATGGAAATGCAATCATTTTAGTAAATATAAACTGATAAATACCTTTTCTCATCAGCAGTATATAGCAGTCTTGTGATTTCTATCAGTGTCCAGCTGAGCACAGGTTAAAGCTTGTAGGAGGAGTTTTCAGTCTCCCTTGTTTGTCCAATGAGGCTGCAGGACCCCTGACTCTCTGGCTGGACAGCGCTGATTGGCCCTGTGCTGATCACATGCAAAAATCTTTAGCAATACACACCAAACTGAGCATCTGCAGCTTGCCCCCAAGGCTCTGTTCTATCAGTAGATGGATTGGGCATAGCATAAGAAGGGGAGGATCAGGGAAGACAGAATCAAACTGCTTTTTAACACAAATGCCCCCTTCAGCACCTGAAAGCAGGTATTTTCTTCACTCCTGACACCTACACAAAGTGGTGGCAAAGCAAAAAGAAGGTATATGCTGCTGATGGAATCACCAACGCATTGCTCTACCTTCCATGGACACGGGTTCACTAAGATCTATCTCGCTGAGATACAGGTCTGATACTACAGAACTTGTCAGCACTATTAAACTATTGTAAAGTTTTGTTGAAAGCAATCACAAATAAGTGCGACTAGTGAGGGCTCTCAGAGGGGAGCACAGAAGAGCCTTTTCTGGATAGCAAAGAACCTTAAAGCGGAGCTCCACCCAAAAGGGGAAGTTCGCTTTAAGTGTTTGTCCCCCGCACCCTGTTAAGGATTGGCACCTTTAGGGAGCAGGGAGGGAGGGAGCCGAATTTGACAGGTACCTGCTCCCACTTCCGCTAGGATCACCTAGGCGATCAGAAGTAGAAGTTGTCCTCCCCGTAGTCTTCTGGAACACGTGACAGGTCCCAGAAGACTACGGGGCCATTCACAAAACGCAGCCACAAGCTGTCACAGCCGGGTGCCCATACTGAAGATGCCGGCACCAGGAAGAGAAGACGTCTGGTGAAACCAGCCGTGGTGAGGACACCGCTGGACCGAGGGACAGGTAAGTGTCTGTATTTTAAGATTCAGCAGCTACAGTTTTTGTAGCTGCTTTTTTTTTATTTCAGGTGGAACTCCGCTATAATGGGTGGCATAGTGTCTTAGTAGTTGGTACTTCTGCTTTGCAGTCCTGGGGTCATAGGTTCAAATCCTGACCAGGACACTGATTTGCAAGTTCTCCTTGTGCATGCATGGGGTTTTTAAATAATCTGCCGACAGGATACAATGATTGCTGCTGGTGACCAGATAAGACTCCCCACCAACAAAACACAATAGCGCTGTGGGAGGGATTCCCCCAATGCTGACTGTGCTTTGGGGGGAATCGAGCAGTTTTGAAAGTTTGAATAATGTGTATGACATGCCAGAGACTTGCTGATAGGATATTTAGCTTCTGTCTAAATTGGCCCTTGTATGTATGTGAGGTAGGGACCTTCGCTTGTAAGCTCCTTGAGGGCAGGGACTGATTATTATTATACAGGATTTATGTAGCGCCAACAGTTTGCTCAGCGCTTTACAATATAATGGGAGACAATACAGCAACAATACAGTTCAATACAAGAGGGATAGGAGGGCCCTGATCCTGGGAGCTTACAATCTAAGGGGGAGGGGCTAGTGGTACAAAAGGTAATAACTGTAACTGTAGGGGGATGGGGACTGGTAGGTACAAAAGGTAATAATTATTATTATTATACAGGATTTATAGCGCCACAGTCTGCTCAGCAACAATACAGTTCAATACAAGAGGGACAGGAGGGCCCTGATCCTGGGAGCTTACAATCTGATGTAAATGTCCAATATGTTAAGCACTGTCTGCGCCATATAAATAGCTGCAAAAAATAAAAATGCACTTAAGCTTCTGGCATTTTAGAATGTAGTCATTGGGCACCAGAGGAAGGGATTTACTAAAACTGGAGCACTCAGAATCTGGTGCAGCTGTGCACGGCGGCCAATCAGCTTCTAACTTCAACTTGCTCAATGACCCCCGGTTCACATCTGTGCGGGTGGTGCCACTGCGGATCGGCATGAAAATCCGTGCAGCCGCACCGCCCGCACAGAGAAATGCGGACCCGCGGGTGGGGGCCATTAGTTCTAATGGCACACCGCCTGCAAGTGGAAAACGCAACTGTACTGGGAACCTCGGCTGCGTTTTCCAAAGTAGTGCAGGGACTTCTTCCCCGTGTGTCACGGGCACAGAGTCTATTCAAATTAATGGGCTCTCGTGCCCGTGCAAAACGTGGCCCGCACAGCCGCATAGATGTGAACCGGGGGTTAAGCTTTGACAATAAAACCTGGAAGCCGATTGGTTTCTTAGCAGAGCTACGCCAATTTCTGCACTCTCCAGTTTTAGTAAATAACCCCCAGACGGTCTTTCAGATGTGGTCACCCGTATGTCAGATGTGGTCACCCGTATGCCTGTTGTGGCGTTTTGCCACGTGTTGGATAATTGAATTGGTTCCAAATAGACAGGAATGGCTGCAGGTGTGATTAGTGACGCCTTGTTATGATGAATCAGGTGGGACCATAAATGATGCAGGTGATCCACCGCTAGAAATGATCGCTTCCTATGACATTCTCCCAGTGAAGCTGGACCATGTGCAATGTCTCATTGTGTGTCTTCCCAAATCTTTACACCTCACCCCTTCCTTCTGTCGCTCAGGGGATGGATTACCTGGGATCACGTCAGTACGTCCATCGGGATCTCGCTGCCAGAAATGTTCTAGTAGAAAATGAGCATCGGGTGAAAATAGGCGACTTTGGTTTAACCAAAGCCATTGAGACGGACAAGGAGTATTACACGGTGAAAGACGACCTGGACAGTCCCGTGTTCTGGTAAGAGTCCCTTGGCATCCCTCTTATGTTCAAAGTAGAAGTATGACCTCCCATTAAACGTATGTGCTGCAGCAAGGAACTAGTTACTCCTCTGATTTTTAAATTTTTTTTTTCCTTAGCCCCCAATTACCTGTTATGCAGTGCTGTGGACTCCAGATACTCACCTGCGCAGTGGATCCGGCATTGTCCTGCTGCAATCTGCCTATGTGCAGCAGCCTGTGTCCCGCACCCCCATCCTGGGCCAGCTGCCTCTTCCGGGTTCATGCAGCTGGCCCCTGATGATGTCCACCAAATGCTGTGAGTCTCTACTTCTTCAGGTTCCTGGGATATGTGACATGTATTCCCAGAAGGCTGAAACAGCAGGGACAAATGGCAGTGGGTGGGGCTAGGACTAAAGTTAACCCCTTCACGCCTAATGGTAAAACGAATCTAAATGCCTAAGCAGAATTTTGCAACGTTGACATGTGTTAGTAAAACTGTACATATCATCACAACTACTTGTACATCCAGGTGAATTATACCACATTTGTTTTTTTTCAGGACAAATTGGGCTTTCATTTGGTGGTAAATAGTAATGGATATCTCCTGATTTTTTTTTTTTTTTTATTTTTTTATTATCAAAGGAAAACTGGCCCAAAATAGTAAAAAAAAAAAAAAATTTTTTTTTTTTAATTTAGCCTTGTTTGTTTGTTACTACCATAACCTACCACCAAAGAACAACCCAAAATAAATTTTCCAGCTCTTGACGATCGCAGAGATACTATATATGTATGTTATTTGTTGTTTGGACCGAAGTACTGCCCAGAAACAATAAATCGAAGTTTGGTTTTGTTTTTTTTACCTAAAAACACACCATTTTTTTTTTTTAAATCCCGACCTTTGACCTTGACCCTGACCCAAACACTTACCCTGGCACTGAACTAGATCAAACCTTGGTCTTGGCATTTTTTTCTTTTATTTTTTTAATATTTTTTTTATTTTTGGGGGTTTTTTTTTACAAACATTTTTTCCCCTCTATGCCGGGAGTTCAAGAGATACAATGTATCTCTCTCCTCCATTCTTAGAGAGAGAAAAAAAACAAGGGGGCGGGGCTGTACAGTGACTAATCACTGTTAGGCAATCAGAGGCCATCACAGCGATCATGTGACCCGGAATCGGGGGTCCCGCTCGTTAGAACGGGAACTGGTGCTCCCAGTGACACCTCGGTCTGTGCTGGGAGAGCGCCAGCACAAAGACAGGTACGCAAATATACGGCCCCACGTAAAAAAGCCCAATTCTGTGAGGCCGCATATTTGCGTTACATCGGCATCAAGGAGTTAAAAAAAAAAAAAAAAAACAAAACAAAAACTAAAAGAACCAAAAAAAGTGCGGACTGAAATTGTGAAGGGTAGCAGCTGTGCACAGAGCCTTAGTTTCTCTGAGAGGTGAAGGTCGGCTTGGTTGTAAACTCTTACCTATACCAGTGAAGTGACTGGCCTCATGTAGGAGGATTTGTATCATCTCTAGATCACCTAAGTTGTACTTGTTTATCTGTTGCCTTCTCCTTGCTACATCCATTCAAAGTGCATAATTTATACAGCGTTTCTGAGCTTTCAAAAAGCAGAAGGCAGGGAGCTGAAGTTACATTCTATAGAGCTCAGTGAGCGCTGATTGGAGGGAAGGGACACACACCCCTCCTTCACCCAAGAACAGAGCTGAGGCTGTCAATCACAGGCTGTGCTCTCCCTTCATACTTTTTCTCTTGGTGTCATGAAAACTGTTCAGAAGGGATTTGTGCTTATAGCAGAGGAACCAGGCAGCAGACAGAAATGACACTTATGGGGAGATTTACTAAAACTGGGGCACTCAGAAGCTGAATGGCTACCATGCACAGCTGCACCAGATTCTATCTCCAGCTCGTTCAATTAGTTTGGAGGGATATTTTCCCCCCAAAATTATAACCTAGGTGGCTACTGCATATGTCCTCTGCTGGCTCAGAGTGCGAGCTTAGCGATCACATGACTGCTGAGTTCGCACCACCACTGTGAGCAGAGAGCAGTGACTGTCAGTCACTGCTGTCTGATCTGCCCCCCGAAACACAACACCCACCCCCCTGCACTCACTGGAGCACTGGGCTGTTGAGGAGCAGGCTCTCAGCAGATCGCTGATTCACAAGCCTGTAGCATGTCCATCAGCACATGGGCATGCCTAGTCCTGACTGCTGCAGGTAGCACTCTGAAACCCTTCCAATGTGAGGTGCAGTGCCTTGGAGGTGGCGCGCGTGAGACACAATGAATATTTGACTCAGTCAGGAAAAATAAAGGGAGTTTTTTTGTTTTACTTTATAAAGCTTATGCATCACATGGTAACTGGATTGGGTACTGGTATAGACTGTCATGCAGCAGCCTTTGTTGTACTTTAAAAAGATAATTTGTCAACTGCTCTGCTGTAGCTGTGTTCAGACAGAGCGTGTTCAGTGTTTGATTTTACATATGATGGAGTGCAGGCAGCCAGTAAAGTACATCTTCCCCAGAGACATCGCAAACTTGGTCAGATAGTCTATTTCAGTGGAGAAAATTATACTGGGAGAAACGCGTAGACTGCCATTGCTGACCTGAAAATACTACCTGGCACTGACCTGTAAGAAGTGACTGTCCAGTAAGTCTCATTGCTGTCAGGGCATGCTGAGGCTTGTAGTTCCTTGTGAGACAGCATTTGATTGCCTTTTTTTTTTGATCTGGAGTGCCTAGTACTTATTATTATTATATAGGATTTATATCGCGCCAACAGTTTGCTCAGCGCTTTACAATATAACAGGAGACAATACAGCAACAATACAGTTCAATACAAGAGGGATAGGAGGGCCCTGCTCCTGGGAGCTTACAATCGAAGAGGGAGGGGCTAGTGGTACAAAAGGTAGTAACTGTGGGGGATGGACTGGTAGGAGGAGTAGAAGATTCCGTTATTAGATGAAGGCAGGATAGGCTTCCCTGAAGAGAGAGGATTTCAGAGATTGCCTAAAAGTGAGCAGAGTAGGCGATAGTCTGATAGATTGGGGTAGAGAGTTCCAGAGGATGGTAGAGGCTCTGGAGACGAGTATGGGAGGAGGAGACAAGGGAGCTAGAGAGCAGGAGGTGATGGGAGAAGCGGAGAGGACGGTTTGGGTGATATTTGGAGACAAGATTGGTGATGTAATTGGGGGTGGAGTTATAAATGGTTTTATATGCTATTAATGTTTTGAATTTTATCTGTTGGGCAATGGGAAGCCAGTGGAGGGATTGGCAGAGAGGGGTGGAGGACACTGAATGCAGGCCAGTGGAGGGATTGGCAGAGAGGGGTGGAGGACACTGAATGCAGGCCAGTGGAGGGATTGGCAGAGAGGGGTGGATGACACTGAGCGGAGGCCAGTGGAGGGATTGGCAGAGAGGGGTGGATGACACTGAGTGGAAGGCCAGTGGAGGGATTGACAGAGAGGGGTGGAGGACACTGAATGAGGCCAGTAGAGGGATTGGCAGAGAGGGGTGGAGGCCAGTGGAGGGATTGGCAGAGAGGGGTGGAGGACACTGAATGGAGGACCAGTGGAGGGATTGGCAGAGAGGGGTGGAGGACACTGAATGGAGGCCAGTGGAGGGATTGGCAGAGAGGGGTGGAGGACACTGAATGGAGGCCAGTGGAGGGATTGGCAGAGAGGGGTGTAGGACACTGAATGGAGGCCAGTGGAGGGATTGGCAGAGAGGGGTGGAGGACACTGAATGGAGACCAGTGGAGGGATTGGCAGAGAGGGGTGGAGGACACTGAATGGAGGCCATTGGAGGGATTGGCAGAGAGGGGTGGAGGACACTGAATGGAGGCCATTGGAGGGATTGGCAGAGAGGGGTGTAGGACACTGAATGGAGGCCAGTGGAGGGATTGGCAGAGAGGGGTGGCAGATACGGAGCTTATTATGCAGACACACGTCATTGAGATATTATTTAACGATCACACCTCTGAGGACCCCAAAAACTGATTTTTGGAGGTTTTGGTTCACATCCTGCACACCTCTGCTCTGATGTACTTCATAGACCAATGTGTAGGAATCTTACAGATTTGGGGTGTTGGTGTGGCCCCAGTATATATTGGGCATCCGGTACAATTATTGTGTCTTGTGTTCCAGGTACGCTCCAGAGTGTTTGCTGCACTGTAAGTTCTACATCGCCTCAGACGTCTGGTCGTTTGGAGTGACGTTATACGAAGTCCTGACCTACTGCAATTCTGAGCACAGCCCAATGACGGTAACGTCAATCTATACTCTTCATGGTTTAACCATCTGACTAAACGAAGGCTAAAGTCATTACAAACGTTTGTAAATTGAGACTTGGGGGGTCTATGTATAAAATAGTCACTGTGCGAATGTCTTGAGCATTCACCCGGGAACCACAAACGTTGCTGAATTGGTTGTAATCTGATCATCTACTATGATTGTCAGCTCCATCTATGGGCCATAGTGTGCAGCATTTTCCTGGAAAAAAACAAAAACCTACATTATGGTCACTAAATGAAGCTGATCTTAAAAGCTAAAATATTTGTGGTGACTGTGAGAATGCTGAAGACATCTGGACAGTAAATGTTACAGTGCCCCTATGAGTTGGGAAAGTCTTGAGTGTTGCACAGAGCAGCCCCCGATCTTCCTCTTTTGGGGTCCCCCACCAGCACACCTGGCTCCTCCTCTCCGCTGAGTGCCCACCATAGGAAGCTCCTTCCTATGGTGGACACTTGTGCAGGCTCACCACCGAGCTGGGCAGTTTGGGTCTATTCAAAAACACAGCCAAGATCAGCCCCTCCCTCTGCTGACAGATTTTGCCTGACAGCAGCAGGAGCCAATGGCTTCCATTGCTGCCAGCCAAGCCTGTGAGAACCAGGAGAGGGGGGATGAGCTGCTGCAGATGGGCACAGTGCTGAGTATTTAGGGGGCTGCAGGTTAAAGTTTTTTGTTTTTTTAAAACCTTTAGCCTGGGTTCACACTTGTGCAGTATATCACATGTGATTCGCACAGGAACCACACCGCATTCCTCTGCAAATCACATGCGAATTGTGTGCGCGATTGGATCCATACATTTCATATGGCTTAGATCGCTCCGCACCAAAAAGGTGCAGGACCCTTTTTTTGGTCCGCATTAGAATTGGATCGCATGGGTATTCACACCTACGCGTTCCATTCTGCACATCGCAGTGTGTTTTGCAGAGTTTGGGGGGGTGTTCACATACACACCCGCAGCGGTTTGATTGAACGTGGTGCGGAATTTGCACAGAAAACACTGCGAATTCCGCATCAGCGTGAACCCAAGCTGAATGCAGAGAAAAAAATAGTTTCACCAATTGAAAAGTGCTTCTATAACTTGCAGGAGCTGTTTAAAGCCTGATGGCACCTTGATGTCACCTTCCCAGGTGACTCTTAATACATTTTACCAAAGTAGCGAGCTTGTCCAAGATGCCCTGAAGTTTTAGTGAAGCAAAAAAATGGGATCTTTGTACTCATTTGTAAAATCCTATTCTCTGAGTTCATTGAAGAACACAGCCCGATCTTCATGATGGATGGGTTTGATGGCACCACCTGCAGGAGGATGCTAGTAGGTGCAGCCCAAGATATAAAGCCACACCCTAGGGAGAGGGGGCGCGCCAAGCTGGTGGCCAGGTCTGTGTTTCTCTCAAATCACAAGTTTTTGTAACTATATTTCCGTTTCCCCCGTGTTAGATGTTCCTCAAAATGATCGGACCCACCCAAGGGCAGATGACTGTGACCCGACTTGTGCGTGTGTTGGAAGAAGGAAAAGCGTCTGCCTAACCCTGCCAATTGCCCCAATGAGGTACAAAGCTCGGCTACACTTCTTGCTTTAAAATGTTTTTAAGTGAAATCCTTATTAAAAATTTTTATTGGGGGTGGCGGGGTTGTGTGGAGTTTTTTTTAATTTTTATTGGGGTATTCATGTTATGAAGAGTCAGAAAATTCAGCATTTTATGGTCACCAAAACATCTTACAATTGCGACACCTGTTGTGAAGTGGGTGGAATTTTCCCTTCCTAAGATGTCCCAGAGGCAGCATATGAGGGTAAATCTCTCGGCAGGACACAGACCACAAATTCTACTCCTTTCTATACAGTTTCTTGCTGCTGGCTAGGTATAGAAGGGAAAGAAGTTATGTCCTGCTTCATAGCTATATGAGAGAAATGGGTAGTACTCCTGTTCAGTCATTCACAGGACGCTTTGGATTTTTATGAATTGAATACATGGCTTCCTTGGACTGGTTTAGGTGGAGAGGCAGGATGACATCACAATCTCCATCTCAGCCAATCCAAGAAAAGCCGTACATTCATTCATAAAAATACAAAGCCTCCTGTGAATGGCTGAACAGTGCTCAGCCTGACTCGACTTTGTTGCAGGGATGGGGATAGAAGTCCCCTGAACACAGCTCTTTATACTTTGTAGTAGATGCTACATATAGTTACGGTTCTAACAGTGGTCATACTTCTTAGTAATGGATAGTTAGTTTGAGTCCGCTTGACCCAAACAAACTGTTTAAGGTGAAATGAAACCCAGAGTTTGGCTTTAAAGCTGATGTTTAGTGCCCCCCCCCCCCCCCCCAAAAAAAAAAAAAAAAAAAAAAAAACCTCTTTAGTGACCGAACTTACCAGTAGGGATGCACTGAAATTTTGGCCACCAACCCATATCTGCAAAATGCCGATAGAGCTATTTGCGGCCGATAGGAAAAATGCAGCCGATACAGGGGACTGTGCGTACTGCAGCCGATACAGGGGACTGTGCGTACTGCAGCCGATACAGGGGACTGTGCGTACTGCAGATGTGAGGGGGGAGGAGAAAGGCAGGAGAGGAGCAGTGTATACAGTGACTGGCTGTCACTATATGTCAGTACCGGTTTTTAAATGCAATTACTTTTTTTTTTTATTTTATTTTTTTCCTTCACTATAGCTCAGAGAATCAGCTGCCACTTCCCCCCCAGCTAAAAGAACTAAAGTTTATTTTTAGTTTCTTTCCCAAGCTAAAATGGTGAAGAAAAACAAAAAACCTGCATTTAAAAACTGGCACTGACATATAGTGACAGCCAGTGAGGGAGGCAGGGAGCCTCTCTGTATACACTGCTCCTCTCCTGCCCCCTCCTTGCACACCCTGCTCCCCCTATAAAGATGGCCTGTCACTCCTATGCTATCACAGGGGGTGGGCAAACTGTGGCCCTCCAGCTGTTGTGGAACTAAAAGTCCCATCATGCCTGAGTCATGATGCAACTGTCAGCCTTTTAATGCCTCATGGGACATGTAGTTCCTTGACAGCTGGAGGGCTGCAGTTGCCCACCACTGTGCTGTCACATAGGGGACATTTGATCCCCTATGTGATTGCAATAAAATCATAAGTTAAAAAAAAAAAAAAAATACATGAAAGAAAGAAAAAAAAAAAAAGAGCCTCCCTACCCCCACACATGCAGACGTTTTGGTTTGGTTTTCAGCCCCATGCATTCTGAATTTTCGGTACCAGAATTTTCATTTTGGTGCGCCACTACCAGTAATGAAGCACTCCTCCTCCTAAGTAGAGTGGTGCCTCCCCTAACCATGGGTATGGGGCTGACCTGTCACTTTGTGTCTCACTTGCAGGTCTATCAGCTGTTGCTAAGGTGTTGGGACCAGAATCCTTCAAGCAGAGCAACCTTCCAGGACCTGATCCGTGGCTTTACAGATCTCGTCGGTAAAATATAACCACACATTGGAGAGAGTCTCCAAAGGACAGAACTCTCAGCTGCTTCCACAGAGACATAGAAGATGTTCCACTTCTAGCCAGGGCACCGATCTTCCTCTCTGCAACTGTGGACCACACTGCAAACCTGGGGAGGATCTTGTGTGACCACCCCGCAGGACAGAGGGGGGGAAAGACTAAACACTGTTCTTCCTTGCTCTAATAAAATGACTAAAGGAAAGGGGGGAACAAGAGGACATTAACACCATCCCCCCCCCCCCCCCCCACCCGTTCTGGTCCTGAGCCTAAAAGCATTTTGTGAAGACTTGTATCTCAATGTGGATTTCTTATAACAGACTTAAAAAAAAAAAAAAAAAAAAGTAATGCAGTTTACAGTAAGTAATTATGCATAATTGATTATCGGACACATTTAGAAGGGAACTTTGAAAGTTTTAAGGGTCAAGTCCAATGCCATCAGATGTATACATGTACAGACAGATGTTTTTTACTTTCCCGGTTTTCCCTCGGAATCTCTGTAAAATCCATCTAAGTGTTACGTTTTTGTCTTTGTAGCTTATCGCCCCTCCTTTTTTTTTATTTTTTTATAAACCTGCTGCTTTTTACCGATTTTCAGTTGTACATAAAAACACACGGTTAAGGTGTTAAACCAGATGCAGCTTTCTTTGGCTTTCAATTAAGTTTCCTGAAGCAGGTTAAGATTGACAACCCAGTTATTTTGGGTTTGGCTGCAATGGCAGAGGGGCTAACTAATTTAATAAGGTGTACCCAGCCTGTTATAGTCTGTAGACGTTTGTAAAGGGTGACACAAAGCCTGCTAGCTAAAGTATAAGCCAACCTAACAATTTATTTGAAGTTGGAAAAAAAAAAAAAAAAAAACCTGGCTTGTAACATTTGAAGAAAAATTTATCTTAGCCCTGCAGCAGGTGAGGGGCTTTACAGATTCTTAGCTACTGCAGCAGTCCCACCCCCTTTTATTGTAGCCCTGCAGCAGGTGAGGGGCTTTACAGAAGTCCCACCCCCTTTTATCGTAGCCCTGCAGCAGGTGAGGGGCTTTGCAGAAGTCCCACCCCCTTTTATCGTAGGCCTGCAGCAGCTGATGGGCTTTGCAGAAGTCCCACCCCCTTTTATCCTAGCCCTGCAGCAGCTTATGGGCTTTGCAGAAGTCCCACCCCCTTTTATCCTAGCCCTGCAGCAGGTGAAAGGCTTCTCAGCTAAACTATACAGGTGGGGCGGCTATAACTACTTACCCATAAGGGCTATACCAGTATAGGCCCCAGGATGTCTGTCCTCATATAGATTGGTTCTAGCTGCATCCATGTTCTTCTAACCTGTCCCACATTCACAGCACATGAAGGTGGCTAAAATCATGCAAGATCCAGACTTGTGCTGCTGCATAGGTTTGGCAGATGCTTGGGGTGTGTATGGGTATTTGTCTTTTAATCCATGAACTCCATGGAGTCTGGTTTCCAACAAATACTCTGTTCACTTTGCAAGTGCAGCTGCATGATGCAGTTTTGATTTCTCCTCCCTTTCCAACATCAGGCTTTATCACATTCACTATTTTTGCTTGCACGTGATTACATAATGGAAGGCAGTAAAGCCTCAGCTCATTCACTGGGCTCCTGAAGACATTTCCTTTACGAAGGGAACAGTCTGTCTGCCTTTACTAAATAAACTCCTGTGTCTTTCAAACTAAGATTTTACTAGCAAGTAGGATTCTTTTCCAGGCAGTTGTGTTGGGCTGACTCCTATGGCCTTAGCAGTTAGATTGCTGCTTAAAGTGGAACTCCACCCAAAAGGGGCAGTTCCGCTTTAAAGACTGCACCCCCGCTCCCCATTAAGGACTGGCTTTGGGGAGCGGGTACCCAGATCACAAGCAGAAGCTGTCCTCCTATCTTCCCTCCCCGTAGTCTTCGGATATATGTCCCAGAGGGCTACAGGGCCATTCAGAAAGTGCAACACTACTTGCACATACGCAGTGGCCACCCGGCTGTGAAGCCGCATGCTGTCTCAGCCAGGTTGCCACACTAAAGCTGCTGACGCCTGGAACACCAGATGGCTGGTGAAACGGGCTGCGGGGAGGACACTGCAGGACCCTGGGATAGATGAATGGCTGTTTAAAAAAAAAAAAAAAGTCAGCAGCTACAAAAACTGTAGCTGCTGACTTTTTTTTTTCTTTTCATATTGTGAGTAGAACTCTGCTTTAAAGTGATATTTAAAAAAAAAAAAGTCCTACCTACTCTGTGTAATCATTTTACACAGAGCAGCATGATCCTCTTCTCATGGCCCCTGCCTTCTAAGTGCCCTCATAGCAAGCTGCTTGCTTTGGGGGCACTCTTCTGTTCTTACTCCTTTCCCAGTTGTATGTCCATGAGACACACTGCGCAAGGCTCGGCCCCCCCCCCCCCCACTGTCTGTGATTGACAGCAGTGGGAGGCTCGGCCTCCCCCCCCATCCGTGATTGGGGGGGGGGGGGGGCGGGGGAGGCTCAGCCCCCCACTGTCTGTGATTGACAACAGTGGGACCCAATGGCTCCTGCTGCTGTATTTCAGCAAATGAGGAGAAAGACCCAGGAGTGGCTGCTGCCATCCACAGTGCTAGATCAAAATGGGGGTCAGGTAAGTATTAGGGGGAGTAACACACCGAAGGTTTTTTTTTTTTTACCTTCATATATAGAATACACAAAAGTAAAAACAAACTTTAGCCTTTATAAAAGGTGCAGTATGTACAGCTGGTGTGGTGCACTAATGACTGAATGGGGGTGATTGCTGTCAGCCATGTGACTGTATTTCTCTGCTGCAGTAAGCAAGGAACTCTGGAGCACCCCAGGCTGTATAGTATAGACTGCATTTCATGAATGAGCTGCGTAATGGGGGCCAAAGGAGTAATACTATGAGAATGTTGTGTTCTCTCCTTTTTAAATGACTCCCTTTTTATAATTAAAAAGAAAAGCAAGAGGCAGGTCACTTACAAGCTGTTAGGGGAGTTGTCATTCAGCAGCACTCTGAGCCATAGAGTTACCAAAGATTCTTGTTCCTTCTGATTTTGTATGTCTGTGGTAGCTGTTAATTAACCCACCACTCGTCTCTGTACATATTAACATGAGGGATGTTGAAGAAAAAGGAAAACTGGGGGTGTACCAATAAAGATTAATCAGATTTTTCTGCCGCTCTAAAAATATGCTGGCTTCCATTGAATGAGTTATGGATAATCGCCTCCACTTTTTCTCAGGATACAGCTGCCAGTTATGTATACATGTTATGGTGGGAGGTGTTGCATGACAGGATAAAATAGTTTCCTTTTTCTCGCATTTACATTTTTTTTGACATTTTAATGTGAACATAAGCACTTTGTTACTATTTCTATAAATAAAATATAATTAACACCATACCTGTCTCATTCTTATATTCTAAGCTGAACCCGCAGGTAGAAATCTTACTTGTCCCTTTTTGTTTTCAGGGAAGCACATTTTAACCTTTGTGCTGGGGTTGGAGAGTACGGCCAATCATGCCGCAGTATAGCCGCTACGTTCAGGCCTCGTTCACACTATACATGCATGAAAACTGGGCAGATTTCACTTGTAGAGACATCCGGTTTCATGCATGTCAGTTATGGGCCATGTCGACACCACAGCATTGATGTCATGTCGGTGTTTTTTTTCCTCCTCCCACCCAAAAAACTGCATACACACAGAAAAAATCTGCACATAATACCACATGTTGTGGTTTGAAGAGAACACAGAGAAAAGATCCCCACTTGGTGTAAGTTTAGCACAGTGGCTAAATGGTTAGCACTTCCGCCTGCCAGTACTCCCGTCGTCTGTTTAAATCCCAACCACGGTACCACCTGCCTAGAGTTTGCATGTTCTCCCTGTGCCTGTGTAGGTTTCCTCCCACACTCCTATGCTGGTAGGTTAATTGGCTCCTGTCTAAATTGTCCCTAGTATGTGTATGTATGAATGTGAGTTAGGGACCTTAGATTGTACGCCCCTTGAGGGTTAGGGACTGATGTGATTGTACAATATATATGTAAAGCGTTGCATAAATTTACAGTGCAATATAAGTACCTGAAATAAATAAATAATTGCTGCTTTGTAGGAGGGCAGCATTGCACATATACACTTAGCCAAAAACTTGTGGACATCTAACAAATCGCACATACACCAGGGGGTAAATTTACTTGTGTTATCTCGTGGTAACAGTTTGGGGAAGAAACCTGAATCTGGAGCTGGCTGTGTGCACAAAGAACTGGTTGGAGGAGTGTGGTGTGGACTTGTAATCTGCACAGGGCCCTGACCTCAACCTTATCTCTGAACTGGAACACTGAATAAGGGCTCATGTATACTGCAGCTGAAACTGACATTTAGGAGCTGTTCAGTGGGTTTTTTTTTTCCCCCCAGTAGCCCCTGAACTCTCCTTAGTTTTCCTGTGTGTCCATGTACACATCATTTACAGGCAGTTGTGTTTATAGGGTTTTTTTTTTTTTTTTTTTAACACACCAAACTTGCATTCAGGAGTAGATTTTACTGGCGTTCCAAACGCTTGTAAACATGGTTAACTGCATTTATAAGCATTTGTGTTTAGCAGCGCTTTTTAACTGGTCCATATCCAGATGCTTTTTTTCATCAAATGTATGCAAAGCGTTTTCCATGTATTCAAATGGACCCGGTACACCAGCACAGCCAGTTCCAGGTTTCGCATAAAGGAAACAATGGTAGAACGCGCCGCATTATACTCATGATGGGATCCATAGTGAATACAACCAGAAAAGACAGGTCATCTCCACACATTCTGCTTCTGTTCTATTTCTATCAAAATGTCTGAAATAGTTATTTTTTACTATTTTTCAGTGCATTTGGGAAGGTCTCCTGAGGTTCTTTTAAAAATGCTTCTAAATATAAATGCAGTAGGCAAACGCTTACTGGCATTTTTTAACCTACATTTTCCAGCAGTCATTTTCCATCATTCAGAAGTTTTCTCCAAACGCCCCGTGTACATGAGCCCTTAGAGCCAGGTCCTATGCATCCAACATCAGTAAGTGACCTCACAAATGCTGTTTTTGGTAAATACACAAATGCCCTCGGATGCAATTGTGGAAAGCCTTCCTAGAAAAATGGAGGCTTCAATAGCTGTAATGACAGCAAACTCCGTATTAATGCTCATGGGATCCAAAAAGAATGGTGCAAAAGTGAAGTTAATTTAGTCAGAATGGATTGAACCTAGCACAACCCAAGACACATTAACTGTCAAAGTTTCACCTCTGCATTACAAATGTGTGATGTGAGCCCCGGTGGTGACACGACAGATGGTTATCGTTTTACCATTGTTGTCACTCACTATACGTTTTTATTTTTGCACGACAGCAATGGTAAACAGCCAACAAAAACAATTAATTAATGTTACTCCATCACCAGACCTAACACCCTGCAACTTCTTTCCTTGGGGGTAAACTAAGGTTTTGGTATATGTGCGCACCCCCCCCCCCATGCCACAGGACCTAAACAACCTGAGATGACATCACCGATTAGGTGGAATCAATATCCGAGGACACACTGGCACTAGTCTGGACAGAACTAGAGTACTATCTGACATCGGTCATATCACCAATGGGGCTCACGTTGAACATTTGTAGGGTAGAGGTAAAACTTGGACTGCTAAAGTGATATTAAAAAAAAAAAAAAATGTAAATATGTCTCACTACCTGCTGTGGGCAGTGGTTTTTGCACAGATCAGTTCTGGTTCTTCTCGGGCCCCCTGCCAGCACTCCTAGCTCCTCCTTCAGCAAGCTGCATGCTATGGGGGCACTGATGTATTCTCGCTCCCAAGCCCTGCTCTATAGGGCACATAAAGCTGCGGCTTGGCCCTGCCTCTGCTCTCTCATCGGCTGTGATTGAAAGCAGTGGGAGCCAATTGCTCCCAATGAGGAGAGAGAGAGACCCAGGACAGCCATGGCTCCCATGCACATTGCTGGATCGGAGAGGAGGCTCAGGTGAGTTGCTGGATCGGAGAGGGAGCACACAGAAGGTATTTTTTTTTTTTTTTTTTTTTTTTTTTTTTTTTTTTTTACCTTCAGGCACAGAGTGCATGAAAGTAAAAACAAACCTTCAGCCTTTACAACCAATTTAATGTCTTTTTATGGTAATACAGTTGTATGAAGTTCATTCCGTTAAAAATAAATCGGCTTTACTTTTCCTTATGTGTAGCTCACAGCCAGGGGCAGACTGACAACTCATGGGGCCCCCGGGCAATAGGGGATCATGGGGCCCCTGTGTCCTTGCCCAAACTCCAAAAAGTCTATGAAAAAGGTACCAGGGGCATCTCATGGGGCCCCCTACTGACCCCGGGCCCTCGGGCAGTGCCCTAGTTTCCAAATGGTCAGTCTGCCCCTGCTCACAGCACACTTCTTTAATGTAGACATCTTTCATTCGTTCCCAAATCTGCACATTAACAGAGACCACCTGGACCAAATATAAAAGTAGACCTACTATTTTTTCTTTTTATTGCTTGATATTTACAAAAGAAACTGAAATGTGTGCAGGCCATAGCAAGAATATAACAATTGAAACCAAATAGTTATTCAACCAAGACACAGCTAAGGGTAGAAAATATCTAAAAATCTTCAGGAAGATTGTGAACGTTTCATATAACAATTCAGCCTGAGTGACCTTAGATTTTTTTTTTTTTTTTTAGGCAAATACAACTGACTCAGCGCCAGACTAGATGGCTTTCAGAGACACGAGAACCCAGGTTGCGCATCTTTGGGTGTGTGATGGTTTGGGACATACAGAGATAAAAAGATTAATAAACCTTTTTCCTCTTAACATAAGAGTCAGCGTAGCTGTCCCCAGATGTCGGAGTGTATTGCTGTGTGTATCCGATGCTGCCGACCTCTGGGCTGGAGAGAATGTATGGCCTTTTCTCAGTGCTTATCGTCTAGAACAAATGAAAACAAAATATGAAGATATTCATTCATGAAAGTGATATTTCACCACAATGAGTTCCAAGGGCCACCTGAAACTCATGGTGTGTTAAAGTGCATGTCTGGGAAAAACAATTCAGTAAACCTCCTGAATATTATATACACATTTCCCAATGTTTTGTCTCTTTAAAAAAAAAAAAAAAAAAAAAAAGTATTGCTTCCTGTTGTGAGCTGACAACTCAGCCTCTGCAGCACTGAAATACCAAGCAATGAATACAGCCCTGCTGGAATACAGAAAACATCTTTTACCCGCACCCTCCCCCCCGTCACATCAAACATGACTTTGAAACCGCAACTTCACTGTAAATAGCACGATTTCAAAGTCGGGTGAGATGCCGATTTCAGGTGCAATTTGTAAGAAATCTGACACAGATATCTATGCAAATCACACCAAAAGCAGTGCATGTACTACTATAGAAATAAGGGGAGCTCTGACCAAGTCTGCTGTAATTGCAGACAATAGGGTGCGACTAGGCATGCGATTTGCAAACCGCATGCCAAGTCACACCCAGTGCTACCGGGGTTTTTTAATCACAATAATATAGGGGGGAGGTGTTCTGCAGTACAGCAGGGGAGAACTGAGAAGGCAGGTGTGGCAACCTTCAGAGCTCTGCAAGACTGCCTCCAGGAGTCAGTCCCATGATGGAATTTGTAGTTTCACCGCAGCTAGAGTGCCGTATGTTGCCTGCCCCTGGGGTATACAAGACTATGAACAGAATGGAGTGTAGGATGGTTCTTATTATGAATGTACAGCACGCTACAGTTTAGAGCACGTGGGATTTAGCCCAGTAAATATCGATGTGCGTTACATGCGTCACTCTGATGCACTCTACCCCTATAAATGCAGTCATTGCTGCGTACAAAGAATGAGAAATGACTGTGAAATGAATGGTCGGGTGGGGAAGAGTCTGTACATGAAACTTCATCAGTACAATGTGGATACAGAAGAGAGGACACAGATACAATGCAGGCAGAGGGGTAGAGGAAGCACATGGAACACTCTTAGGCTAGGCTCACAAAATTGTGGGTATCGCAGCTGTTCCCCCACCCACAGCCAAAATGCGCTGCTCTGTAGAGGCGCATTCATTCTTAATAGCAGCCTCAGAAATTTAAACTTGCAGCGTGTTTGCAGGAACCGCAGGGGAACTGCACGGTTTAAAAGCATTTTTCAAAATGGTGCAAGAATTTTTTCTTTTTTTTTTGCGGGAAACAGGCCGAAACCTGCTACAGTGTGAACCTAGCCTCATGTTTGGGAAAATAGATTGTCCAGTTTGCCAATAAGAAAGATGCAGAGGAAGGTCACACATACAGAATCCACCCTAAAGGAACCCTATAAATAATTACCTAAAAATGTTACCTACAGTTCTCAGAGAACCAGTCCTAAACAGCAAATGACTAAAAAATTAAATTTAAATAAATAATAAGGAATACCTATCACACTTGACATCAAGGGCAGAGTTTGCTCTATACATCCAAATTTCTTCCAGTAAGGCCTCATATGCACGCAGGGCGTTTTTGCAGCCACTTTTAGAGGCATCAGGCATTTTTTTTTTTTACTGCTTCCAAATGGCCCTTTATGTTATCCTATGTGTCCTTGCACACAGACAATTAGAAGCTTTTAGTAGCAGTAGCATATACCAGCAGAAAAAAAAAACCCCCCCAGGGCCAGTGTGTCCAGGAGCAGCAGCATTTGGCAGAAAAAAACCGCTTGACGCACTTAAACACTAGGCGCATTTAGCTTTTGAGCGTTAATTCATTGCAGAATAATTTTTTCTGGCCAATTAAATGAACGCACAAGCACTTTACAATTGTAAACACGCCTAATCGCTTGTCAAAGAGATACTTTTACAAGCGTCAAGCATTTTTTTTTCAGCAAAAACGCTGCTGCCAGGACAGCAGCTTCTAGATTTTTTTTTTTTATTTTTTTAACATCCTGTGTGCATGAGGCCTAATAATCTTGAAATGAAATAATTACAGAAAAAAAAAAAAAAGTAGATGCTAACAACTGTGCTGTTGCCTAACATTAGTGGTCATTCATAGCAGAAGTGTTCCTTTGCTCTGGTGATCAGTGTAGGTGGGCTCTCAGTTTACCCAATGAACCCCCAGCAACTTTAGGAACCAGGGGCAGACTGACCATTCGAGCACTTGGGCACTGCCCGAGGGCCTGGGGTCAGTAGGGGGCCCCATGAGATGCCCCTGATACCTTTTTCATAGGTTTTTTTTGAGTTTGGGCAAGGACACAGGGGCCCCATGATCCCCTATTGCCCGGGGGCCCCATAAGTTGTCAGTCCATCCCTTTTAGGAACCACCCTTGTTTCCACAGAAAGCTAGCTAGGAAACACTGTGCTAAACCCATGATGAATGACATTACATAAGAGATCCAGGCTCTCCAAAAAGAAAGGGAACTCTTGTTATATGATGCAGAAAGAAAGAGCCAGATAGAAAATTCTGACTTCCTGCATTTTTACTTTGTAACAACCGCCAGAATTCTCATGGGTTAGGACAGGACTACATGCACAATATACTGGCAAAATATGTAAAACTATACATTCTTTTCTAGTGAAAACTAATTAAATCTGAATTCCAAGCAAACATCTACATACAGAATTGAAAACACACATATAGGGGATCTGTACCATCTGCCAGAGGACTTGTATGTATGTATGTATGTATGTGTATGTATGTATGTATGTATGTCTGTATGTATGTATGTATGTATGTCTGTATGTATGTATGTATGTGTATGTATGTATGTCTGTATGTATGTCACCACAGATGTATGTTGCTGTCAGAGTTGCTGTCTTGCTCTAGAGGAGGTACAAGTGAGCAGGAGCAACCACAGTAACAAGCAAGGGCAGCAAACATTCACCCTAGGTTCACATCTGTGCGGGTGGTGCCGCTGCGGATCCGCACAAAAATTTGTGCAGCCGCTCCACCCGCACAGAGAAATGCGGAGCCGCGGGAAGGTGCCATTACTTCTAATGGCACGCCACCCGCAATGGAAAACGCAACCGGACTGGGAACCGAGGTTCCCATGCGGGCTGCATTTTCAAAAAGTCCCTGCACGGGCGTCCATTCAAATGAATTGGCTCTCATGCATGCCCGTGCAAAATGCGGCCCGCACGGCCGCATGGATGTGAACCGGGGGTCAACTCAGATGGTCAAACGCTTGCAGTAACTTTTCCTTACACAGGCCGTTGAAAGGTAAAAGAAACGCTCCTTTTACAGGTAGCCATTTTGTAAAAGCGATCCTGAGGTGACAGGGTCACTGTAAGCCCGCATTTACACTGATGCGGTGCGGAATTCGCACTGGTTTCTACACTGCATCATGATCACACCCCATTCATGCAAACCGCTGTAGAGTGTTAAGTTGGCACCCCAAAATCTGTTCGCAAAACGCGGTGCGATGCGCAGAATCGGATCGCATGAGTGTGAATACCCACGATCTGATTCTGGTGCGGACTAAAAAAAAAAAAAAAAAAAAAAAAAAAAAAAAAAAAAAAAGGGTCCTGCACTATTTTGGCGTGGATTCGGTGTGTTCTGAGCCATACAAAATGTATGGCTCAAATCGCATGTGATTTGCACAGGAATGCAGTGTAGGTCGCACCGCATCAGTGTAAACCCAGACTGAGTGCCTATTCCAGAACACAGATAAGCAGGTCCACCTTTCCTGATATGCCTGGCCCCAGTACTTCGAATGAGACTCAGAACAAGCAGAGAGTTAGCATTACAGCCAGACACCTAGCATTTTTAGGAAGAAGAATGAATATATCTTCTTCTATGATATTTATGGGATGATGCCATTGGGAGTCGCATATTTGATATACATCCATATGCCACTCCTAACCTAAGGCGATTTCATTTTTGGAAATAATTTATTTTTACCACACAAGGGTATACTTTTTCCTGGAAACATAATCCTACCTTGTCTACAGACAGTGCAGATCCAACCTGGTACGAGCCTTGTGCATTTGTATAGTATGTGGGCGGGGCCTGGACATACGCATTATATTCTCCGTAAGCCAACGTGGAAGACTGCTGCGGACAGTACGAAAAAAATTAGAAAGCCATTACTTTATAAATTTGTGACAAAGAAATTATAGAGGTTATACCTGATAATAATTCTCCCTCTCTGCTGCAGTCTGGTACAAGTCTCCTGCCTGCTCCCAACATGGCAACAGATGTAAAGATAAATATAGATTGTCAAAAACGTCCACCCACATCGTGAACAGAAATTATGCATGCTGAGCGCTCACAACAGATTTGAGGGAACAAAAATGCTTACAAAACAACAGCTCCCTGCTAAATAGGGGCAAAGTGCAAAACTGATGCACTTTTGGTTTGCTTTCTATTAATACAATTTTGGTGTTGGGGTCAGAAATGGCACCGCAGTACAGTACAGTCATGTACACACAGGCCGAATATCAGCCGAAATCAGCCGGTTTGACCAGTGTGTACAGCTGCTTGTTCCACAAAAGCTGCTTTCATAATCAGCTTCTGTCAAAAAGGGCATCCTGGAAAACCAGCATCCGCTGATCAGTGTGTTCTGGCTGGAAGAGTCCCCCTGTCACAACACAATAGCACAGCAAGGGAGTTCGCTGCACCAACATCTCGTGTGTTAGTATAGCGATCTCACAGTTGTCTGTAGTGTGTACGCGGCTTAGAACATCCACCTGATCAGGTTTTAACGTGTGCACCTGTATGATGTGTAAAGGCAAAATTTGCAGCTAAAAAGAAGGAAACCTACCCACAAAGACCATTGTTTACTTTCTGACTTCCAACACAAAATGGGGGGTTATAAGAACTCTACCAACATTGGGCTGAGATATAACAGAGGCTAATGACCAGGAACACAGACATTTATTTCAGGTACTTATATAGTGCCGTAAATTTACGCAGTACTTTACATACAGTGAAGGAAAGAAGTATTTGCTCTCCTGCTGATTTTGAATGTTTGCCCACTTACAAAGAAATGATCAGTCTACAAATCGAATGTTCGGTGTATTATAACACTGAGAGACAGAATAGCAACAAAAAATTCAAAAGAAATGCATGTCTAACAAATGATACACTGATTTGCATGTTCATGAGGGAAATAAGGATTTGATCCCCTATCATTCAGCAGGATTTCTGGCTACCAGGTGTCTTTCATACAGCTAACAAGCTGAGATTAGAAGCAGTCTCTTAAAGGGAGTGCTGCTAATCTCATTTTGTTACCTGTATAGAAGACACCTGTATAGAAGACACCTGTCCACAGGAGCAATCAAACAATCAGATTCCAAACTTTCCACCATGGCAAAGACCAAAGAGCTGTCCAAGGATGTCAGGGACAAGATTGTAGACCTACACAAGGCTGGACTGGGCTACCAAACTATGGCCAAGCAGCTTGGTGAGAAGGTGACAACAGTTGGAGCAATCATTCGCAAATGGAAGAAAGACAAAACAAGTGTCAGTCTCCCTAGGTCTGGTGCACCATGCAAGATCTCACCTCGTGGAGTGTCAATGATCATGAGAACAGTGAGGAATCATCCCAGAACTACACGTGAGGATCTTGTCAATGATCTCCAGGCAGCTGGGACCACAGTCACCAAGAAAACAATTGGTAACACACTACGCTGACAAGGATTGTAATCCTGCAGTGCCCGCAAGGTCCCTCTGCTCAAGAAAGCACATGTCCAGGCCCGTCTGAAGTCTGCCACTGAACATCTGAATGATGCAGAGGAGGACTGGTGGGAAGTGTTGTGGTCAGATGAGACCAAAATCGAGGTCTTTGGCATCAACACAACTCGCCGTGTTTGTAGGAGGAGGAATGCTGCCTATGACCCCAAGAACACCATCCCAACTGTCAAAGATGGTGGTGGAAACATTCTGCTTTGGGGGTGTTTTTCTGCTAAGGGGACAGGACAATTGCACCGCATCAAAGGGACGATGAACGGGGCAATGTACCATCAAATCTTGGGTGAGAACCTTCTTCCCTCAGCCAGGGCATTGAAAATTGGTCGTGGATGGGTGTTCCAGCATGACAATGACCCAAACCACACAGTCAAGGCAACAAAGGAGTGGCTCAAGAAGAAGTACATTAAGGTCCTGGAGTGGCCTAGCCAGTCTCCAGACTATAATCCAGTGTTTCTCAACTCCAGTCCTCATGGACCCCCAACAGGTCATGTTTTCAGGATTTCCATTATTTTGCACAGGTGATTTGATCAGTTTCACTGCCTTAGTAATTACCACAGCTGTTTCATCTGAGGGAAATCCTGAAAACATGACCTGTTGGGGGTCCATGAGGACTGGAGTTGAGAAACACTGCTTTAATCCGATTGAAAAATCTGTGGAGGGAGCTGAAAGTTTGAGTTGCCAAATGTCAGCCACCAAACCTTAATGACTTGGAGAGAATCAGCCAAGAGAAGTGGGCCAAAATCCCTCCTGAGATGTATGCAAACCTGATGGCCAATTACAGGAAACGTGACCTCTGTGATTGCCAGCAAGGGATTTGCCACCAAGTACGAAGTCATGTTTTGTGACGGGGATCAAATACTTATTTCTCTCATGAACATGAAAATCAGCGCATCATTTGTTAGACATGCATTTCTGCTGAATTTGTTGTTGCTATTCTGTCTCTGTGTTACAATACACCTACCACTCGATTTGTAGACCGATCATTTCTTTGTGAGTGGGCAAACATTCAAAATCAGCCGGGGATCAAATACTTATTTCCGTCACTGTATATATCGCACATTCACATCAGTCCCTAACCCTCAAGGGGCATACAATCTAAGATCTCTAACTCACATTCATACACATACTAGGGACAATTGAGACAGGAGCCAATTCACCTTCCAGCGTGTCTTTGGAGTGTGGAAGGAAACCAGAGTACCCGGAGGAAACCCACGCAGGCACAGGGAGAACATGCAAACTCCAGGCAGCTGTTGCCATGGTTGGGATTCAAACCGACGACCCTAGTACTGCCAGACGGAAGTGCTAACCATTTATCCACTGTGCTGCCCATCACAGGAATGCTTGCCTACTGGCAAGTATTTTTAAAAAAAAATATATATCTATTAAATACAAAACCAATATAATCATAAATATATCAGTACACAGTAATCAGACATTTATTACAATATTCCCAATACCCCCTCTCCACCCTTACTCTCCCCCCCCCCCCCCCCCCCAATATTTTCATTGTCTTTTCCCTTCTAGTAATTTTCGCTCACCTCTACTATCTTCCTCTAAACCAGAAGCATCTTCTTGTCATCGACTTTTTACTCCTTACCTCTCGTTCCTGAATTTCCCTTCTACTCCATCAGTTCTACAAATCTCTGAGTTCTCCCCACTTTTCCCATATTTTTCTGCATTTATCCATTTTATCTTCTCCAATAACATAAAGTTCTTCATTCTTGTATATACATTTTACTCTTTTTATCCAGTATTTTATTCTTGGGATCTCTTGGACCTTCCAAAATTTAGGGATCAGCCCTTTTGCTGCATTAAGTGGGGCATCATCGTGTTTTTATTACGGTTTTGTTGTTAGATCTGTTTTATGAAATAAGACATACCCACGGATCTTTTAACCCCTAGATGCCAAGCACACACAAATATGCGGCCTCTCGGCGTCTGGGCCTTGACGCTGAGCGGCCGCATATTTGCGTGCCATTAGAAAATACATATGTGCTCAGAGCGCTCGCCCCCAGCACTTATGTCCGTGACTCACGGAAAAGTCCCATCTCCCCTTGTGGTCGGGACCTTTTCCGATCAAGTGACCGCCGTGACAGCGAATCATGGCGGTCGCAGGACCCTAAAACCCCACCCGCCATCTGAAACTCTTAAAAGGGCTGAGAGGCGCCAGCGCAAAGGGATTAATATACTTTCCCTCGTAATCTCAGCTATTTGTTGTATTAACTCCTGCCGGAATTCCTGAATTTTGGGGCATTCCCACCATATGCGTGTTATTGTACCCTCCATCTCACATCTCCTCCAACAATACATAGAATTCTCTGGGTGTTATGAGCTCTACGAGGTGTAATATACCATCTTGCCATCAATTTATAATTCATCTCTACAGTACTCATGCCCACTGCTTTGTGTGCAAATTCTAAATATTTTCCTTCTCTGTTGTTCGCTCAACTGCATTCCCAACTCGTTTCCCATTTTCCCCCATAAATGCTGGTATAGCCGGTTCAGATGTTATAGTCAGTATCCTATAAATATGTGAAGCACCATGTTTTTGTATTCAATCTGAGTTTAACAATTGCTTGAATGGATACATATTTCTAACCTCTCTTAGTGGTTGTGGAAGAGATATGACAAAGTGTTTTAATTGATTGATCGCCACTCATCAAGCGCATAAAACGTGTCCTTTTTTATTTCAACTGTTGTAACGTGCCTATTACTCCATTACTCATAATATCCTTCTGTCCTACCGGGCACTTTTACCCCCTTCATCCCCAGGCCAATTTTCAGCACTCTCACAATTTGAATGACAATTGCGCGGTCATGCAACATTGTACCTATATGAAATTCTTATTTTTTTCACACAAATAGAGCTTTCTTTTGGTGGCATTTAATTGGCACTGGGTGTTTTGTTTTTTGCACTATAAAACAAAAAAAGAGCAAAAAAAAAGTTTCTCTTTGTTTCTATTATATAAAATTTTAAACAGGTAATTTTTCTCCTTCACGGATAGCACTGATGAGGCTGCACTGATAGGCAGTACTGATGGGCACTGATGAGGTGGCACGGATAGGCAGCGCTGATGCTGTGGCACTTGTGGGCATTGATGAGGAGGTACTGATGATATGCAGCAATGGTGGGCACTGAAAGGTGGCACTGATCATCAGTGCCAATCTGCTCTGTGACAGTTGCCAGACATTGGCAGTACTTTCCTCAAGCTGTGACAGCGTGAGGAAAGTGCAGCCGATAACCGGCAACTGTATTTACGCGGTGATCTGCTGTGTCATTGGCCTTTTACCGCATCATGTGATCAGCTGTGTCCATAGGAAGCTCAAAAGTAGTCCATGCACTACTTTAGTTGCGATTTGCATAGATATCTGTGTCAGATGTCTTGCAAATCACAACTGAAAATGGGCAGGTCACCCGATTTTGAAATTGTGCAGCTTCACTGTAAGTCGCACGATTTTAAAATCGGTGTAATCTCCAATACACTCCACCTTCCATTGAAATGGTGGTTACAGTACTCGCTGGCCACCTTCATCTTTTTCCTAGGTGTCAGATTTTCAGCCTTTTGGTTGGCTAGCAGGGGATGGTGTCATCCCGCGCATATGAGTCAGTCATTCTGGCACAGCTGGAGTGTCGGGAATACATGCTGAGCTGCATAAGTGCAGCTCCCTGTACATTCAATAGAAAACTGAGAGCAGACATTCATGTATAGATTATTGCAGAAGAGAAAGCATGCCCCCACTGACCAGAGGTTTAACCACTTTCCCCACGCCCTATAGCAGAAATAATGCTACAGGGCGGCATGTTGGATAGGTTTTATAGCAAGAAGTGAAAAATGTTTTTTTTTTATTCAAAAAATGTATTTTGTGTTTATTGCGCAAAAAAAAAAGAAAGCCATTTGTGGGTAAAAAAAAAGACAAATTTAATTTATGTGCAACGCTGCATGACCACGCAATTGTCATTTAAACTAACGCAGCGCCATATGGCAAAATATGACCTGGTCAGGAAGGGGGGGGGGGGGGGGGGGGGTAAATCCTCTGGAGGGCAAGTAGTACAGAAGGGAAAAAAAAAAAAAAAAATAAAAGCACAACTGAAAAACTGCTTGTTGCATCCCCACTCACCTGACTGGCATCCCCAGGAACATCTGCCTGGGCACTGCTGTATCCTGAATATTGGTCATACCACTGCTGAATAGCCTCCTGCAACATAAACAGGAGATTTAGCCGCTGTGCACTTACTGATACAGACAAAGCCAGCGTGAGGTGAATGAGCTACCTGAGAGTAATCCCCGTATTGCTGGCTGTAGGCGAAATAGTTCTCTAATCCTGACTGTACTGTGGAGTCCTGAGATAATAAGCCATCCATTGCATGAGCCTGGAGACCACGAGCAGCCATTCCTGAACATTAATAAATAGATAAATATGTTTTATTTATAGACCAAACAATTCAGACACCTGTTAGAAAAGTTCCATCTCATCACCCCCTCAGGAGCCATGTCACACTAGCAATCTAGCTGCTGGTGACTTGCCAGAGCAAACAGTTACCTGTTACAAATCACTGCTGGCTAGATGAAGGAGTTGCTGCTGGTGACAGATATTCTGCATTTCTGTCAGTGAAGAAGCCATAACTCACTCATCTGGACAGTGAGGAAACAAGGTGTGGAAAGAGGCGAGTCTTTGCTCTGAATAGTGTTTACATAGCTGGCAAGTTGTCAACAATGACTGCAGTCATACATTTACCTGCAATGGTTGGGGCTTCCTTTGTAAGGAGTGCCCTGGAACCCGGAAACACAAATACTCCAGATAGGGACAGCAAAAATAAAATAGCACCATTGGGAAAAAGTCAATAGCTTTCTTTAGAATAAATTCACTTTCTACTGCCGGTAACATCCCAGGTGCAGGGAGAGCTGAGAAACATGTTCATTAGTAATTACAACATTTTCCCCATTAAGATCTCATGAAGGACAACACTTCGCCCAGGGTCCTGAGAGCACAGAGGGCCTAGAGTGCCATAGGAAACACAAAAAAAACCAAAAAAAAAAAAACACACAGAGGCTTTTATGCCTTTGTTTACACTTCTGGTTGGGGGAGGGGCATAAAAAAAGTGTGGTTGAACTGTGCTATGTGATGAACTGCCAACCTGTGACCCAGGTACAAGGATCTACTGCTATTATGAAATTTACCAGGCAACACGCTTGCCAGATTCAAGTAAGGGTTAGTGCTGAGTCGAATGTCCTTTGGTGGCTCTCCCAACAGCGATGTCTGGTTACTCGTCTTGTTCTGCAAAAGGAAAGACTGACTTCAGACAAACACAGAAGCGGTTTAGCAACACCTTACACAATTTTTTCCCCAGAGCAAACTTATTACACCCCAACTGAGGAAACACAAAAGCAGTATTGCAGCCACAGCCCTAGGCCCCTTTCACACAAGCATTTCCCAATCAGGTCTGTCTGGAGGTGTTTCAGGCGGACCTGATCGGACCCTCCATTCTGCTCTATGGAGGGTCCAGGTGTAAACAGACTTGTGTCCATTTACACCCGCCTACCTCCAATCCACCAAAAACAAACATAGGGGATCCGTTGGGCGCATCGGAGGGCAGTGGGGTGTAAATAGACCACAGAGCAAGTGGAGTCCACCAGTGTGAAAGCTGCTCCAGTTAGCTTTAAAAAAAAAAAAAAAAAAAAAAAACTGTAGCTGTTGACTTTTAAAAAGCACCACTTACATGTCCCTCGATCCAGTGGTGTGCTCACCCCAGCCAGGTTCACTGGCCATCTTATGTCCCTGGCGCCGGCATATTAAGTGTGGGGGCCTGACTGTGACAGCTTGTGGCTTCACAGCTGGGTGCCCATTGCACATGTGCAAGCAGTGCTTCGCGCATTGTGAATGGTCCTGCAGTCTTCTGGGACCCGTCACGTGTACTAGAAGACTGCGGGGCGTAAGGGGGAGGGAGGAGAACTTCTGCTTCCGATCGCCTAGGCCATTGGAGTGGAAGTGGGAGCGGGTACCTGTCAAAAATCGGGTTCCAGCTCCACAAAGGTGCCAATCCTTAATGAGAAGGGGATGAGTTGTTAAAACAGAATTTCCTTTTTTGGGCGAAGCTCCACATTAAGCAATACAAAAAAAGTTAAATAATATAAACAAACACTATAAGCATTGAGTTCTGTATGCTCTTCCTAGGTTATGTGGGTTTTCTACAGACTAAGCCCCCATGAAATAGGGAGCAGAAGAGGGAGAGAGCGCGCCAGAGAGAAAAGCACTCTCCCTGTGGTGCTTCCTCACGCTCACCCTGGCAAAATAGGACGAGGGTAATGGAGTGCAAGAGAGCAAGTGAGGGAAGGAGAAGGAGCCCCAAAGAAAGAGGCAGAGAAGGAGCGCCAAAAAGAGGGCAAGGGAGCACCAGAGATAAAGGGGGCAAGAAATAGAGCAAGTGTAGGAGACACAGCGAAAAAAAGAGAAGGGGGAATTGAGAAGGAGCATCAGAAAGAGACCAAGGGGGCGTCAAAGAGAAAGGGTGAGGTGGCAGCAGGGAGAGGGCGAGAAAAAGCAAGTATGGGAGAGACAGAGCAAGAGAGAGCGGAAAAGATAAGGAAAAAGGGAGAGAAAGACATATTCTGATTTTCAACACCTTTAGTAAAATCAGACGGGGGGGGAAGAGAGAGAGAAAAAGGAAGGAAGGAAGGGAGGGAAAGGAAGGGAGGGGAAGGAAGGGAGGGGAAGGAAGGGAGGGAAAGGAAGGGGGGAAGGAAGGAAGAAGGGAGGGGAAGGAAGGGAGGGGAAGGAAGGGAGGGGAAGGAAGGGAGGGGAAGGAAGGGAGGGGAAGGAAGCGAGGGGAAGGAAGCGAGGGGAAGGAAGCGAGGGGAAGGAAGCGAGGGGAAGGAAGGGGAAAGGAAGGAAGGGGAAAGGAAGGAAGGGGAAAGGAAGGAAGGGGAAAGGAAGGAAGGGGAAAGGAAGGAAGGGGAAAGGAAGGAAGGGAAAGGAAGGAAGGGAAAGGAAGGAAAGAAAGAATGAATAAGCATGTGTGCTGTGCCGTTACATTATAGAGGGTACCTTGTTCCATAAATAATATAACCACACACTAATCCTCTCATATTCTGAATACTTTCCCAAAAACAGATTTTAGAAGGCATGGCCAAACAAACCTGCAGTTACTTAAAGTGGTTCTAAAGGCTGAAGGTTTTTTATCTTCATGCATTCTATGCATGAAAGTAAAAAAACCTCCACTGTGCAGCTCCCCCCACGCTTACCTGAGCCCGATCCAGCAATGTGCACGAGAGCAGCAGCTCTCCCATTGGCTCCCACTGCTGTCAATCACAGCCAGTGAGGAGGAGATGCGGGACAGGGTTGAGCTGTGCTCTGTCTCTTATGGACACAAAGGCAGCTCAGGAGCGAGCATGCACGAGTACCCCCCAGAGCAAGCTGCTTGCTGTGGGGACACTCAGCAGGGGGGAGGGACCAGAAGCGCCAGCAGGGGACCTAAGAAGAGGAGATTCGAAGTATAACATGTTTGCTATTTTTAAAAGAAAAAAAAAATCAAAATGGAGCCTTTCATGTCACTTCAAAGGAGAGGTAGGGGCCAAGGTTTTTGGGCCCTACTTCTCCTAGCTGCTAAGAGCCTGAGCCAGCTACTCATGCCCACTCCACAGCCCAGTGCTCTATTTAGTGCTGGAGGGCAGAGCAGAGAGCCTGTTAACAGACATTCACTGCTCTCTGAAGACCAAGAACTGAATGATCAGCGATCTTTGATCGCTCAGTTCTCAGTGTCAAAAGCAGTGGGGGATAGATGCAGCATTGGACCGATGCTGCATCCACAAAGGTGAGTAAAAAAAAAAAAACCAACAAAAAAGGATGGTAAAGAAACCTATACTTTTCTTTTAAAACAGATAAAACACAGTTCTCACCGTGTGCAAAGTATCTGTGATAACAGCCTGTGATTGTCCACTTAGAAGAGATCCCTCGCTCAGTGCCAGTGCAGACTGCTTATCTTGGGCTAGCTGGGATAGTGAAGTGCTCAAGTGCTGATTCTGAAGATACGGCAACAAGTCTGCAGGGAAGAATACAAACACAACTGAAAAGCAGTTTTGAAAACCCAACTATGATAAACTTGCTTGTCAGCATACTACAACAATACAGTTTGCCCTCAAACAATTACAAGTGGTCAGATATTATAAGTGTTACATTAATATTTAAGAAAAAAAAAAAAATGACAAGAAAAACAATAAACTACACGACAGCAGCTGAACAGTTTCAAGCTAATCTAAAGTAAAATTTTGTTTTCCCGTTTTGTAAGCAAGGGAGGATTATAACCCGTCATTTTTTTGCCATCTGTGTCCCATAGTGGAGATTTCCCTTCACTTCCTGTGCCATAGACAAACAAGGAAGTGATAGGAAATCTCTCCAAAGTGGGGGGAATCCCTGGTTGTCACCACGGTTTCCAAAAACTGGTGTAGTAATGAGGAAGATTTCCTCTATTCCTGTTCTGGTGACAACACAGAATTTGGGATTTTCATTCACTTTCACTGCTAGTTCATACTAGATGCAGTCCAGTGCGCTTTTTTTCTGCAACAGAAATGCATGCACAGTGTTTTCCATGTTTTTCAATGGCCCTAGTGCAGTCAGTTCACACCAGTGCAGTCAGTTTCCAGTGCAGAAAGAAAAAAAAAAAAAAAAAAAAAAAAAAACACGTTGCATTTTTTTTCTGCACAGAACCATACTGAAACACTGAAAAACTGCATCAAACCTGCACCGGAACGGAGTGTGATGTGTACTGCAAGCAAAAACGTATTCCGGAACGCATTTTTTTTGGTGTAAACTGGCCCTCACTCCCGGTGATAAGAGAAAACAGGATACGTAGAGAGGGAGAATCTCCTCAACAGGGACACAGACAGCAATAAAAACCTGACAGAAGTTCTAATCCCTCTCCACTCTATCCAAAGAGGAAAAAAAAACAAAAATAAAAAGAAGGTTTTAGTTTAGTTATACTTTAAAACAATGGTCTGCAAACTGTGGCCCGGGGGCCGGATGTGCCCTTTGCCTTTATCTCTGCCCTTGGGGCACTATTCCCACCAACTGTCCACAGATGGAGAACCATTCCTCCTACTGACATCATGAATGGGGCACTCATTTTCTGCTCCCACTGGTTACAGTTCAGCCCCCCTAAAGTCTGAATGACAGTAAAGTGGCCGTTTGCTTAGAAAGTTTGGAGAGCCCTGCTTCAAAACACACATACGTAGGTAGGTTGTTTTATCTGACAAAATACTTGTAACCTGTTCAGCCTGTCTTGTGATTTACAATCCCCTGCCAAATTTTAGAATCATTAAGGTGATACAACCAATTCACCTATCCAGCTGAGTAGTTCTCTCTGTCACTTGCCCACTTACTGTCTCTATTTTTTATATATATATACACACATACACACACACACATATAATATATATATATATATACACATACAACAACACATATATATAAAACACATAGATATAAACATACACACACACACACACATAGATAAAAAAAAATACAACACACAATACAATATTACAAACACAATAAATACCCCCAAAAACAATATAAAAAACACACAAAAAAATAAAACCCCAAACAAACCCCCACAAACACACAATAAAATAAAAAAACACACACAAACACACAACAAAAAAAAAACAAACACACAAAAAACATATATTATAAAACACCCACAACAAAAAAAATAAAAAAAAAACACAACAACCAACAAAAAAAACCCAAATAAAAATAACAAAAACACCAACCCCACAATACCCAAACAAAACAAAACAAAAACAAAAATAAAAAAAAACCAAAAAAAAAAAAACAAACAAAAAAAAAACCAAACAAACAAAAATTAAAAAAAAAACAAAAAAAACCAAAAAAAAAAAAAAAAAAAAAACACAAACAAAAAAAAAAACAAAAAAAAAAAAAACAAACACAAAACAAAAAACAAAAAAACAAAAAAAAACAAAAAAAACAAAAAAACAAAAAAAAAAAAACAAAAAAAAACAAAAACAAAAAAAAAAAAAAAAAATAAAAAAAAATAAAAAAAACACAAAAAAAAAAAACACAAATAATACAACAAACACAACACAAACAATACAAAAACAAACACATAAAACATAAAACACACACATATACAACACACAAATACTCAAAAAAGCCTATAAAAAAATGTACCAGGGGCATTTCATGGGGCCCCCTACTGACCCCTGGGCCCTCGGGCAGTGCCCGAGTGCTGGAATGGTCAGTCCGCCCCTGGCTTATAGTGAACATATGCATTTTACTTTAGGAAAGCTTTATTATCCTTTCAAATCCACATTGTGACACACACACAGAGTGAAAAATAAACAGTTTGCATAAATTGTTAGCAGAACATTAAGTTAGGTTAAAAGGGCACAAATTGGCACAATAACAACTTTTTTTTTGTCAACAAATCTACAATCACTAAAATTTTGAATGAACAGCGATCAACCAAACAACAGGAGGGTTTATGCAGGCCATAGACGGCTCGAAAACCGGACGTTTTTTTTCGTCCGATAAACGAAAACATCGGTCGTTTGTGTAAAACCGACGTAACCACCAATTATTACGAAAATTAGCCGACCAAGTCATAAAGTTCACCCCATATAACAGGCAAAACTTCCGTTCCTTCCAGGTCATGGGCTCATGCGCATATTTTTTTCATAAAAACGATCATACGATTTGACCATCATTGATGCGAAAATCGGATCGTTTTCCAACATGACAGATAATCCAAAAGTGGAAAAACCGCGAAAAACCGGCCGACGAATTAACCCACTAACAGTGCGAAAATGGGCCGATTAATCTTTCGGACCAAAAATCTGCCGAATTTCGAACCGTCTATGGCCGGCATTACTAAAGCTGGAAATACAAACCAATCAGCTTCCAACCTCAGATTGTTCAATTAGGCTTTGGCAAAAAAAAACCTGGAAGCCGATTGGTTTCTATGCAGAAGGAAGCCTGATTTTTCACTTTCCAACATACAGTAAATAAACTCAATCTGTCTGCAAACTAAACCACTCCAGCTTGGTGTGCAGGCAATATGAAGTAAAGCTGTGTACACACAGAATGTTTGTCTTCTTTCAACCTGTAGGCTGAACTCACAGAGCCCTGCATCAATACACAAGGGATCTCTCCTGCTGACCTATTGTATTCTGACTGGGGGGGTTGCCCCACCCCCAGAATATACTAATCAGCGTCGCAGCCAGTGGTTTTACAGCATGACCATTAGACCGGCTTCAGTTGAACAGATAGTAGAAGACATTGACTGAGAGTCCGCTGGTTTCGGGCAGATCCTGATATTACCCTTTCCCTTTATTCGGAGTGTCAACAATATTTCATTAGATCAACAATCATCGGTGTTGCCACTCTCACTGCACATGCCCAGTTCACTTCCTGGAGAAAGCTGCTCACTTCCTATTTTCTGCTCTGGAAACCATCCCATGTTATACATCTGCTTGCAAGCCAGCTCCAGCACAGTGAATGATGGTGGCCCCCACCCCATGCAACACTCTTTTGCTCTGCAGGGCAACTCCACCAAGTTAAACCAATTCAATATCGGGCAATTTTACACTTCCTGCCCAGGCCAGTTTTCAGGTTTCAGCGCTCTCACACTTTGAATGACAATTGCGCGGTCATACAACATTGTACCCAAACTAAAATTTTATAATTTTCTTCACACAAATAGAGCTTTCTTTTGGGGGTATTTAATCGCCGCTGGGTTTTTTATTCTTTGCTAAATTAACAAAAAAATACCAAACATTTTGAAAAAAAACACACGTTTTTCTTTGTTTCTGTTATAAAAGTTTGCAAATAAATAATTGTTCTTCATAAATTTAGGCCGAGATGTATTCTGCTACATGTCTTTGGTGAAAATAACCCAAATTAGGATGTATTATTTAGTTTGTAGGAAAGTTATAGAGTTCACAAACTATGGTATAGATCTGAATATTGATCAATCCTGAAGTACTGACAGCCAATCTAATATCTTGAGGTCCAAGAATGTCAGAACAGTACAGATATCCCCCAAATGACCCCTTTTTGCAGAGTAGACAGTCCAACATACTTCATAAAAGGCATGGCAAATTTTTTGAAGTTGTATTTATTTTGTCATAATTTTTCGGAAAATGAAAAAAAAATTAGTTTCACTATTTTTTTTTTTTTACATATTGTCACCAGTGCAGTACAGCGTCATCATATAAATGGCATGGCGGTGATCAGGGACACTGACTGGTGACAGTATGAAAAAAAAAAATATATATATTTTTTTTTATTATTTATTAATTTTTTTTTTCTTTTTTTTAAGATTTTTTTTTCATATTTCACTATGGCCAAAGTAGTACAATGTTACCATAGTAACATTGTACTACTTTGGGGAAGTGATCAGTATTTGTTTTTTTTTTTTTTTTTTTTTTTTTACACAATTTGCTTATAGCAAAGAATTACTTTGCTATAAGCAAGCATTTACCTGAATGACATCGATTCATCAGGGTTTTTTTGTGCTTAGCCTATGATTTGGCCACAGCTAAACACATGACATGTGCATGTGATTAGCTGTGACCATTCACAGCTAGACACTAGTATACAATGGATGGCATGAATGAAGCCATCCATTGTATACAACTTTCATGTGACCTGCTGTGATTGGTCACAGCAAGTCACATGGTAACAGCAACTGGGGCAGATACTCAGATGTGTCAACGGCCGTGTCCGAGGTACACGGCCGGCGACAGATCGCGCCGCTGAGCAGCTCTGGAGGAGCGCGATCTGCGCATGTGCGGGAGGACGCCATATGGCGTCCACCCAGAACGCTGATGACATTTGCCGGCTGCCATTCGGCCATAGGGCGGGCGGCAAATGGTTAATGGACAGCAGCTCCTCCTTTTGTCTAAACGTGATGCAAGAGCACAGATCGGCTCTATTATTATACAGTATTTATATGGCACCAACAGTTTGCTCAGCGCTTTACAATATAACGGGAGACAATACAGCAACAATACAGTTCAATACAAGAGGGTTAGGAGGGCCCTGATCCTGGGAGCTTACAATCTAAGAGGGAGGGGCTAGTGGTACAAAAAGTAGTAACTGTGGGGGATGGACTGGTAGTAGGAATAGAAGATTCCATTATTAGCGGAGGACAGGATAGGCTTCCTTGAAGAGAGGTTGGATAGGAGGATACCCATAAAAAAGGGAGGGACTCCCTGCAAGGACTTATGCAAGATATGTCACATGCTGCTCCACTATCGGACAGTGATAATTGGAGATATAGTCACGTGACCGCTCTATATAAACTTGAAAAAAACACTAAGTGACTGCGCTCTCTGCACAATTATTCCTGGGTTACTTACATTCACAAGGTTCTAATGGGTTTATATTGGTTTCATGCTCTGTGCACATAATGGAACCCAACCCATATTTGTACACAGTAGGAAGCTGAGATTACAAGTATAACAGGCCTGCATTAAAATGTCAAGCTCTTCTTCATGCAACTACAAGTCATATGCTACTGCACACTTGTACAGCTACCACTGCTAACAAACTATGAAAACCAGTATTACTTTTTTGTGGGGCCTCCACTGATCCCGTCTGCGCCGTCCCCATGGTGGACTGTAAGATGGAGACCGGAGCTTCTCCCAGCAGGCCGGGTTTTCTAGCACCAATGAGAACAGGTGATAATTCATATCATTACAGACAGGAAGGAAGACACACGTGAGCATGCACATGCATGTACTTACACTGTTATTAGACTGTGCACTTTTCAGCTGGAGCAGCTGCTGTTGAGCCATCTGTAAATGGGAGTAGTTCTGAAGAAGGAGGTTACCTGCGACACCTGGTTTCTGTGGAGGGGAACAGCAGACAGTGGATTTATAAAACACTTCTCTCTACTCCCCCACCCTCGCCACATTTCGTCAGACATAGTAGACACAAAGAGGAAGGGGGGAGGGGGGGTGATTTACTAAAACTGCATGGTGCAAAATCTGGTGCAACTCTTCATTGAAACCAATCCGCTTCCAGGTTTTATTGCCAAAGCTGAACTGAGCAAGCTGAAGATGAAAGCTGATTGGTTGCTATGCACAGCTGCACCAGTTGTGGTAAATCTACCCCAGAATGTGCAGTGACTACATACCAAGCGTGCGCAACAAATATGGTAGTTATAAAGGGTATCAGGAACACTAGAGTACACTTTGTAAGTGGAAAGTGAAGAAGAATCCAACCATTTAAAGGCCACGTCCACCTTTTGTACCAGATTTCATGTTTGCGATATTTAGGGTACAATATAAAACATGGTTGCATACCACATAGAACTTTCCATTAACTACACAACATTGGAATCTCAGCTTAGGATCAGGTCGAATTTGTAACTACACAAAATTGGAATCTCAGCTTTGGATCAGGTCAAATTAACTACACAAAATTGGAATCTCAGCTTTGGATCAGGTCAAATTTTTATTTTTTACAGTGCCGACAATCCTACACAGGCAATATAATGTCTAAAGCTAAAACTTTATTTTTGGTTTTTTAGATTTAAGACAGAGTAAGGAGTGTTTTTTGTCTTCTGTGCAAATGGGGAAATCATCGTTACTTGTCCTGTAGATACAACAGAAAGTGGAGAAGATCTTTAGTCAGCCGTCACTAAACATGCGTCTACATCAGAAGATTTGCATTCTTCCAGTTCTGATGACAACTCAAAGCTTTGGATTTGATCTTATTTTGTGCCCCAGTGACAATTCTCACCAGGACTAACAGAGAAGATTAACTTGCCCACCAGTGTGGTTATACCCTATGCAGGGGCGGACTGACCATTCGAGCACTCGGGCACTGCCGAGGGCCCGGGGTCAGTTGGGGGCCCCATGAGATCCCCCTGGTACCTTTCATTGGCTTTTTTGAGTGTGGGCGAGGACACAAGGGCCCCATGATCCCCTATTGCCCGGGATCACCATGAGTTGTCAGTCCGCCCCTGACCCTATGGGATATTCTACCCCTCCCTTCCCCATCAATTCCCTCTTCTTCTTCTGTTTTCTTTTCCCCTTCTCGGCCGTCTGTCACCCCATGTACATTGGGCTGATGAAGGGCACTGTGTCCATTTCCTTCCCTCCGGCCTGCGAGTTGCATTCATTGACCCAAAGGTGCAGACCCCCACAGGCTGAGGGGCCTGAGGGGTTGTCCCTCTGACACACCCAGGGGCATATTTACCACAAGGCAAACAAGGCATTTGCCTAGGGCGGCATTTTTCAAGGGGGCAGCACTGCTCCCCAGAAAAATGGACACATGCACCACACACACCAATTGGGATCTGAGAGAGGCTGCTTGCTGGTGTATACAGAGCCAATCTCTTGTTCTCAGGGATATCGGAGCTGTGAAGGTGTCTCTCTTTCTCCAGGTAGGGGGGTGGGTTGTATGTTAGTAAGGGGGGGCAGGGATGTTGTTGGTCAATGTCAGGCCCCTTTCCCCATCCATTCCCTCTTCTTCTGCTGTTTTCTTTTCCCCTTCTCGGCCGTCTTTCACCCCATGTACATTGGGCTGATGAAGGGCACTGTGTCCATTTCCTTCCTTCCGGCCTGCAAGTTGCATTCATTGACTCAGAGGTGCAGACCCCACACGGCTGAGGGGGCTGAGGGGTTGTCCCTCCGACACACCCAGGGGCATATTTACCACAAGGCAAACAAGGCATTTGCCTAGGGCAGCATTTTTCAAGGGGGCAGCACTGCTCCCCAGAAAAATGGACACATGCACCACACACACCAGGTGGGATCTGAGAGAGACTGCTTGCTAGTGTATACAGAGCCAATCTCTTGTTCTCAGGGATATCCAGAGCTGTGAAGGTGTCTCTCTTTCCAGGTAGGGGGGTGGGTTGTATGTTAGTGGGGGGGGGGGGGGGGGGGGGGGGGCAGGGATGTTGTTGGTCAATGTCAGGCCCCCTTCCAGGGGGGAGGGGTGGTGGTTGGGGTGCCACGCTCTCTCCGCCAGGGTGGGGGGGCTCCAATTTTCTTGTTACCTAGGGCAGCACAAAACCAAAATACACCACTGGAAACACGCATCCTCCTATTATTGGTCACACTCAATTTCACTTCAATTGTTTACACCGTTGTGTGCTGTATACCTTTGTAAAAAAATTGAAGAAACACTTTTGTAATAGAACTTTCCCAACAGGCACACAGATAGCAATACAAACCTGATGTTTGTTTCAACATAAGATAGGGAAATGGTCTAAAGCTACGCACACATGATGAGAATAATATCGGACGAACGATAGTCTGTGTTTTTTACTACTACTTTTTTTTGCATGCTAATCTCATATCGAAAACAAATTGGTTAATAGTTACGAAAATTCTCATAAAAAAAGAGAATACAACTTCCAGCAATGATGTAAGGTATTGTACCGTAATGTATTCTCATTTCTGACCATGCGCGGTCTTGGTCACTTGATTTTTTTTTTATGGACAAGTACTGTAATGATTAAACGAAAATCGTTTTTGGATAATTTTGCATGAACTCTCATGATCGGCTCTCGAAAGCCGTTTGCCAACAATCAGATTATTGGACGATCACTCCAAAAGCAGGAGTTTTTGTTTAATTTTTTCATCGTGTGTACCAGACATCCTTTTCAAAGCCAACCTATACTAAAGAAAAAAAAAAGAAAATAATAAAAATAATAATAATAAAAAAAAAAAAAAAGTGTTTAGCATAATTCAATTAAAATATTCAGGTCAGTCCCATTCCGTGAAGATAACGAAATAATCCACCAACCAAGTGACACAAGAACTCTGAGAGGGTCCTATTTATGCAGACAGAATGAACAGTTTTATCTTTTTATCCTCTCAACTTCTTATACTCTGAACTGCTTGTGATCAACCCATTAGCAGAAAAGACACTTTGTGCCAGGCATTTCTGAAACCGCTGACAGCACAAGGCAGCTGGACGTAATGCCTCTCACATGTTATTCGAACATGACACCAAGAAATGACAAAAATACAAAAAAATATAATTGTATTCTCTCGTCCACCTCCCCTGTTTCGTTTCCCCTCCCCAGTTCTTCCTTTTCTCGATAGAAATTAGTGTCAAGTTTTTTTTTTTTTTTTTTTTGAGGATTCCTGTTTCTGTGTTTCTATGTGCTTAGGTTAAATTAACCACTTGCCCTCCCAGAGGATTTAACTCCCTTCCTGACCAGGCCATTTTTTGCAATACGGCGCTGTGTTGCTTTAACTGGCAAATTAAATTTACGTCTTTTTTTCCCACAAATAGAGCTTTCTTTCGGTGGTATTTGATCGCCTTTGCGGTTTTTTTTAATTTTTTGCACTATAAACAAAAAAAGACCGACAATTAAAAAAAAAAACCAAAAAAAACCAAAAAAAGAAACCCTAGTTTCCTTTTTGCCATTACACGTCCAGTAAAAATGTAGAATTAAAAAAAAAAAAAAAAAAAAAAAAAAAAATCTAATTTTGTCATAAATTTTGGCCAATATGTATTCTGCTATATATGTCTGCTAAAGAAAATAAAAATTCCCAATATGTGTAAATTGATTGTTTTACATGAAAGTTATAGCGCTTACAAACGATATTTATACTGGAATTTGTTTTTACTAGTAATGGTGGCGATCAGCGACTTACAGCGGGACTGCGGCAGGCATTCTAACACTGGGGGGAACTGATTTCAGTGATCAGTGCTGGGCAGCAATGTGGCAAAATGGTTAGCACCTCCGCCTGGCAGTACTGGGGTCATTGGTTCGAATCCCAGCCACGGCACCACCTGCCTGGAGTTTGCATGTTCTCCCTGTGCCTGCGTGGGTTTCCTCCGGGTACTCCGGTCTTCTCTCACACTCCAAAGACATGCTGGTAGGTGAATTGGCTCCTGTCTAAATTGGCCCTAGTATGTATGAATGTGAGTGAGGGACCTTAGGTTAGGGACTGATGTGAATGTACAATATATATGTAAAGCTCTGCGTAAATTGACAGCACTATAGAAGTACCTATAATAAATAATAAAAAGCACTGACACTGTACTAATGACAATGGGCAGGAAGGGGTTAACATCTGGGGTGATCCAAGGGTTAACTGTGTGCTGTTTTACAGTGTGCGCTTTACATAGTAAGCACGATGCTTTGTATTGCTCTGCTATGCAGAGCAATACAAAGCAGTGTGCAGGAGCTGACAGGGGAGAGATCTGTGTTGTTTATACACAGGTCTCTCCCCAGTCACCGATACTCGATCGCCGGGTACCGGCGGGGAATCACCTGGTGATTAACAGCCGAGGCCGCAAATGGCAGCGAGGGTAGGGTGCGTGCACGTCCCCTGCCTGGAAATGCAAAATCACGTATATATACACATGTGATTTTGCACAGCCGTACTGCCCTGTAGCAGTATTTCTGCTATAGGGTGGGTGGCGCGGAAGTGGTTAAAAAAGGATGTAAAAGGGAATTTGCATACATTTTCTTTAGTTTTCCTTAACAGCATCTCATCCTTAACACCAAGCTCATTTTCAATCATAGTGATGCGATAGAATTATTTATCTTCAGAATGCCTGCTGTGAGAAGAAATCCATCTGTTCCGCTGTGTGGAAAAGAGGCGCCCATCAGTAGAAGTACCTGAGCAGAAGCAGGTGAACTGAAAGCTCCCTAGTTCTAGTAAACGTGCCAACAGATCAGTTTGCAATGATGGTTTTGGTCCATTCTTAGACTACAAGATGTTGAGAAGAGCGGTCACCCTGTTGCACAGAACAGGTACCAGGTCTCCAGAATATACTGTACGTGCTGTGCGTTTGTGTGATTTGCATGTGGTTCTGTATGGTGCGATTTCAAGCCCAATCATTTTGAATGGGCTAAAGAGCGCACTGTGCCAAAAGTCGTGCATGCACTACTTTTTAAAAACGCACTGTAAATGGATTGCATGGTACAAAAGTATCATACAACCTGGAGCGGGCCAACGCACTCTTTGCAACCTGCGTTTGAGGCGTCGTTCACTTTTTACTGACAACCGCTGCAGATCGCATAAGTGCTGTGCTTTCCTGTGTGATTCTGATGCGGGAATGGTGTCAACGGGCACCTAAAGAGGAATTAAATCATGGAGGGGGGGGTGCAGCCTGCATTTGTCATGCTGTGCAAATACCTGCACATTAGGACAGTTCCCTCTGACTGTGTCCTGCATCCATTCTGTCCCTGCCGATGCCATGCTATTATCCTCTCATTTTGGGATCCATTGGGCAGGCATTGATGATGCAACTCCCACGTATGCGCATTGGTACTTCCAAGCTCCATTTCTGGCATCTTACAGATGCCAGGAATGAACACGTACTACAGTCAGCGTGTAGATAAAAACACAAAAAAAATTATTTTAAAAAACCCCCAAAAAAGATCGAAATTAAAAATAAACTAGGAGGTAAGTAAAAGTTATTTTCGACACAAAAGACTGAAATTCTCTTCTACCAAAAGACCCTACCTGCCGACAACTTTTAGTTTTAAAACTTTACTTCCACTCTAATGCAAGCCATGCATGGTTCAATTCCGAACGATTTTTCGTCCGAAAAGCGAAACCGTCGTTCGCTCGGTAATCCGATGTGCCATCAATGATTTCGAAAATCGGCCGACCAAGTCATAAAGTTCACCCCATAAAACACAGGCGAAATGTCTGTACCTTCCAGGTCACGGCTCATGCGCATATTCTTTTCGGAAAAACGATCGTATGATTTGACCATCATTGTAGTCTAAAATTGGTAATTTTTCATGAATTTTCCAACATGCCTGAAGGGGAGGAACCACGAAAATTGGCCAGTGCCATCGACCCACTAACAGAGCGAAAATTGGCCGTTTATTCTTAGGTCTTTTTGGACAAAAAAAAAAAAAATCGGTCGAATTGCGACCCATGTATGGCCGGCCTAAGGGGGAGATTGACTAAAACTGGAGAGTGCAAAATCTGGTGCCGCTCTGCACAGAAACCAATCCACTTCTAGTTTTTTTTTTTTTTGTCCAAGCTTCATTGAACAAGCTGAAGTTAGACCAGCAATGGGCAAACTATGGCCCGCGGGCCGTATATGGCCCGGCGGACCTTTTAATCCGGCCCGCGGAGCGTGATAAAAAAAAAAAAAAACAGCCAGGGCAGGCAAACATTGGCTGTCAGGATGTGTGTAGGCGGGGCAGCATGACGAACGTGAGGGGAGCTAGGCTCCTCTCACAGTCCGCCCTGAAGACCGGAACGGCGCGGGAACACGGCGAGAGGAACGCGCGGAGCAAAGGTAAGTAAATTGACACAGGGGGGACTTGGCTTACTACTTGGGGGGGGAATAGTACTATGGGGGATGAAATACTATATGAGGGATGAATTACTATATGGGGAATGAATTACTATATGGGGAATGAATTACTATATGGGGGTTGAATTACTATATGGGGGTTGAATTACTATATGGGGGATGAATTACTATGGGGGATGAATTACTATATGGGGGATGAATTACTATATGGGGGATGAATTACTATATGGGGGATGAATTACTATATGAGGAATGAATTAATATGGGGGATGAATTACTATATGGGGGATGAATTAATATGGGGAATGAATTACTATATGGGGAATGAATTACTATATGGGGAATGAATTACTATATGGGGAATGAATTACTATATGGGGAATGAATTACTATATGGGGAATGAATTACTATATGGGGAATGAATTACTATATGGGGGATGAATTACTATATGGGGGATGAATTACTATATGGGGGATGAATTACTATGCTTACTATGGGGGAATATTACTATACTTACTATGGATGGCATGGTAGTGGCTGGGCCGGCCAGCAGCTAGTGGGGGGCATAAAAGTTTTGTAAAATAACTCTTTTTATGCTTTTCTACCTTAAATTAATCTAAACATTTAATGTTACAAATTTTAATTTAATTTATATTAATTCACACATACACATCATTCATCTACTCTTGGTCCGGCCCCCGGGTCCAATATATGAACCCATTGCGGCCCTCAAGTCAAAAAGTTTGCCCACCCCTGAGTTAGACGCTGATTGGCTACCATGAACAGCTGCAGCCGGATTCTGAGTGTTGAAGTTTTAGCAAATCTCCCCCCTAAGTGTCAACTGGTCTGGAAAAAGCTGCAAGTGTTGTTTGAGAGAATACATTCTTTACATCCCAATACACCCCAAACCGTACTCTCCGCTCCTCGCAAGACCTCCTACTCTCTAGCTCCCTTGTCTCCTCCTCCAATGCTCGTCTCCAGAGCTTCCCCCATCCTCTGGAACTCTCTACCCCAATTTATCAGACTATTGCCTACTCTGCTCACTTTTAGGCGATCTTTGAAAACCTATCTCTTCAGGGAAGCCTATCCTGCCCTCAGCTAATACTGGAATCGTCTACTCTTCCAACCACTCCATCCCCCACAGTTATTGCCTTTTGTGCCCCTCCCTCTTAGATTGTAAGCTCCCAGGATCAGGGCCCTCCTATCCCTCTTGTATTGAACTGTATTGTTGCTGTATTGTCTCCCGTTATATTGTAAAGCACTAAGCAAACTGTTGGCGCGATATAAATCCTGTATAATAATAATAATCCCTGTCTATAAAAAAAAAAAACAAATAAACTTGCTTTGCTCAGAGTGGCTGCAACAGTGGGAGAGGACTGGTGATAACCCTTTGTGATTTATGGCTAAGGAGCGCCAGTGCAAGGTACAACAAAACCACGTTGGGAATGGCTAGGCACTTAGTTCAGTGACAACAATGTGATGCAAGAAGTGAATTCAGTGTGCCAAAGCAGTCTTAGTATCTAATGTGAAGGAGGAATGTAGGAGCCACCGTGCCGCAGCCTTTCACCATGTGACTTCGTACAAAGATACAACGCCGCAGTCTGATGCCTTGGGGAGAGGAAACTGAGAACCTGCTTACCTTAGCTGCGACAAAGTAACTTGCCTGGAGCTTAGTGACTGATTAAGGATAACATTGTTATTGATTTTTTTTAAAAATGATGATTGCCGTATATTGTGACACCTCTGGAATTTATTCACGCAATCTCGGAATGTCTTTGCAAGGTTTACATTAAACACAAAGCCTCACCTGATTGAGTTTGTGGAGCTGTAACAAAGCTTGGTTGACTGTTGCATTAAAGTGCGGCCGTCCAGAAGACCCTATTAAACAGAGAGAGACCAACACAACCAATCAGAAAGGTTAATCTAACTTGCCCAGACCCAAAAGGACTTTCGTAAAGAAAGCTCACCGTGCTTTCCTGACCTTCCACGGTGCGGTGGCTGAAACAGCATCTGTAGCATTGCCGGATTATTGAAGCTCTGCATGATTTGCATTGGGTTGGGCTCTGGGAGCAACCCTTTCCTATTGTTCTGCAGCTAAACACAAGATGGCATTCAGTAAAAGAACTCAGAAGGGGCACCAAAAAAAAAAAAAAAAAGGCCAACATATGTCTGGTGACATTTTACCATGCCCTGCGCTGCCATGAGGGTGGCTAGCATGCTCCGGCCCGGGGAACCTGGCGCACAGTAAGACACCTGGATTCTGCTTCCTTTCACACTAATTCCATCCATGCAGTCTTTCATCTCTTCTGCCTGCCTTGCAGATTCATATTCGACCACCGCAAAACCACCAGAATAACCATCTTCATCCTCTGCCAGCTGGGGAAAAAACAAAAACAAAAAATAAACAAACAATCACAACACATATCCAATCAACTTTAACCCCCTGCATAGAAACAAATCAGCTTCCAGGTTTTACCCCAGGCCACGTTTTGCATGGGCACGAGCCCATTCATTTGAATGGACTCCCATGCCACGCAGAGAAGTCGTCCCTGCACTTCTGAAGACGCAGCCCGCACGGGAACCTCGGTTCTCAGTACGGTTGCATTTTCCAGTACAGGCGGCGTGCCATTACATTACATTACATTACATTGAGTTTATATAGCGCCAAAGGGTTTGCTCAGCGCTGTACAATAGAGGGGGGGACAATACATGAAACATTACAGCAGCTACGAACAGCACACGAGGGTAAGAGGGCCCTACTCTTTCGAGCTTACAATCTGGGAGGGAGGGGGTAGTGGTACAGGAGGAAGTGGCTGTGGGGGATGGAGTGGTAGGAGGAATGAAGGAGAGCAGCAGTTAGGTGAGGGTGGGGTAGGCTTCCCTGAAGAGGTGGGTTTTCAGGGAGCGCCTGAAGGTGAGGAGGGAAGGTGACAGTCTGATGGATTGGGGTAGTGAGTTCCAGAGGATGGGGGAGGACCTGGAGAAGTCTTGCAGACGTGCGTGTGAGGAGGAGACCAGGGAGCAAGATAGAAGGAGGTCCTGTGAAGAGCGAAGGGTACGGGTAGGGTGGTACTTGGGAATCAGGTCGGTGAGGTAGTTAGGGGCAGTGTTGTGAATGGCTTTGTAGGTCAGAGTGAGTAGTTTGAATTTGATGCGTTGGGCGATAGGGAGCCAGTGGAGGGAGAGGCAGAGGGGGGTGGCAGAGGTGGAGCGGCTGGTGAGGTGGATGAGTCTGGCAGCTGAGTTCAGGTTGGTCTGAAGCGGGGAGAGTTTGCACTGGGGTAGGCCGGTGAGGAGGGAGTTGCAGTAGTCAAGGCGTGAGATAATCAGGGAGTGCACAAGTAGTTTAGCGGTGTCTGGGGTAAGGAAGGTGCGTATTTTGGCGATATTGCGGAGGTGGAGCCTGCATGTGTTTGTCAGTGATTTGACATGAGGTTGGAAGGAGAGGTTAGAGTCCAGAATGACCCCAAGGACTTTGAACTAATGGCACCCGCCCGCGGGTCCGCATTCTTCGGTGCGGGTGGATTTTCGTGCGAATCTGCACGGCACCACCAGCACAGATGTGAACCTAGCCTAAAGCAGAATTCCAGCACACCTAGTTCTAAAAATGCTCCCTCCACCTCCTCCCAACACAGATACTAACTAAAACGGTGTAAATACTTATATACTGACCTATTTTTAGCCCACTCTGGCCGTCATCCTATATGTCAGCCAACGGTGGCGGCTGCAGGGGAGTGGAGAGAGCACCCGACAATGGCTGGGAAAGCCAGGGGTAATGACGTCACCCAGAGGCTACCATGGTGCAGCTGTTGCTGGTGGTCCCTCCGCTCAACTGCAACCGCCGCTGGCTGACACGGGATCAAGAGACTGATGTGGGATAAAAAAAAGGCATCTTTTTTGCACAGATTAGTGTAGGTGATTCGATGGGGAGAGAGCGTTTTTTTTTTTTAGATTAGTTAAGCTTTAGTTAGAATTCTACTTTAAGATACATGATTAGAAAGCAGGGTTTGATCCTTCACTAGTTCTTTATTGCCGACTGGAGTTGTAGAGGGCACAGGTCGCTCCACTTGTCTCTTTTCAAATGACCTAATGGACTGACCAGCAATGGTCACATATTCCTAACCGTATACAAAAGAGACATAGGCAGAGAAATACTGCACTACGTGCCCTCTAGTTGATTCACTAAAGGAATATAAGATTCTGAGAGGAGAAGGTCGATGAAACTATACACAGCTAGAATTATATACAATATACTCAGCTCCAAATGATTGCAAAGTAGCTTAAAAACAAAAAAAGTATCCTAAAACAGCTTACCAGCACTTCGATGTGGTGTTGGAATTCATTTTTATTTTAGGCAAACAATATTTTCAGCAAAGTACAGAAAAATAGAAAATTTTGATTTGCTGGTAAATTCCTCATGTTGGAGAACAGTACAGGGTACAAATCTGGTCTTCACTGACCATGGCTTATTTGCTGCTACCTTTAGGTGACTGGACACTGGCAAAAACCTTTGCTAGAGCTGCTGCTGGAGTGCACCCATAAAACCCCGCCCACTCCGCGAGGTTCCAGTTTTTTGGCAAGCAATAAGGAGTAATCAAAGGGGAGGGACCTGTATCTTGTACTTTACTCCATGATGAGGTTTTTATAGTTGGGTAAAAATTCCTCTCATCATAACCATACAATACATAACTTGTGATCATAGACCAGGGAACGTTTAAAGCAGTGGTTCTCAACCTGGGGGTCAAACGACCCTTCACAGGGGTCCCCTAAGAGCATCAGAAAACACATATTTCCGATGTGTAAAAGAGCAGCTACTGTGTGAAAGCAGCTACTCTGTTGAAAGCAGCTACTGTGTAGAAAGCAGCTACTCTGTTGAAAGCAGCTACTGTGTTGAAAGCAGCTACTCTGTTGAAAAGCAGCTGAAAGCACTCTGTGTTGAAAGCTACAGCAGCTACTGTGTTGAAAGCACTCTGTGTTGAAAGCAGCTACTCTGTTGAAAGCAGCTACTCTGTTGAAAGCAGCTACTGTGTTGAAAGCAGCTACTGTGTTGAAAGCAGCAGTATTGGAGGTAAAACGACACTCATGAATTATAATTACTGGGTAAATAATTTTATGGTTGGGGGGTCACCACAACATGAGGAACTGTATTAAAGGGTCGCGGCATTAGGAAGGTTGAGAACCACTGGTTTAAAGAAATAAATTCGAAGGGTGGGCCACAACGTAGTAACCCAGAACTGCCAACAGGCCCACAAGAAAACAAAAGAGTATACAAAACATGATTTATTTTACTCAGAACAGGTCAAAACGCCTTCCAGGCAAAACGTTCACATCAACTGAGGCATAAAGGTCTAACTGGTAGAACTTGAAAAATGTATAAACATAGGACTAAGAAGCAGCCTTGCAAATCTGGGCTATAGATGCTTGATGTTTAAAAGTCCAAGAGACACCAACAGCCCTGGTAAAATGGGCTGATGGAAAGGGGAGGAACCTTTTTGTTAAGGGTATAGGCCCCTCGTAAAGGATTAGTCGGATCCACCCGGCAGTGGTGGAGCGAGAAGCAGGGTGTCTTCTAGGAGGATCTCCAGGTAAAACAAAACAGGACTTAGTCTTGCTAAAGGAGGCTGTGGCTGCAAGGTAGACTGATGGTTCTAACCACATCCAAACTGAGGCAATTTCCTTGTCATGTTTTGTGGCAGGACAGAGGGAAGGAAGGGAATACAATGCCTACACTGAGCAGGTCAGGGAATCCCTCTAGAGAGGAAGGGTGCTAAGGGGTACCAAATACCATGAAGAAGGGTTTACCATGTCCCAAGGACAGGGGATATCCTGGAGGGGGAAGAATGGTGACCCAGTTGGAACATAGCTTCAGAGCTGGGAAAAGGGGTGCAAGGATGGCAGGAACCCAAGCAGACTACAGAACATGCATTAATCTGTGCAGTAGCACTAAGGAGACAAGAAGCAAGCCAGTGGCGTCCAAAACAAGGGATTTGTCCTAAAGCAGTGGTCTCCAAATTGTGGACACAATTGTCAGAGGGCTTAGCTGGTCTCTGATTTGAACCTCTATGAGTTGTCTGACAAATCAGGCTCTAAGGGCCTTGGGGCACCTACTGCAAAAGTAGATGAAAGAAGGGTGTGATTCAGCCAACCTCAATCACCAAACATGTAAGACCAAAGAGGCAATAGTACTTTGAAGGCCAAGAGACTCCTCTTATGATGTGACAACATGCTTAGTGTGCTTAGTGCACTGGTTTGGACATCAGACTCATGAGGAGCATACATTTTAATGCTTGTAACAAGTCATCCCAACTGAAGTACATGGCTATAGACATGATCCACATGCTCAGGGGGGGTCTACTGTCATTGCAGATATCCTTTTTGAGGAATCTAACCTATTCTACCACAGCCTAGGGTCACAGACAGTACAAGATGGTGGGCAGAAACTGCCAGAGCAAACTGGGATTTCAAGAGGGATTTGAACTGCCTGTCAGAGTCCTTAAAGGTAAGCATGTCCCCTCCACGTCTAGTAGTTTTTCTGCTAAGGTGTGCCACAGGTGGATCCACAGTCGGTATAAACCACCGTTTAACAAATTCCCTCTCAAAGGCACTTACTTTCTGCAGTCAGTATTCATGAGAAATTAGGTGAATCTGCCCTCAAAGTCTTGAGTTGCAGCAGAGGTCCCTGAGTATTTGGTAGGGAACTGGGCCTCTGCATAGCTGAAAGAGACTCTGATTATGTAGACCAGCGGTGTCAAACTGGCAGCCTCTAGCTGTTGCAAAACTACAAGTCCCATCATGCCTCTGCCTTTGGGAGTCATGCTTGTAACTGTCAATCTTGCAATGCCTCATGGGACTTGTAGTTTGGCAACAGCTGGAGGGCCCACCACTAGACTATGGCTGGACAAGATGAGCAGCACAGTGATGAGCTCTACTCTGTCAATTTACTCCTAGCAGCATGCGCCATGTCAGTACATGAGCAGACTGGTTCCTGGTTCTGCATCTTTCTCACTCTGAGCTCTGCTGTATAGGAAACTGCAAGAGGCTGATACCCAGTCAAGTTTAGATACTTCTATTGCTTGAACTAAAATTAATTTGAAGATAAACTGACAGAATATAGTCACTTTCTAAAATATGCCAGCTTAGTATGGTTTAAGTCCAATGAGGTGTATGCCACCTCATGGACTTTTATTTACATCTTTACTGAGAACCAGGAATATACAGTCAGGTCCATAAATATTGGGACATCAACACAATTCTAATATTTTTGGCTCTATACACCACCACAATGGATTTGAAATGAAATGAACAAGATGTGCTTTAACTGCAGACTGTCAGCTTTAATTTGAGGGTATTTACATCCAAATCAGGTGAACGGTGTAGGAATTACAACAGTTTGCATATGTGTCTCCCACTTGTTAAGGGACCAAAAATAATGGGACAGGATAATAATCATAAATCAAACTTTCACTTTTTAATACTTGGTTGCAAATCCTTTGCAGTCAATTACAGCCTGAAGTCTGGAACGCATAGACATCACCAGACGCTGGATTTCATCCCTGGTGATGCTCTGCCAGGCTTCTACTGCAACTGTCTTCAGTTCCTGCTTGTTCTTGGGGCATTTTCCCTTCAGTTTTGTCTTCAGCAAGTGAAATGCATGCTCAATCGGATTCAGGTCAGGTGATTGACTTGGCCATTGCATAACATTCCACTTCTTTCCCTTAAAAAACTCTTTGGTTGCTTTTGCAGTCTGCTTTGGGTCATTGTCCATCTGCACTGTGAAGCGTCCAATGAGTTCTGAAGCATTTGGCTGAATATGAGCAGATAATATTCCCGAAACACTTCAGAATTCATCCGGCTGCTTTTGTCAGCAGTCACATCATCAATAAATACAAGAGAACCAGTTCCATTGGCAGCCATACATGCCCACGCCATGACACTACCACCACCATGCTTCACTGATGAGGTGGTATGCTTAGGATCATGAGCACTTCCTTTCCTTCTCCATACTCTTCTCTTCCCCTCACTCTGGTACAAGTTGATCTCGGTCTCATCTGTCCATAGGATGTTGTTCCAGAACTGTGAAGGCTTTTTTAGATGTCGTTTGGCAAACTCTAATCTGGCCTTCCTGTTTTTGAGGCTCACCAATGGTTTACAACTTGTGGTGAACCCTCTGTATTCACTCTGGTGAAGTCTTCTCGATTGTTGACTTTGACACACATACACCTACCTCCTGGAGAGTGTTCTTGATCTGGCCAACTGTTGTGAAGGGTGTTTTCTTCACCGGGGAAAGAATTCTTCGGTCATCCACCACAGTTGTTTTCCGTGGTCTTCCGGGTCTTTTGGTGTTGCTGAGCTCACCGATGCGTTCCTTCTTTTTAAGAATGTTCCAAACAGTTGTTTTGGCCACGCCTAATGTTTTTGCTATCTCTCTGATGGGTTTGTTTTGTTTTTTCAGCCTAATGATGGCTTGCTTCACTGATAGTGACAGCTCTTTGGATCTCATCTTCAGAGTTGACAGCAACAGATTCCAAATGCAAATAGCACACTCGAAATGAACTCTGGACCTTTTTATCTGCTCATTGTAATTGGGATAATGAGGGCATAACACACACCTGGCCATGGAACAGCTGAGAAGCCAATTGTCCCATTACTTTTGGTCCCTTAACAAGTGGGAGGCGCATATGCAAACTGTTGTAATTCCTACACTGATAACCTGATTTGGATGTAAATACCCTCAAATTAAAGCTGACAGTCTGCAGTTAAAGCACATCTTGTTTGTTTCATTTCAAATCCATTGTGGTGGTGTATAGAGCCAAAAATTTTAGAATTGTGTCGATGTCCCAATATTTATGGACCTGACTGTAGCTATCGTATACTTCCAATGCTCTTGCGCTGGACCTTCTGGTCTCCTGCAGGTCATTCACAGCTGCTGTGCCCACCCTCCTCTTGCCTAATCACTGAGCGCTTTGTAATATGTGAACCCATTCCCAAAATACAATGCCTTCTGTGGATGGACAGAGGCGGGGAAAGGTGGACATAGTAGCTGCTGTGTGAGACAGCATCTCTCCTGTCAGAGCACTGGAAGTATAGCAAGAGATGAACTCCCGGCGCTCAATAAAACTGTAAATCTTAAATAAGAGGTACGTGTACGAGGTGGCATACAGAGTGTTGGGCTTATCCTACTGTAAGCCAGCATATTTAAACCCAGAAGTTTGGCTTTTGGGGAAACAGGGAAAAAAAGGTGATCAACTAAAAAAAAATATACTAAGGCACTTTATGGTCCTTTCCACTAAATGCTGACCTTATTTTGTACTTCATGTTTCCAGCACAGGTTCATTTTAACTGGTTAGGCAGATTAAATTGCACCAAAGCCATTGCCAACCTTCTCATATATCAGTTTTCACGTGTTCTCCATTGATTTATGAGAGGGTAGATAATCGGCAACACTCCAGCTATTCATGACAGTAGAGTATCATTTAAATAAGAGAACGTGGAGCAGATGTTTAATTGTACCTGGCAGAACAAGGGCTTGTGAAGAGAGGAAAATATTTGCTTCAGCTCATCACTATTGCTGTAGTCCTTGGGAAGCTTGTCAACACACAGGCACTTTGAGTGAATAAAATCCGCTGTCAGCTGATTGACGTCCACCCACTGGGCAAAAAGGGTAAATTCTTCCAGCTGCTTGCCCAGCAATTCCAGGCGGGCCTTTGAGGCACAATCTTTCTTCATGTACTCTACAAAGCCATAGCCCTTGGACAGTCCAGTGAGCTCGCTGTAGACAAGGAGACATCGTTCGATGTTCCCATACGCCCGTACCAGTTCTTCGAACTCCTGCTTGCTAAATAAAGGAGGAAGGTTGGTCACGCACAACAAAGCGTCCGTCGGCTGCAGCTGGACCTGAATCTCCTTGTCCCGGAGGTGGTGTTTGTGGAATCTGTTAATAGCATCTTGTGCTTGCTCTCCGTTTGACAGAGTGATGAAGGCTGGTATGAGAGAGGAGAAACAGGTGGTCATTAAAGCATGGTAATGGGCTCCAAGGTCTCCAAGAAAATGTCATTATCACACGGCACTAACTCCCTACACAAGCTATCCATTGTCCCATTAATACAAAATTGCCTGCTAAAAATAAAACGTAATCCCATATAATTACTTCATGAAATACCACGAAGATAAATAGTGTATTCCCACTGTGAGGATAATCCTCAATCTTTTTAAAGGGTTTCAGATAGAAAATTAAATGAAAGCTTAACATCTAATTTTTGTTCCGAATTTCGATCCATGTATGGCCGGCTCGTGCTCAACATTCATCTCAACAAAGGTTGTAATATCTGGTCAAACAAATGACACTGGATAGAGAGAAAAAAGGTGGCACACACACCTAGTGCATTTCCAAGGTTTATTGTAGGAGTGAAAGAATAATAAAAACATACTCACAGACGAAGCATGTATCTAAAAAGCATAGAAAAATGACAATGGCCACAACGGCAGGCAAGGTGTTCTCATTGTCAGTGCGGTCAAATGGCTGACGCATTTCGGGGACGAATCCCTTTCTTCAGAGATACTGACCAGCCTCTGATGCAGATGTATGATGAATGGAAAGTAGGAGCCTTGCTGTTGATGCCTCATGATGCATCAACAGCAAGGCTCCTACTTTCCATTCATCTGCATCAGAGGCTGGTCATCAGCTCTGAGGAAAGGGATTCGTCCCCGAAACGCGTCAGCAATTTGACCGCACTGACAGTGAGAACACCTTGCCTGCCGTTGTGGCCATTGTCATTTTTCTATGCTTTTTAGATACATGCTTCGTCTGTGAGTATGTTTTTATTATTCTTTCACTCCTACAATAAACCTTGGATAATGCACTAGGTGTGTGCGCCACCTGTTTTCTCTCTATCCAGTGGCCGATTTCCCCGTCTGAGGAGGGCTGCACCCCTGAACCATTTCCTTTGGTTGTCGCTGTCCTGGTACCCTTGGCTTCCCTTTTGGCTGTGCATATCCTGAGGCGCTGGAGAGTACATACGAAACAAATAACAGTGTTGCTAACTGATCATGTCACTGAAGTCTTTAAACAGCCTCTATTACGAACGTAAAATACTGCAGTTAAAAGCACTGAAAAATTTTTACTTTTTATTTTAACCACTTCAAGTCCGGAAACTTTTACCCCCTTCCTGTCCAGGCCAATTTTCAGCTTTCAGTGATATCACACTTTGAATGACAATTGCGCGGTCATGCAACACTGTACCCATATGAATTTCTTAGCATTTTTTTTTTTGAGACAGATAAACCTTTATTTTGGTGGTATTTATTCAATACTGGGATTTTTATTTTTTTGCTATGTAAATGAAAAAGTCCAAAAATTTAGAAAAAAGTGTTTCTTATAAAATTTTGCAATTAAATAATATTTCATCATAAATCTTGGCCAAAATTTTTATTCCGTTATCTTTTTAGTAAAAAAACAAAAAAAAAAAAACAAACACCCAAATTAGTTTATAACCAAAAATTATAATTTTTAAAAATTTTTTTTTTTTTTTTTTTTTTTTACATACTGTCACCCTAGCAGTACAGTGTCACCATGGTGACACTGTACTACTTGTGGGGGGTGATGATTTTGTTTTTTTACACCGATTGCTTTTACACCCATAAAGGCTGTAAAAGCAATCATTTCCCCTCCTCTCTGGCTGCATTTTTGCAGCCATTGAGAACTACTGTGTGAGCTGTGATTGGTCACAGCTTGTCACATGGTACAAGGCTGGTGTGAATAGCCCTGTACCATGGGACCTCTGGGATCATTCACAGATTTCACACGTAGTAAGCAATGATGTCACAAGTGACATCTTGCTTACTACTCTGCATGTGATCACTGATTGGCCAATCAGTGATCACATGATCGGGACCCCGCACAGAGGTCCTGTACGACGATTGGTGTTTCACTGTGTCCGGAGGACACAGCGGGCACCGGATCGCGGTGCTGTGCGCTCCCAGGGAGCGCGCACAAACAGGGGGCGGGAGGCTGTTTATAAACGGCCACCCGACCCTGCACTGCCACCGTCAGGCCGTTTACATACAACGGCCGGAAGGGAGGTGGTTAAAAGGGGAGTTCCAAGCTCCCCCCCAAAAAATTTAAAGTCAGCACCTACAAATACTGTAGCTGTTGAGTTTGATTATAAAGACACTTGCCTGTCCAGGAGTCCAGGGTCGTCCGGACTAGTTCTTCACAAGCCTCCGGGTTTCTGGGGCCGGCATTGCAAGTAAGGGAAATCGGAAGTAAAACCTTGAGGCTTCACAGCCGGTTTCCTACTGCGCCTTGTTAATTGTCCCATAGTCTTCTGGGACCTGTGTTGTGAGGGAGGGTACGGGGTTTAGGAGGTGGCCGAACTTCCGGTTCAGTTCGCCACAGCCATTGACTCCCACTACTGTCAATCACAGTCAATGAGCCGATAAGAGAGGGGGGGGGGGGGGGGGTGTCTGTGAATTACATACTGTGCCCTCCCTGCCACCATTTTTCTCTTGGTGTCAGAAAAACTTGTCAGATGTGACTGCCTGTAGCAGAGGATTGGGGCAGCAGAAACAAATGACACTTAGTGCTCTGGATTGAGACAAGTACACACTATAGAGGGATATACTTTGCTCATATTTCATGTCTGAGATTTACAACCACTTTAATATCCATTTAATTTCAGGCACACCCCACCACAATCCAACAGCGGTCCTCTTCTGGGTTGAACAACCAACCGGCATAATAGTGTAAAAGTCCTTTTTACAGATCGTGTCCCAGCTTCCCTTCAAATAGAGCAGAGAAGGCATGAAAATGTCACGGTATGCCCCTGTGCTGAACTGTGTACCCAGGAGGACATGTGAATCATTTGATTACGCCCCTGTGCTGGACTGTGTACCCTGAACGGTGTGTTCATAACAGTCACAGCTAAAGATATAGAGGCATTTCACAGCATAAAGCTGGTTTGAGACTGTTAAAGTGAACCTGTCAAGACAAATGATGCATTCATGCTTGTTAATTTCCTGATGGCATTGACCTCAAGATGCCTGCACATACCTTTCTTATATTACAAAAATATCTCTATGTGCCCTTGGGGAAGGGGGAGGGGGGGGATTTTGAAGTCCAGGTCCACCATATGTAACTGTAAATTTCTAGCTTAAGTCGACAGATGTGACAAGTCCCTTGAGAACCACAATGTGACCTAGAGAGAGATGCTGGGGAAGGATCACAGCTCTCAGCTATGGCTGGGTGTAGAAATGCACAGCATACACCTGGGTTTGGAAAACCCAAAGCACTTTTACAATCCTAAAAATCTACAATTTATGGATAATTCATATTTTTTTGAGGGCACCCCACCAAATAAAAAGGAGTTTGGGTGTTTTAAAGAGTAATTACACTTCTGTAGAGAAGAAAAACATCCCCCCGCCCCCCCCCCCCCCCCCCGGGTGATCTATTTACATTGCAGGGATTTTAACAAACTTACCTTTTGTTATTGTGAAGAAATAGCGGTTTGTCTATCTGTGTCCATGTGCAAAGTGAATAGGAGTACTTTTATAATTAGGAATCAGCTGCTGCACTTGCAATATTCTAATGAGGGAAGTGGCGGGGTCTGCAACCATTTAGTCGTGATTTTATTTGGCGTATGACCAAAAATAAAATTACATTTTTGTTGCATGGGGTGCCAAAAATAGGAGTTGTATCTTAGTGCAGATTTCTGGGAAAATCGGTGAGCCAATCACACAAGCAGGGATTGACTATTCTGTCGGGGCATTCTGTTCACCATCTATGTACAGAACGGCTCCGGATTGAAGAGGAAAAGTCATTTTTAACCACTTCCCAACCGACCGTTGCATATAAACGGCCGGACGGTGGCACTGCAGGGCCGGGTGGCCGTTTATTATTATTATTATTATTATTACAGTATTTATAAAGCGCCAATAGTTCGCTCAGCGCTGTACATTACAAAGGGGGACAGAACATGTGACAGAACAATACCAATACAATGCAAAACATGAGGGGATCGAGGGCCCTGCTCTTTGGAGCTTACAATCTAGAGGGAGGGGATGGTGGTACAGGAGGAGATAGCTGTGGGGGATGGAGATGGTAGGAAGAGTGGAGGAGGTTGGCAAATTAGCAGGGGGTGGGGTAGGCTTCCCTGAAGAGATGGGTTTTCAGGGTGCGCCTAAAGGAGAGGAGAGTAGGTGATAATCTGATGGGTTGGGGCAGGGAGTTCCAGAGGATGGGTGACACCCTGGAGAAGTCCTGGTTTATAAACGGCCTCCCCGCACCCTGCTTGTGCGCGCTCCCTGGGAGTGCGCAGCACCGCGATCCGGTGCCTGCTGTGTCCTCCGGACACAGTGAAACACCGATCGTCGGACGGGACCTCTGTACGAGGTCCCGATCATGTGATCACTGATTGGCCAATCAATGATCACATGCAAAGTAGTAAGCAAGATGTCACTTGGACATCATTGCTTACTACGTGTGAAATCTGTGAATGATCACAGAGGTCACATGGTACAAGGCTATTCACAAAAGCCTTGTACCATGTGACAAGCTGTGACCAATCACAGCTCACTCAGTACTTCTCAATGAGTGCAAGAATGCACACAGAGAGAAAGAGAAATGATTGTTTTTTACATCCTATATGGGTGTAAAAGCAATCAGTGTAAAAAAAAAAAAAAAAAAAATCATCACCCCCCACAAGTAGTACAGTGTCACCATGGTGACACTGTACTGCTAGGGTGACAGTATGTAAAAAAAAAAAAAAATATAAAAAAATAAAATAAAAATGTAAAAAAAAAATGTTTAAAAATTATAATTTTTGGTTATAAACCAATTTGGATTTTTTTTTTCCAACTAAAAAGATAAACGGAATAAATATTGGCTATGATTTATGATGAAATATTATTTGCAAAATTTTATAAAAAAAATTTTGGGCATTTCATTTACATAGCAAAAAAAAATACAAATCCCAGTGGTGAATAA